AGTATCCTATATTAGATCCGCGCGAACCTCATTCTACCTGTATGATTAGATAAGTACAAGGAACAATTAGATAAGCAAGTGCGGCTACTTGACTGGACCTTCGTGCCCAGTCAGGTTTTGCACAATCAATCAATCTACAACATCAGAATCCGACACCAAGCTCGAGCATTATGACCTGGATTGATTCGCAGCCTTTCCACAGTAACGATATATAGTTATAAAAAAGTAGTTCGGTTATTTTTAACTACAAATGAAGTTGACATTATTTTAAAGGTAGCTATTAAAAATGCACCTTATATTTAGCCGTCTTATAACTTAAAAAACACTGCTTTTATAATAGCGAGGAAAAATAGGTATAATAAAATCGGTGAAATTTTTAAATAATAACTGTTTTTAAGTTTAATAACTTAACAGTTTTGATTAAAAGTGTTAAATAATAAAAAGTAAAGAAACTGTTGGAACAGGCTTGAACGATCAATCATAATACTCGAGTATGGGGTCAAGGTCATGATGTTGCTGATGTGAGGGCAGTATGAAGGCACACACCAGCGCAACCTACTGCGCCCCACATCACACCCTGGCCAGGGGTTCATCTAGATAGCTCTGTCTCCCACCTGTATCTAGCTCTCTTTCCTTCCTTTCTTCATCTTCGATATTTTCGTCTATAGAGTCGGTTACCCCCTTGTCGTCTGCTTTGTCTCGTCTTAGGTGCCACTCGCCGTGACAGCTGATGGTTGGATTGAGAGGTCTAGCTGGACCTGCAGGTCTGGCTAAGTGACCTCACAATCCGGTATCTAATCTCTTATCTAATCATACATGTGGGTTCTGGTATAGATGGTTTGCAGGCTGGAATTGCATGGATCCAACAGAAGCGAAATAATCGTTATATATAAGTATTATAATATATGCTTAAAATAAGCGGTTTATAAACTGTTTATACTTAATATTCAAAATAATATAAGCAATAATAACACTTTATCATTTTTTATAGATCGACTTTTTGACTTTTAAGTCGGCTTAGAAAGCGTAATATTTAACGATATGGAAATTACTGGGTTTATTAACATATTTTACCTCTTTATTATTAGTATTTTTTACCACGTATATTATTATTTTAATATTAAAATTTATTATGAGATCGATATCATTATTATCTATAATTTATTAAGTGGTTTAACTGTAGTTAAAAAGGAACGATTTTCATAAGACATATTTTACCTTATTTAAAAACGATAAAGCAGCTAATACTATTACTTCGTTCATACCGCCCTTTCAAACTTCCAATGTTATTAACGGTTTAATTAAAAGCTAAATCACGTTATTTATGAGCCCGTTATAAAAGTCAAGTATTATCGATCGAGTATGTTATAAGATCTCGCATATAATAAAATAGTTGTAATAAGTATTATCCTATAAATTAACGGTTTTATCGGTTTTATTAAAAAAAAATTATACTATTAAAGGCTTCATATTAAGTCGTACTTCTTATTATAGCACACATAACAAGTTAAACAGGTGGCTTTAGCTTTTATCGTTTAATAACTAGGAAGATGTAAGCAGTCGGGTGGCTCACAGGTGTGCTGTAGCACGCTTCTAGGGGTGACAAGGCTGACAAGGCTGACAGCAGCACTGAAAGGAAGGAACAGCCTAGAAGCGGGCTTTGAGCTTTAGTGTATCTGGGACAAGGGATCTTTACCCTCCGGATCAAAGGCTGGGCATTGCTTTGAAGTTGGTATGTGTATTTAGTACCTGAACAGGTCCCAAGACCCAAGGGTAGATCCGCACCCAGAATGTAAGCAACATGATGACCTGAACCACTGAACCGATCTTTTCCATACAAGGTTTATATTAAATAGCAGTGGAGTTATAAATATAATTTAAATAACGGCAGTATTAAAGGTGTTAAAAGACAAGTCTTTATAAGTATATCTAGTTAATAGTTATAATATTAAAAGAAGAAAAAGATAAAAAAGCTTATAATCAAAATAAAAACAAGTTGATAAAACAAGCTACTTACAAAACTACCTACTAATCAAAAGTATAATAATAAGGTAAAAAAAGTAATTATAATTAAACAAGAAGCGAAAATGTCGAAAATAAGAACTAAATTTTAATAGATAAGCCTTCTTTTAATTAAAACAATATTTAAGTTAGTAATCTTTTACGTATATCGTAAAATCTACGCTAATAAATACATAGCTTTTTTACTAAACCTTGTAAAAATATTTATTAATTCTGCTATTTTTAGCCGTAAGTACGTAGCTTTTCTACTTATCTAATTTTACTATAATAACGAGAATAGGTATTCTTTTTACCAATTTTATTTTACTAGTATAACGACGGTATATATATCATATCTACCCATTTTGTTTTACTGAGGCCTGCCACATAACTTGTAACATCAATTTATTAATTTATTTCTTATTAAAGTTATGCAGACTAAACGTATATAATATAATATATAAATTATATAACGTTAACGTTTGTTAAGTAAACGTAATAAAGATAAATACAATGTTTTATAAACAAGTTTTTAATAAGATGTTATTTATTTCATTATACCTATGTAATAGATCCATACGATTCCACATTCAAACCATTCATACCAAACCCATATGTATGATTAGATAAGAGATTAGATACCGGATTGTCAGGTCACTTAGCCAGACCTGCGAGTCCAGCTAGACCTCTCATTCTAACCATCAGTAACATCATGACCTTAACCCTATACTCGAGTATTATGATTGATCGTTCAAGCCTGTTCTAACACTATCAACCTTTTTGTAATATAATAGCTTAATATTATCAAACGGCCCTTTCGTTTTATTATAACTTCTTTACAATTTATAGCCAGTTCTTCGAGGTTTAACTATTAACTTCTTTTAACCGTTATATTATCTCTCTTTTAAAACTGGCATTTTAATCCGAAATAAAGTGGTAACTACCTGTTTAGCTTTTCATAACGCTAATAATTTTAACGCTTTTAAATCATCTATCTTGCATATTATCTATAAGTACTAGCATTATAAAAGTGATAATAAAAAGGTTGCGAGCCACCCTGTTATAATAGCGGTTATAATCGTTAACCTGCTTATTTTAAAAGGCAAGTTTTTAAACAGTATAACTACGAATAAACTAAGAAATAGCTTTGTTATAATTATATTGTTCTTTTCTTATAAAAAGCTTTAATCAAGTTTTATAAATTAAAAATATACTTATTAAAGAAGGCTATAAGCGTTATAACTTATTATAAGTAGTTTTAAAACTACAATAGTAAAAAAGGCAAGTTTTTTAGACTAAGTACTTTATAACTAAGCTTTTTATTACTTTAAATACTTATATAAAAGTTCTTATATTGTTAATTTCAACTTTAAATTCTACGTAATTAAAATCGTTTAATATTAACTACGCCTTTTAAAATAAATATTCTTAATTTATTTATTTAAAAAATAGTTAACTAGTTTATTGCTTTTCATTAAAAGGTTTATGAGCGGACTTTTAATAATCCGTTTTTAAGCATTAAATAAGTATTTAGTTTGATTAAAGAAATGATAAAATGTTAACATACTTAGCTTACTTATCGGCTTTTAAAAAGGTAATAAGCGTACGCATTTTAATAGTATTACTCTTTTTATAATAAGAGGAGGGGTCATTAATATATTTTTAAATAATTTAGCTTAAAGGTAAACTTTAATTCTTTTAGTATTTCTTTTATTTAATTAAGGCTTAAAATAAGGTTACTAAAAGACCTTTTCTTATTAAAATTTAAATCGTTATTACGAGACCGTACAAGCAAGGCCCAAAAATATCGTTTAAACTAAGTTTGAAAGTATTAAGGTTCGGTATTGAAGCACAATTATTAAAGTTAATAGCGAAGAGTTTTTAACATAATTAAAAAAAAAACCTTTTTAAAGAAAAAAATCGGTATATTTATAAATAGTTTGGCCGCTATAAAACGGGATTTAATATCTTCGTTTTTATTTATATAGTATAAGCTCGACGTAAGTATAGTTTAACACTAGGTAAAGCTATTAAAGTTAACATTTTTTAAGCTGTTGTAATTCTAGTTATAGTCATTTATACTTATTGTAAAGTAATAAGGTTAGATTAAGCTTTTTCGTAATAAGTATATTATTCACATATTTTTATCAACGTAGTTGGCACTCGTTATGAACTCTTTAACTGCCATATTAAATAACTTTATTATAATGCATTTAATTTAATTTATTTAATCGTATTCTTTTTTGTCAGAGGTTTTTATCTCTATTGTACAAGTTCGCGCATTATGGCTAGTGTTGCTACAATCGCTACATCGTCGTTTACACGTTGCCGCCCTTTTTAGACGATAAATATTTTTACCTATTTCTTGTCTTACTAGCTTAGTACTGTCGCCCTGTAGGTTGGCTGGCGTAACATCACTGTTGTAAACGTCCATGTGTCTACTTAAGTATGGTTTGGTCGATGTGAGTGCAAATGCCGAAGTTGAGCTCTGCCCCCGCGATGCAACCCCACCATGCACATCCTTGCCGGCGCTGCAGCATAACGAGCATGACTCGCTTCTCGTTCTGCTCGATTGCAGTTGCAGAGTGGCCCGTGCAGCGCGGAGGGTAGATCCTCTTGTCGATGGTGTCGATTCCCCCTACTTACCCATAAATGATAAGGGGTAGTAGTAGTACCCCGTGTGGAGTAAAAGGGGGGGAACTGCGGGACTGCCCAGACGATACACTGGGGAATCGGGGCTGTCGGGACTGCATCCATGTCGTCCGTCCACTTTTCTCGCGTCTCAGATTGAGAGATTGCGCCTCATCTCGCGCAGCCCCTTTTAGGATTCCGACATGTCCGATTTTGACAATGATACCTCAGCTTTTGCACATTTACATACATGTTCACACTCACTCACACCCTCTCACTCCAACGAGGATCTTCTGCATGTGTCGAGTCCAGCATCACTCGCCCGAGACTAACCCCAAGGTTCTCGGGTAGGTAACCTGTAACTTATCATGTCTTACGCCCGGCTCGACGACGGTGGTGGGGAGGAGGAAAGCGAGAAGTTGGCAGGCGGTGCTCACATCGAATTATCACCCCTAAAACCCCCAACTCCCACTTCGACTTCAACACCCCCAAAACGCCATGGACAAGGCCGCTTCTTCAAAACCCCACACGCCCTACACGGCGGCATCTCCATCGCCGCCGGCGCCACCATGATGCTCTTCGGCTACGAACAGGGCGTATTCGGTGGCATAATAGTCGGCCATTCCTTCCTCTCCTACTTCCAGCACCCCTCGCCCGCCCAACAAGGCTGGGTCACAGCCTGCTACGACCTAGGTTGTTTCGCCGGCGCCCTACTCGCCCTCTTCATCGGCGAAACACTAGGCCGGCGGCGAATGCTCCTGGTGTTTACCGTCATCATGGCTTCTGGGATTGTCCTCCAGACGGCTGCCGGTAGTATGGATATGATGGTATGGGGAAGAATCGTGGCGGGGATCGGCAACGGCGGCAATACCGCCACGGCGCCCGTCTGGCATGTCGAGACGGCGCATCATAGCGCCAAGGGTATGGCTGTCGTCAAGGAGATGGCGGTTAATATCCTTGGGTTTGCTATTGCGTCTTTTATCACCCTTGCTTGCAGTCCTCTACTCACAGAAGCGCAGTGGAGATTTCCGTAAGCTGCCCGTCACACCTGGACACTGACGCATGGTCAATTCGCCTGATCCATAAGTTACTGACCTGTTGGGGCTGCTAGTCTTGGGATTCAGCTTCTTTTTGTTGTGGTGATTCTTGTGCTGGTGGCGATGTGTAAGTACCCTTTCTTACCCACGGAGTGTTCTCGACATGGCTCAACACCAGCTTCACCGAGTGGGTTATTTACCTCCGTGGCCATTGTATTCATACATACTTTACACTGAGCCCTCATAAGTCTCCGTGCTTCCCCCGTCTAGCAATCAACGGGATATCCATCAAATCGGAAGAAGTACCGTGGAATAAGCATTGAGCGTGGCGTATCAAACCACAGCTGCTTATTCCTTTTTGCTTATTCCAGAATTCCGAAATATTCACGGGGTGATCTGCAGTCTTATTAACATGCCGCGTACGGCGACTTATGAGGGCCGAGTGTACATATCAAACCCCCATTGGCCCCAACACCACGTCAAGCCCACTCCCAGACGAGCATACTCGACTTACAACACAACAGTACCAGAATCCCCCCGCTGGCTCCTATCCCGCAACCGCGACGCCGAAGCCAAGCACGTCATGCTCCTCCTGAACTCTCACGACATCGAGGCAGAATTCGAGTCGATCCGCCAGTCCGTCCAGGCCGAGCAAGCCGCCCAAGCCTCCTGGGTCCAGCTCTTCCACGGCGGCCGCGCCACGCGCAGAGTCGCCCTAGGCATGCTCCTGCAATCCTTCCAGCAACTAAGCGGCGTCAATGTGCTGGGGTATTACCTGCCCGTCGTGCTGCATAGGAGTGTCGGGCTGCCGGAGCTTACGGCGAGGTGGGTGAGCGCTGCGAATGCGGTGTCGTACTTTTTCGCGGCGAGTGCGAGTGTGGCTTGGATTGACCGCGTTGGACGGCGGCCGTTGCTGATGGGCGGCGCGGCGGCTATGAGTTTGGCGTTTTTGGGGGTTGGTGTGGGGGTTGGTGTTGGGGATGCCATGCCGGGGAATGCTGTTCCGGGGACTGTGGCCACGGTTTTTATTTGGTTTTTCTTTACGAGCTTTGCTTCGGGGTGGTTGTCTGTGCCGTGGCTTTATCCTGTAAGCAACACCCCTGCTCCTCGTGCTGATGTTGATGTCGATCTGCAGTCGAACTGTGAGAGGTTCCTAGTTAGGTTTTGCTAACACGATAAATGAACAGGCCGAAGTCAACAGCCTCGGCATGCGCACCAAAGGCGCCGCCCTCGCAACGGCCTGCGACTGGCTGTTCAACTGGGCCGTCGTGCAGGCCACACCGCCGGGGATCACCCACCTGGGCTGGGGGTTCTACATGATCTTTGCCGTCCTCAACGCCGTCTTTGTGCCTGTCATATACTTTTTGGTGGTGGAGACCAGAGGGCGTCGCCTCGAAGATATGGACGCTTGGTTCGACGCTAACAAGTCCTGGTTCGTCCACCGGGCGGACCATTTTGTTCATGAAAAGGGCCAGCGCAAAGTCGTTAGCGACCACCTCTTCCGATCTATTGGCATAGCCGACGATCAAGAGGCTATGATGGAGGCTTTTGATGGGTCGGATTTTGAAAGCCTTGTCAGCGACGACGAAGAGACTCGGCCGAGCGGCGGTTGATCATGACACGGCTTTCGGGGGGAGCGGGGGCCACGGACATAACAGAGAATACATTTAGACTGTTAGAACACCGTATACAGGATATACCATGGGGCATAACACCCTACCATAGGGGATTGGCCGACGGACATAAACATCTGTGCTGCATCAAAACATTCCGCGGACCAACGAGTATCTCCCCTTCTAGTATCCCGCGCCCGGGCAGCCTAGGAGAACGGCACCACCAAGTGTGTAGCTTGCGACTACACCCACAAGGCCTGCCGCCCGGTATGCGACTCGTCTTCCTAGCATAGAGAAAGCGCTTTGATAAGGCCGCAAGATACCCAAGGGGCGAGAATCGCCTGAATTGGAGCCGCCTGCCGAGGAAAAATGACTTGCCCAGGAATGGCCTGCTGGGGAAAGATTGGCTGGGGAGAACCGGCAAAGTTTCCTACTTGCTGATACGGGGCGAATCCAGGTTGCATGAACTGTCCGGGGACGGTGTTCTAAGTGTCGCAGTTCGAGCCGCGCAGCGATGTTTGATATATACCCGAAGTTGTAGCGCACTGACGAACTTGGTGGGCACGGCTTTTGGGCTTTGGAACTGACTGACCTTGACCGTCGCCAGCGCCGCTGCCGATGAAGCTGGAGCTGGGTCTGGTGCTGGACCCGGAACCGGAGCCGGAGTTGGACCTGGAGATGGACTTGGGCATGGACCTGGAGATGGAGCCGAGGTTGGAATTGGGTGGGTGCTCTCTACGACGCGGAGAGCAGGTCTTAGGCTCGGATATCAAGCACAGCGTTCAGGCCCGCGTCAAACTGGGTGCCGACGTGCTTTGAAGGATGTCTGCAGCTCTTCGAATTGGCTGCGTCTCTACTCTCTCTTGCCTTCCAGGCCACGGCGAGGGATGCATCGTATCTTTTTGCGCTTACGTATGAATCCATCATCCACATCGCCTCGCCTCGATCTTCAGTTCTCAACCGTAACACCGTCGTCCCTGACCTACCTCAAAGTGTGCTCGTCATCATCCACATCAGCCGCGAGCGCTGGGTCGGGTATCATGCCCACCCGAGGGAAGTTGGACGACTGGGCTCTGTGGACTGTCGGGAATTCCTTCCACCTTGTCGCTGGCGCTGTTGCTGTCGCTGTCGCTGTCGCTAGAAATCGTGGTGGATGGAGATTGGAGCTTGGTTAAAAAAGGAAGTATCGGTCAAAGGCAGCAGCAGTGATGCATATTAATGCTACAACTGTGCCTTCTGGCAGGGGCCCAGAATACCATGTTACGATGACTAGTATTCTGGATGTTCTGCTTGCTGTCTAGAAGGATGGGAGCGTGTCCCATCCGAAAGGTCACTTAAGTACTAGATACAGTGCAAACGGTACCTTGTCCCTTGGGCAACAATCCGGCCCAACCGACAAGACACCTGACAGCTAGAACCAGCTGGATCCACACAACTACAGATGCCGGTGGGTTCGAAGTAAAGGAGGTCATCATCTCAACAACTGGCTGCGTCGAGAGTCGTTCGACAAACGTATCACGGGCTTCGGACAGCCTCCTCTTTCTCCGGCTTTTTCCTCAGTCCATTGACTAACTGGTATCTACGAGCCAGGCACCCGACGCCCCCTCCGGCCAGGCCAAGAAGCGCAGGGGCAAGGACAAGAAGTAGAAGCGCAAGGTCCTGATGATCCAGTTCACCATCGTGTCGGGCCCCGAGGTCGTTCAGACTGATATCCACGCCCATGACGGCCCGTTCTGGAAGGAAGATGGCACCCCGGTCGGCAGAGACTATGGCAACAGTGATTCCGAGCGCGAGCAGGCGGCCAAGATTCCCAGCGGTTTGGTCACAATCCAACGCCATTCCAGGACGATGGCAGCCGTTGGAAGTTGGGCAAAGCAGGAACCTGTTCGCAGTGGGGGAACAGGTTACAAGAAACAGGGGCGGCCAGTGACGAGGGAGACCTCCTGTTTCAGCGCCGACCGGAGACGGTGTTGAACCTCCTCCTTTCGCTCGTGCAAGGATCGGCACGACTACTCTGGGTATCGCACTGGCCCGCGAGTTCGGCAACGTCAGAGTAGAACTGCATGAGGGCTAGAGCCGGGTGGTGGTGGTGTTGTAGTGGTTGACGGACGAGCTGGATGAAAACGGGGGCAGCCATCTTGTACTTGGACGGGGCAATGCCACCCGGAATGCTGGCTTGCTACATGTCCATGTCCATGTCCATGTCCATGTCCATGTCCATATCCATGTCCAGGCTCAGGTTCATGGTCAGGTCCATGGTCAACTCCAACTCCGACTCCAACTCCCAGTCCGTGGTGGCTGTTCCGGCGATGCGAGAAGCCGTGCCAAGAGCTGAGTCTTGGGGTAAAGGAGATGACGAGGCGTGAGGGTTTTGGTTGGAATGGGCGAGGGTATGATGGGTGACTGGCTGATTGGTGAGACCGAGGGCTGCTTCTGTAGCTGAAAGCAGGATCGAATAGGGTAGTGGGTTGATGCGGCGATGCCGTCGTCGTCGTTCCATTGGTGTGTCTACAGCGGATGGTGGATGGTGGACGGTTGACAGACATGGGCTTGGAGATTCAGTCGAGGCTAAGCACGAGCGTTCTTCCACGCCAATAAGCAGATTCTCGGCTTGTACTTCACTTTAAGACATACAGGCATGCAGGCCACCTTTCACGCACTGGAGCATGTAATGGCAATAGCGTGAGAACCATCTTCTCGTGTCTAACATCACCTGATGTATGTTGATATCTCGTACTTCATGATATCCAATGGCTACCCCAGTCCATAATTGCCATAATAACATTGTCATATCGTCATTTGAACTGGTATCAGTACCGCCCACGACGATAGAGCAGCCTGTCGGCAAGCTTGAAATTGAGCCCGAGAAGCAGAGTGGAAGCATGACAGTGCCAATCTAGGAACTCGACACAGCCGTTCACTGCAGGTTCTGCGCACGATGAGCGCTTACGAAGTGTTATCTAAGCTAGCTACATCCCGGACCGACCGACCCAGCGTTTGCCCTTGGATCTGTTCATGACGAACGTTCGAGGGATTCTCTCGAAGAAGTGGACGAGACCGAGTCTGGCATGAGTCGAGCACCAGCAGTCGCACCTGGGCTCCTCCTAAAGACGGAGATGAGGCCACAGACTTGTATCGCTGGCATCCCATAACTGCGTGACTATCGCATCGACGGTCACGTGCTTCATCAGGACCAACTGGAGCATGCATGTTACAGCCCCTGGCGGCATCGACTTTGCCTTTATCTATGATGCTAGTTGCAATACTACGGAACAGTTTACAATACCAGCTGGAGCTGCGCTCACAGCATGACGATGAGCCGGGTAATTTATCATCAGCAACAGTGCTACCGTCAGCATCAGTAGCACCAGCAGCATCGACACCAGAGACAGCCATGACAGTGACGGCAATAAATTCAGGAGCACCGCCCGCGTAGCAAACGGCCAGTATGGAATCCCATGCGACGACAAGGAAATCATGCGCTGCCCCTATTTTTCGCCAGCAACTTCGACGTCGTAGACGACGGGCCCGACGGCGGAGTCCTTTCTTCAGGCAAACGAAAAAAGCCGTCCGCGACGACAGAGATGGACGAGCCGCGCACCAAACGGATCAAGGCCGCCAGTTGCGACTTGCACCCTATGCCACGGAGGAGACACCAGTGGCACCTCAAGTTCTCGCGCTACGGGAACAGCTAGCGGCCACCGGCTCGGCCGAGGTCTTCGCCGCCGTCCTGACCCTGCCTGGGGGTGATACCAGTCGGGATGTCCTGGTCGAGTCCTTGCTTCTGCCGGCCGGCGTGACAGACGATGATGAAGCCTCAAGTTACTGCAGCATATCGGCGGCTTCGACGGCGAGGACACGGGCTATACCTGCTTTAAGTATTAGGGAACTGGACCATGTAAGTACTATAGGATCCTCGAGAAGGGGCTCTCGTTACTTCTGCCATGTTGGCGGATTGTATGGTAACCAGGGGCATACAAGACCTGCTCTGCACCCACTGCGTCTGTCGTACTCCCACCCCCTTAATCGTCCGCCTGGCCGGCGCCGATTTGTGTATCTACGCCATCTACGTAGACCGCCAGCTCGGTCACGAACTCGCACACATGTCATGCCACCACAAACCTCATCGCTCGACCACAACGCCATCGCACGCATCCTTTCCAACGTCGCCGCCGCCCTCAAGTACACCCACACTCGCCACAACCCCGTCCACAACGACATCAACTCGCGCAACACGGTTAACAAAGTGCCTCTATCATTGACCTTTGTTGTAAGTTAGTCTAGTTTTTCTTAATTTTTACTTCCCTCCCTTCTCTGGCAGCCACTAGCCAGCAATACGTCTCGTACGTCGACCACCTGCCCTCACGGCTCTGGCGACCTATAAGCTCCTGCTACTGCTGCTGCTGCGAGGGGACAGACAGCAAATTCTCTCGACATAATAATACATGCAATGTTTGTCTGTTTTTATCTTACTTCGGTCTTTTAATCTATATCTACCCGTCGCTAGTCGGTGACGCCGTCAAGAGCAGCGGCACGCCGAGGGACATTGCTTGCCTTAGAGACCATGCCCGAATAGACACACCGAGCCCGACGGCCGATATCTGGGCCCTGGTTGTCACCATTGGCCATCATGGCGACGTATGAAGTGCTGAGGTGTGGGGTGCTGAGGGGACGGCAAACCCTCTCGTCGCAATACCTACAACGTCTCGTTCTGTCTATCTGACCGCATTCTCCAATCTGTATCTACTCGTCAGGCTAGCATGCCGACGTCTGGGCCCGGCATCACCATGCTCTTCTTACGCGGTCACATGTCCCTCCCTCCCCGACTCGGGCGTCCCGTTTCGAATTGGTGATCTCGACACGCAGCTGACCAAGCCGGGCACACCAGAAGGCTACGACGCACGCACCCACGCAGGTAGCTTGGTCTCGTTGTGCGCACGGTCCGGGAGACGCGCGCGCGGAAGAAACTGGATCAGCTATTAATGATGCGTTGACCGAGCGCATGCTGGAGGCGGAACCGCAGGATCAGGTCGAGTGCTCCAAGCTGGCCGTTCTGGCAGCTCTGTATGGCGTCGGTTATCATAATTTGCAGCCATCTATTGGGAGCGAGCTCCCGTTTCCTATTCACTTCCTATTGAATTCTTCCGCGCCTGTCAGCGGCGTGCTATCCTGATGAGCTTGATGGGCATGGACAGGCATGAATGGACAGTCCAGGTCTTTATCGAGGCCCTTACCTTCTGCAGGTCGCCTGCTTCATGCTTCCTGCTTCCTGTTCTCTTTCACGAGAGTATGTATATCGCCCCTTCTCCTTTCTTCCGCGGTCACAGGCAGGCACACCCACTCCATATTTTGACCCTGCGACGATCAATCTGCCACCACTTCCCCTGAACACTTGCTTAATCGCCCACCAAACCGCCCGCCAAACCACCGCCATCTCCGCCTCTCACAACCCGACAATCTTCAAACACCCAATCCCCACCACCATGGACCGGATGGCTCGCGCCCGCGCGGGCAAGGCTCTCAAGAAGGCGAAGAAAGCAGCCAAGGCTGCGCACATGCGAGCCGTCCAACTCTCGCATCGTTGGGCTCATAGAAGAGGTGCAACGGCACTCCTCGGAAACGGTCGGTGGGACGGAGCTAGACGCCGCGGAGAACGAGGAGCCTCATGAACCCGACGCATGACCCGGCTGCAATGCTAGTGCGTCTCGAGTCCTCGGCTAGCGAGCGGGACTCCGAGGAGGGGCATGCCGAGGGGGAATTGCCAGAGGGGGAGAGAGAGCTAGTCCCCGGGGCAGCTGTCGGGACAGTATAGCTGGGGCCTCCTCCTCGTCTGCCTACCAACGGGTACTTGCCAGAGAAAGAGAGCTCGCCAGTCCACGAAGCAGTCGTCGGGACAGGTCACAGCATAGCCGGGGCAGACGAGGATATGCTCTCGTCGCATAGCCAGCCGTCACGCTTGGAAACCGACCTTGACCCAAATACCGGTAGCATGCCAATGTTTCCCGAAGACCGGGAGACTTACGCAGGAAGCCCTTGGCCCACTTGTTCCCCCCTTCCACAACCTTCTAAGTGCAAGGATAAGCAGCGAACCAAGTCGATGGCTACTGTTTCTACTGTTGCGGCCGACGAGACATTCCTTCCGGCACTCCGACGACTGGTCCAGAGGATAGAGAAGGACAAGTCGGGGCCGTCAAGATCTCGAAGTCCTAAGCCAGAAATCCCCATCCCGACTCCGAACCCGCACGCCCAGTCGAAAGCGCGTTGGAAATCCTTGGAGCATCTTGGCAATCGGCCGCTATCGAACGTTTACAGCAGCAACACCAAGAGAAGGGGGCTGGTGGGGCAAGAACAACCGCCGTCCGCGACTCAGAAACCGGGTCGAGGACATCCGCAGCAGCGAGAGTCCCAAGAGTAGCCTGAGACCACCGAGATTCCTGAGCGACAAGGCTAGGGATATGACCTAGTCTTCAGCAGGGACACCAGCGCATTTCGCCTTGGGTCGCAAGACAAAATGGCCTAACGTTACTGCTTGCTAACAGGCCCCGGCTCGCCAAAGAGCTCAAGCGAACCACGGTCTTGCAAACGGCGAGCTGTTGCCCAACGGCCAGTATTCCTCATCCGCCCGGGCGCCTATTCGGTACTGGGTGGTGGACCAAATCGATAGGAGCCGCCTAGCAGCTGCTGTCCTCGTCTGGGATTATCTTGCTATCTTATGAGCTGAGCTTTGAACCAGTTTCAATCAGTCTTGGGAGACTGTCTCGACCATAGATTCGGTATTGACCTGCCGGTGGCGTCTTCACGTGCTAGGTATTTATACATACCCGAACGTTGCCCAATGCTCAAGGCGCTGGGGTCCATCGGGACTAACGCTCAACTGCCTTCGCTGCTCAGAGCAGCGGCTCCCAGGCCAGCGACGGAAAGGGTCAGACTCGAAACCTCTGTCGCCATGAGGGCCTCGCTGCATGTTGATGGTCGGACCCAAGTTGCTGTGCGCTCCCTTTTCCTTGGCCTTCTCTCCTATCTTCTTTTCTGCCTCTATAAGCAGGCTTTTGTTGAATATGGCACACCCGCGGGCACAGTACACGCCACGATTCTCGTCCAGTCTGTCCAGCAGTCGACCGCGGTAGGCTTCTCTGACGAGGTTCAGAGATACTGGTGGAATCGGCAGGAGTGGGAGGGATGCGGTTCATGCGTGGATCGTGGCTGTCGGTATCTCGTATGGTCTTCCCGTGGCCTTGGTGGTGCGTCCGATGTGCTAGAGAGTCCGCCGGCGGTCGCAGCAACAACAATACTCGTCATATGGATCTTCCGGTACTTCGGGCCGCCGCGGCGACGAGGACAGGTATTTGGACAAGGACGACTCGGCTAATAGCAAGCTGGTGGAAAAGGCGGGAGGCATGTTCCACAATGAGAAGATGGAGAACAAGAGGTCGAGGGGCACCTCGTAGCGGAAGGCGGCTGGGTCAGGCTCTATGGTAAGTCTCGGCGATAAAACTTCTGCTTTGGGAGAAGCGGTTAGCGACTGTGTTGTTGAGTACTGGCAGTGGTAGAGGGGAGGAAGAGTGAGAGTGAGAGTGAGAGTGAGAGTGAGAGTGAGAGGGAGAGTGAGAGTGAGAGGGAGAGTGAGAGTGAGAGGGAGAGGGAGAGGGAGATGGAGAGGGAGAGGGAGAGGGAGAGGGAGAGGGAGAGGCAGAGGCAGTAGGTTCCATGTGCAGGTCGGGGATCCGGCGTACCTCGAGATGCAGCGCCATGGGAGGACGGCGCAGTTGTGTGTAGTAGCCAGGTCGCTGAACATGGTACGAGTCTATGACCGACTACTGGTCACGATGTCGTCGATATGGATTCCGCAACGAGAACTGCGCCTCCGAGCTGGGAAGAATCAGTGGCCTCAGACAGGCCGACGCAGCGTTGCAGACATACCAGGTGTGGTGGAAATCAAGAGCAAGCAACCCGGTCTACTGCCCTTTACTTTTCCGACATCACGACTTCTCCCGGGCCCGAGACTACCCTAGCTCGAGCTCGACGACACCTTCCTCGAAACGTCCTGCGCAACGAAAAGACGGCAATATTGCTGTTTCGCCACTGCCACCAAGCGTCGACGCCGAGAACCGACTGTCGACAAGGCAGCTCGATACTTCTGCTTTCCCAAACATAGACATTTTGACACCAGCGACCAGGCTGCTACGAGGCTCTATTCCTGGCGAGAGGTTGAGATGACCTGCTTGAAAGGCCAAAGTCGCCGCTGAGCAGGCCGACATGAAATTCAAAGTAAGCGCCGCGAGTTGAGCCGAACAAGAGACGCCACTCTCGAAGCAAAGCGGTCTCTACAACACCATCTGTATGACATGACAACTTCATAAAGATGCTGCCCATAGGGCCAGAGATGTAGTCGACCCTCACAAACTCCACCCATACATACCTCAACCTGTTCCCATGCTGGTTGCAAGCTTCATGTTTGATGCCCCCAAACCCCGCCTGCTACGACCAAAGCCCTGACTGATTCGGACGGCCAGCTCCCTCACACTGACCAGACAAGCCTTCCCAACCATCACAATTGCCATCTGCTGACTGACTGACTGTCCCACCGTCACGGATGGACGACCAGCATTTTGTGTATTACCTTGACGCTGTTCGCTTCGCCGCCGGGTCGCGTACCCTCTGAACGGCAACTCCTTCCTCGTCCGCCATAGATACATACCGCCCAAGCCACCAAGCACTTGCAGTGCAGTGACGTTACCTCGCCGAGAGATGGCCTGCCCGACGATAGTACGCAGCCGAGCCGAGCAAGCCCCTCTCGTCAACCACCAATTGCGAAACCTGAACGACTAACCTATATAGTCGTCATCACCAAGCTGGCGATAGAACACAAGGGTGCCTTGAAGGGGCGACCATCTGGCGCGAGAAGCTGTGGGACATCGAGAAGACGCTGCTCAGTGTTCGATGTGGGGGCATGCTTTGTTCTGATTGTCTAGGTACGGTGCTGAGAAGGGGTGTGAGACATGATTCACCGGTTCCTCAACTTGGACCATGGCGTCGACGTTGAGACTAGCAAACAAACCCGGGCTTCGAACACCGCACAAGCTTCTCTTGACAGCGTCTCCACCTACCAGCTATTAACCTACGCCGTGCAGTCTAGGCCGAGGAACTGCTTACGGCATGCGAGCAACCTATTCCATACTTATGTTCTACATAACTTACGACGTCTCCCAAGGGACGCGGGCGGAGAAAGGCTCGTCACCAACGTCCGAACTTGAGGATCTGGGTGTTTGTTATCTCTGTTGGTACGAGGCTGCTGGTATGGTTGGGCATAATGACTGGTTGACATGGCCGGGACAGTCGGCATCGAGTGGCCAGCTACAGAGGCCTTACTGCATGTATGTATGCTTATTGGTGTATGGTGTACGATGATTGCTACGTGCGGTCTGGCTTGGTAGTTATTGGACGCATTGGCGTTCGTTTATGGTGTTGTGGTGATGCGATGATTATCTCGTTAGTAGTCGAATCAACTTACGTATGTCATGTCTACTTTAATGTTTACGTCTCGTTTTCTATCAGTGACTCTGGCAGTGAATGATTATTCTTCTCCTTCTTCTCTCCTTTTCTCCTCTTTTCCTCTTTTCCTCATTTTTCTCTCTTCTCTTTTGCTTCACTTAGTGTCTGCTTTTCGTTTTCGTTGGCGCATTCCTCATCAAGACGAGGCTCATCTCTTGTCGACCCGAGGCGCACTTCTGATTGAGACGACGCGAAGCGAACCTCTGATGGAGTCCAGTCGTAATAGGACGAGACGTATGGTACCCAACATTTAGGCGAAGAGACGTACCCCGAATGCGTACTCGACTATCCTTTACTCCCAGGTGGATGGTACGCTAGCTGCAGGTTTTCCTTGAAGGTGAGTGTGGCTTGGGTTGGCTGCGGCAAGAAGGTGGCGAGGAGGGCGGTGATAGCGGCGGTGCTGCCTCTCCCCATCCCCGTCGTGCACGCTTCCCGAGCCATTCAACTTTCCGTCTTCTCGGCTGCCAATCAATCCTCCTCCGAGTTATCTTGTCCGACGCTCGCCGCCATACCTCCACTTGCACCCAAGGCATTTGCTGTTCTTAAGGGAGAACCTCGGCCCCTGCATCTAGTGCATCCGCCACTGGATGTCGCTGCGACTGGACTGGGGTGATGGCGGGTGGTGTGACATGCACTGCTATTTTGCTCCGGCGCGAGTAAGAACCGCTGGTGCCGGCCGCGATAGGAAGGATTCAGATAGATATGTATGTTGTCAGTTGAGCGTGGTGATAAGCGTGGTTTACATTAGATTGACGAGTACGGGAACGACTATATAGACGAACAACAAGATCCAACTCCCTCCAGCAGCTTATTCAAACGGAGTCTGCCGTTATGCTGTGCCCTTCTCTCTACGGTAGCTAGTCTTTTTCCTCTCCTCTCTCTTGAACAGTGTAGCAGACGTAATGCCGACCGTCTTGCTCGGGCCTATACTCGACACAGCATGACAGCGGGTGGCTGGGCTGCGCCAAGCGATCCCAAAGCGGCGCAACGGGCGTTCTGCAGGCGAGAAGCGAGCGCAGGAGCGTCGTCTCGACATCAGAAGAGTAGACCGGGGGGAGGGACGGGTCGGTTCGTTTGGTGCCTTGATTTCTGCCTTGTGTGGCGGGATAGGGCTGCTGTTCAGGGGCTTCGGCCGCTCGCCTGCCAGGTTTACTGCTTCGAGTACAGGGAGTTTTCAAAAGGCTACGCGCAACCTGAGCGATCTATTCATGAATCGATCAACCGACGGACGGACCGACCCTTCGTGTTACTTCTAGAAGCGCTCTTTACGGCTCATGCTTCCCTCGTGTGGGCAGGCATCTCGCGCCGGCTACCCTGGGGCGCTCTCGGTGTTCTTGCCTTTGCCGATAGACATGCGTAAGTACGAGAGGATACATTTCGATATAGAACGCAAAGACGAGAGGGCACTTCTTGGTCACTGCCATCCTAGACACCATTCACTAGTTCGTCCGTTCATGTAGATGTCCATATATCGATTCATCTGTATACCGATTCGTCCATCGCACGGTATGTGCCTGTGCCCTAGCAGCACTCCCATCCTCGAGAGGTGCGAGCCGGATCCAGTCAACACACAGCCATAGCCACGCCTATAGCCAATTCAATAACCCAGCGTCAAATTTCAGCAAAGTAACGAGTGATGGGTGAGGAGTACAGCCAGTCGCCTCATGGCAAGGCGGTCATTATGGTCCTCTTCTTCCATCACCACCGAAATAGCACGGCCACCACCAACACTACTGCAAGCGTGTACACTCAGCCCTCACAAGGCCCCGTGCGCATTATGTTGCTGGACGGGTGGTGTACGGAAACATATGAGGGTTCAGTGTAGCTAGATAATCATCTTTCTCGTGTCTGCAGACGCTGACCGTAGCCCCAGCTGGGTGGCAGCCTGGCTTCCCGACCGTCGACCGAGGCTCGGGCAGATCCAATCGCACGTGGATCCGGGGAGGCAAGGATGGTCGCAACCAGCCCGGGGTGTTGCAAGAGACGGCCGGCAATGGTGTGTCTGTCCGCCCGTCCGCCCGTCCGTCGAGCTGAACTGAGATGAGTCGAACTGAGGGAAGACATGGACAAGAATGGCGACTTGTGGCAGCTCGAGTTAAAAGATAATATGGCTTTCTACTTACTACTTCATTCACCACGGCACGACGTGGGTTAGAGGTGCCCACCGTCAAACGCCCCTTATTAATAACAGTAGCATCGCTATCACCTTCAGCGCTGTCCCATTGTCGCCCTGTCTCGTGGGAGAAAGGAACGTTTTCTGCCTGTGTTATAATGCATCCTATTCATAAACTGGGTATCGATTTACCAGGCGACGTTTCGTTTCGCCGCGAGACGACTATATTGCCACGCTTCTTCTTCGCTTTCCTCAGTCTGCCGACGAGAGTTGGCTTCCCTAGCACAGAGTTTCACCACACACATCACCATCAATACCCGTCACGTACAACCATCGTGCGCTATATTTGACGGGGTCACCACCAGCCATCAGAAGAGCATCAACTCAGGCGACCAATTTATCAAATAAGCAGCCTAGGTCAAGACACCCTCATTCCAATTGGAATCATTTGCTTTGAATCACAACCACGACAACCAGCCAGAGACTCAGACTATTTTCCATGTCTAGTACATGTCTCGGGCACGACACTACCCGACACGGCGTGGTGGACGAAGAAAGGCGGGACACACACATCTGCCTACTCGACATAAGAATTTGCATAGTACTTTGCTGGCCTGGTGTTGGACAAGGACCAGGGATTCGATAGGGGCGAGGATGAATCATGATGAGTCGACTGACCGCACCTTTGCCTGACGGACGGCATGGTCGAAGTCCTCGCCCGGGGGGTCGGCGCGGACAGGACAGAAAGAGACAATGATAGGTCAAGCAATACTTGAACAGCAGCTCTCTCTCCCCTGGAGGACCTGATTACATACCGCAGAAGGCTGGTTATAGCTGTCTCGAATACTGCATCATCGAAAATTCACACGTGGGACTCAATGCGCATGGTGACTTGCCCTGGTGCGCTACATAGAGCCCCTTTATGGATGCCTGACTGAAACTAGGCAGAGCAGCGAAAATTTCTTTGAAATCATTTGGTTGCCCGCCGCAATGGGGGCGTGCTTGGGTAAAAGGTTACTGGGTGGAAGGGTATATGTATTCAAATGTAAAACTTTTTTCCCACAAGAAAACAAGCAGCGTCGCCTTGGTAGCGTGGTTGGAGTACGTAATTTCGCGTCCGGTATGGCGAGGCTTTAGGGTACCGGGTTCGAACTGAGCAACTTTGAGAAGGTTCGAACAGTGTTATGAAATATGCCAACCAGCTTGTTTTCGCCCACAAAAACTCCTGAAAATCAGGAATCAATCTTTTTGTATGTATGACGCCTGCACTTATTTTTAATCTGAATTTATAAGGCGTTGGGTTGGTTTCTTCGGGGTTTTCTTTTTCTCGGCACATTTGTTGGTGCCTTAGCAACTAAGCCAACACCAGCAAGCAACCCAAAACCGCAATCACACCAATCGCATACAGTCTGCCCTTTTCAAAGTTTACGTATTTCTACTCTGAAACTCGTTGTCACTCACCACTCCAGTGTCCACCCAGCAAGCAGGACGCCTCTCTCCTGAGACGACGACCACCGCCCACTTCTCGCGACGATGACAGTGTGTATATACGCCGGCCCAGGCACCACAAGCCCTGTCCCATCAACAACAATACCCCAACGCCCGATTTTGTCGAGAAGAAGGGGGAGCACCCACAGAAGCCAGTAGACTTCCATCCTCGCACAGTAGATGCTGGCAAGGGTATGTACCTCAGATACCAAGTCCACCTACCGTCGCGGCCAACATCTGAAGCAGGTCTATCGTTTTGAGCATCGGCTCATCGCAGAGTAAGGCTGGAAACTTGGCCATGGTCTTGGACCTGACGGCGCAGGCATCGAAAAACAGCGCGTCGTCCCAGATCGAAACCTCTCATCGGGTACTGGGTCCCAGAACTTCCTTGTGTTGCTCCAAGAGCCCAACCCCGAAGACAACACGCAGAACAGTCAGATCGCCTCAAAATCTGATTCCGCAACCACAGAACAGAAAACGCCAATCATCTTGTAACCTGTGCATTGGTTGCATCATACCCTAACCTGTTTTTTTTGGGGCATTCTCTGCTCCGAGCCTCTGCCTTACCTTTGGCCAACTTGCTCTGCCTTACGGTTTACCCATCTTCTTGCTCACCGAACTGGTTCTTCCACCTCTGCAAAGGCAACATAACCCAACTCATTTTCATCGACCTTCCACCTTCGCCCGCGACATAAGAATACTCCCCGCTCGACACTGAAACGCATGTCGTCGGAGCAGCATAACCCTCGTCGAAGCGCATAGGTCGTGAGCCTCCCTCAATCACATTTCTCCCCTACCCCGATAACTTACCGACGAGCACCCAGACTGGAACGCGGCTCTGAACTCCCACATCACCGGGATTTGGCTCTTCTTCCTCAAGAAACCCACCAGCACGAGCTTGGCCATCTTCCGTCCCACCCTCGTTGGCGAGACAAGATCGTCCAGACTTGACACTTGCCTCCGGGACTAGGTATGTAACTTCAGGGGAGTTGGGCTCCGTAACCCAGGCTCACTCTCCAAAATTATACCGATACAATGCTAAGCAGTGTATCTTCCAGTCCAACCCCTCATCCAGCCATCCAGTCGACCAGCTGCAGCAGAAGATCGGATTAGAAGTCGTAGCATATTTGCCGTCACTGAACCTTCGACTTTAGCAGCCCACGATCACTGGCCCTGGACGAAAGCCGCTACCCGTCTCCAAGAGACGAAGAACAGAGGACGAACCGAGCCAACCCGAAGACGCCTTCTGCCCGCCCGTCCGACGATGCTTCCAATGGATCTACACCATGGTGGCCTTTACCTTCATAGGCCAGGCCACGCGCATATATGGGATGGGGCCATGGAACAGCTCGGCAAAATACTGGACGAATAAGTTATTGGGCGGCGCGGGGATACCATACGAGTAGTCCGGGCCGTAGTGCGGTTACTGCGGAGTCCCTGATCTCCCAATATGCCACGGCATGTGAGCGCATTGCGTACGTACAATGACACCAGATGCTCAGCATGCGCCTGAGTAACCCAACCAGTCGAGACGACGCAGACTTCGCCCGGCTCTTTGGCCAACACTTTCACCGTGTAAGTTCCATTCTGTGCATATGCTGCACATATGCTAATTTCTAGTAGCGCCGAGACGACCCTGTTCCGACTCCCAAGACGAGCGGAAAGCGCAAGCCAGGCCGCCAGGACAGCAGGAACCAACACACAACAACACTATGTTGTCGGCTTGCTTACCGCAAGCCGGGGCTCGCCTATCCTCAGAAGATGAGACCCCAAAACCTTCAACGCACCCACCCCGTCTTCCGAGCCAGCCAGTCACTCAGTCTGCAGCAACGAACTTCAACTCAGACGACGAACACACCATATGGTTCACCAGTAACAAGCTGACCTCCCTGGGAACCACAGGACTTACCCAGGACGTCGGCTTTGAAATAGGGTGCGCTGGGGATGTGTTGGTGGCTCTTGTCGCTCGTTTCCCCTGCCTCGAGGGCCTGGACATCGGCCAGGAGTTCATCAGTGACGCAACGACTTGCCTCGTTGTACTCTAGAGAAAAAGTTTCTACATAAGTCTCATTGTCTCACAAAACACACACCTTCTTCGTTTCAGGCAAGGGCAAGGGGGCGTTAGGGGGCCGAAGGGGGTGAGGCCGAGGACTGGGGGCGGCCGGATCCGCGTCGGGAGGATAAATTTCTCGTCTATGTTTATGGGGACGTGTTTCCTTCTCTGTTATTGGGTTATTCATTATCATCGTTATGTTGATCAAGAATAAGGGCACCTTGCTCTCTATCCTCAACACCATCGTTAAATTCCTCCAGTAGAAGAAGGTGGAAGCAACATTTGGGTCTTTGGTTTCATTCATGTGCCCTCAATGCCACCCACGCAATGTGTGACTGCAATATCCGGTCCGGCTAACTCACCATCATACATACAGTGGCCCCTCCCTTCCTTATATATCCTCTCCATCAAGCCTCAGCCAACAGCCAACAGCCATACAAAGCAAGTCTCGAGCCATTCGACACGAGCTTGCAGTTATCTCTCCAAACTAACAACGCTCGCACACAATCTGCCAATTTCTCATACCTGGCCCAGTTGCCCTTGGGTATTTCTTTGTTGCAAATAGTGAGCATGCGTTCTTCTAGAGTTTAGCGATCGAGCGCTAGGCTTTTGATTTGTTCAACGACGGGAGCGAATGGAAGAGGAACCTGGCATGGAGGTTGGGGAATAGGAGTAGTTTCTTCTTTTGGAGCAGTATCTTCTTCTTCGGGAACAGTGCCTTCTTCTTTAAGAACAGTGACTTCTTCTCTAGATTTACACCGCGCGGTAAGCCGCACGTCCATGTCCGCACTGCGCTGCCTCAAAGCAACTTATAAATAATTCTACTGGGTTTTCCTTGCATATTCTTCACGACGACCCAGTTGATAAGGTACCAGCAACGAGAATGACCAGCTACGGGATACTTGTCTGGCTGTACCGCGCTTGCTTCGTTGTCGAGAAACAGGTTTACTGTCGATGGCGAGCTACTAGAGGACGTGTGCTGCTCCGATGGCTGCCATCGTCCTTGATCGCGCGAGGGTACATGGCGTCCGAGGGGAAAATGGTGGATATGGGACAATGATGGATGGCAATGCTAGATGGGAATGTTAAAAGGTATTCCCAGTCCATCTGCCTGTCCGTCTGCTGGGCACACCGGATCTGTGGGTTCGGCACAGCAATACGCAGGTCTTATCAAGGTGTCCAACCTTGAATCATAGCATCATGCTCCTCCTCCGCGTCGCGGCCCTGTCCAGCGCCGAGGCGCCCGTCCGCATCTGCCGACGAGACGCTGGAGGGGCTGTCGTATGGGTGAGGTGTGTGGTAGATGGGTGAATGTAAATTTGCTCAGCAGCCAGGCCATCCTGTCGCGGGTCTCAGCCTCCAACATCGCGGTTCTGGGCGGCAGCATCGAGGCACGCTTCTGGGCGGCAGCATCGAGGCACGCTTCTGGGCGGCAGCATCGAGGCACGCTTCCGGCCGCCCGCGTTCTTCGGTTTATATGGCATTACCGGAGGTCGACGATGAAGTCCAGTTTCCATGGTGTTGGAGCTTGAAACAGATAATTGGGGTGCCATCGTACTCCAGTGAATGCTGGACATCCAGAAGCTCGATCATGAAGCCAAGCTTCGGCCAAGCTGGCGGAAAAGCCTGTGATGGGCCTTTTCAGCTGCAACATCGATGCATGACCGGGCCACGAATACGAAGATCTCCAGTAACAAGCAAGCCGAATGGAAAGGCACACCAGAAGTGACTGACCAAAGAGCTCTACTCCATGGGCGTTAATATTGCTGCATCGACAACTGCCTCAAGGATGTCTTCAATCTTGGATACAGCCGCTCCGACCCTTGGCTTTTGCGTAAGGTCCCGGGAGAGTGTGAGGACGCCTTCACCACGACCTTTTAGGAAGAATATGGTGAGCGTGGGGGGGAAGGGGGTTGCCGGGCTTCCTGATCCGAAAGGGGTGCTAAAATCTATCGGTTAACTTTGTTAGAGGATGTGGTCAGCTGGATGAGTTTTGGCTGGGACTACCGCCTAAGATGGAACCGGGGAGGCGTCACGGTGGTAGATGTTGACGCTTTTTGCGATGAACGACATAACGACACCCAGGTTGAGCTATCAGGCATGCTTGTGCAGAGGTCGAAGAGAGGTAGGTGTCTGGCCGATGTCGTTCTTTCGTTGCGTTGACGTCGGCACCGTGTGTCCCTTCTTCTGTAATACCAGGACGTGTTGGCAGATCTCCGCCGATCGCCCAACCATCCTCGCCCGTCAGCGTATTCTGATGGAGGAACCAGTTGATGAAGTTATACAGAAACTCGATCGTGAGGCCAAGTTTCGGCCGTAACTGGATAGAATGAGCAAGTTGTTCAGAACATGATGCGGATAGATATAACTGATTGGGCACTGGCAGATTGTTTCAGCCATGGACTCCAAAGCATGCACAACGTCTGGCTCGCTCATATGGCACTACCAGGGGTCGGCTCGTTCGACATGGCCATCGGCTCGTTCGTCATGACATCCACTTGCGGTAGGGTTGCTGTTTCCGGGGGTGACAGCGACGATAGAGTCCAGTTCTTGCGAAGTTCGAGTTTCATGCCGCTGCCTCTGTGACTTTGACTCTCCGAGTGGACAGTAGGGAGTAAAGGGAACAGAGGTATCGACGTCGAGAGTGTTGTTTTCGTTTTCGTCTTGGCTGTTGCGCGACAACGAGATTCTCCTACAACCTCCAAGCCACCAGTTAGTCAGTCTCCTCCCATCACTATATCGAAAAGCATGGAACAAACCTCACGCGCGCGCATGCTCTTGATGCTCTCTGTCTCCCTAGTCCGTGGAAGCCGTTCCCCGACGACTATCTGGCCAAGTTCAACCTCAAGCGCGATCGAATCACCAAACCGGAGCTTCCAGCCGTCGACTCCGTGGGCGTTTGGCGTCCGGCAGATCTATGATCGGCCATGTCGGCGGCGTTTCGGAGTCGTCAACCCCGCGGAAGGCGTTGTTGGTTCATCTCATTGTAAAAGGTATCTCAAAGACAACCTTGGATACACAAAGCTCAGCTCCTCCCTTTCAAATGTTTACCAACTCTCGGATGGTGGTGTAACGATTGCACCCAAGTATGAATATCCCACTGGAACAAACCTCTCAGAAAGCACCTGGACATCATCTTATTACACCACGAAGGAGCAACAAGGTCGGGCTGTCGATAGCTGCTGCGATGCGCTGCTCATCAACACCCAGACACAGTCGATTCGAGCCTTCCCTGTAGCAGTACCAGGGTAGTAGTCGATGATCAAGTCGCGCCCTGCCCTCACTGCCGAAGAGGAGAGTTCACAATATTCGAGGCTCATTGTCGATTTCCCCAAGAAAGTTCTGGAACTCAATCAGCACATCGCCCTTTCTTACGACCTTCGAGAATCAGACGCCGTAGCGGGATCCGGCGGTCCACATACCTTCTCGTACTCTGGAGACCAGATCTATTATGAGCAGCAGCAGCGTTGGCCGGCCATGTGCCGGTTTCTCAAGTAAATGAAGTACCTCGTCAGGGGCACGACGCGCGAGAGTGGGAGGCCATGGGGGTCGCTGCGGAATGCGGATGGGAACGTACATCGCCGACGGTGATGGTCTTTCGCTGTCGGTACTCGGTGAAGGTGACGACATCGCGGATGATCTACCGATGCGCGTGTCAGTGACCTCAACATCGACGTCGCGTGCGTACGTGCGGGCCATGCTGCAGGTACGTACGCACCCCCGTGAATCTCTCTCTCAACTGCCTGTAGCTCGCCGTTGTGTTGCTGCAGGTGCCAGCAGTGCGAACCTCCTTGTAGGTCAGGCCCGAGATGCGCTTGACGCCTCCGCGGCGGGCAAGTCGTCAGCACGTATGTGTTTATCATCTCAGGGCTCGGAGCGCGGAGGTAAGAGTCGTCTCGTGGCTAGTTACTAGCGATTCTGTCGGTTAGGCCGTCGCAAGAGCCGGGGGCCCGTCATCCCGTCAGAAAGGCCTCGTCAATCCGGCCTGGCCGGCTCGTACTGCTGCTGCACCGCTGCCGAAGGCGACGACGGAGAACTGGTGACGATGCCTATGCCTATGCCAGCGCCCGCAGATGTCGACCGGGTCCGCCGGCGAGATGTCGGCTCAGCGCCCTGGCTTGCCTGGATGAGATGGTGTGGTCACATAGGAGATGGCACGTGGGAGCGAAGAGGGCGTGCTGGTCGGCTGGTCGGTCGGTCGGAAGATGAGGAGGACATGAGTGATGCAAGTTTGCAGTTCGTCAATTGACACGATTGAGACTGATGATGCTTTATGTACAAGCCGGGTCTGGCTGGGGGGCACGGAAGAACTAGCACACCACAGATCTTGCAAGCATGCTCCAGGGCACTGAGCACTGTACCGCGGCCAATAGCGCTGTATTGTACGGCGGTCAAGTCCAGCAGCGGCCTGTACGCTATCGCAGAGGCTCAGACAGCCCATAGGGCCTGGAACCACTAAAACGGTAAAGTTACAGGGCACTCAAGCGCTATATCCTATCCTATGCTGCGCAACCTATGCCGCACCATGTGGCATAGGATGTGCGGCATAGGTACTTTCCCGTGCACAGGCCACCTCAAGACTCCGCACCAGCCGGGAGGGCTTGTACAGACCCCAGAGGCCAACCTTGACTTGAATAGTTCGTTGGCCCCGGTGTTAACTGTACATTGTATGTACCATTTGGCCGCCCGCCGTCTGTTTGTTCTCCAAGTCTTCGGCGTCGCATTCTCAAGACCGGTGATCTGCATCCTTACGATACGGTCGGGCTACAAGTCGCAGTGTCTTGTAAAAGGACAGCTCGCGTAAGACGGAAGACTACAAGCCGGGCGATCTACGGCTGGGCTATATATGTATCTATCTATCTATTATATGACATGGATACGGGCGGCGGTGCTGTAGTAGGCAGTGGCCTTTGTCGGCCAGTGCGTTGCTTATTTGCAAGGCGTTCGCGGCTTTCTCGGTGTAAGTGTAGGTGTAGTGTGAAGGTGAGTGTGAGTGCAGCGACGCCTAGCATGGGAATCACCTTCAATAGTCAAGGTTTTCAGTCAGCCTCCGAAGGGAACCATGAGATTGAAGGAGAATCCAAATCTAACCGCCCTCGCCTTGCGGCGCGGCTTTTTAAACTGGCCGCGGATTTTAACCAGACCCCTATCACAAGCAAAGCCACCAACCACCTTGGGGGACGAATCTTAAGAGCTCATGTATAAACATTGCCGGGCGGACTGGGTCGTCGGAGCTGAAGGATGGCCCATGCATGTCTGCATCATGTGTATGTGTATGCATCCGGACGTCAATAAAGGGGGGAGAAATAGTGGACATGTCGCAGCGGCACAGTCAGCGACTAAATCATCAGCTCGTCGCGGCACCCCGTCAACATCTCAACATCTGCTTCGACTTGATCCTGTCCACCACGTGCCGTCCAAGCCAAGGCGCGCCCCGAGTGCCGCGGCCAATGTGCGCCATGAGGGCGGATGGGGTCTCGACTCTCGAGGCTCTGGGTGGACTGGAGGGACTGACCGGGATATGACGGCCACCGAGTTCGAGTATGCATTGGTCGGTGCGACATTGCGACGTTTCTGGTGCTCATTGGACTCGTACGTGAATTGGCGATGCTTCGCCGGACACGGCGTGGACAGTCAGATCGAGACCTGTTAATCAGTTGGTCGGTCGGTTAGTAAGTCAGTCAGTCCGGTTGGTGGAGTAGTGTTCCATGAATGGCTGTCGGCTGTCAGCCGGCACAGCTGCAGCAGCATGGCCATGGCACGAGTCAGCATTTGCCCATTCCGGGCATGGGCTTGGGCTGGGGATTGGGCGCTAACCAGGTGGGCGTGGACGTCGCGGAAGAACTGCGACGATGCACGCGCCCAAGACCACGCCACTGCTTGTGGGCGATGCCGTGCTGGGGCCAGCGCTGTATAGGTTGACTCAGCCGTCTTATTGAATGCATGACGGTTGATTTGAAGTTGTGAGCGTATCGTGCGCGCAGTGGTAGGATGGAGGCGAGATGAACTGGGAGAGGTAAAGATGTACCTATGCCGCATTTCTGACCTATGACGCGCATCCTGTGCCACAATATGCGGCATAGGGTGCGCGGCATAAGTCACGTGAGGGTGGGGCGTGGGTGCGGGCCTGGGTATCCTTATACCTCGCCCATTCTTGAGATCAATTCAACCAGCCTCCATACAGCTGCATTGACTATGTCTTCCTGATGATATAAAGTATTGTTCATTCAGTGAGTCTCCGTCTGTCCATCCCAGCGCATTGCAAGCAACGATATACACTCAAAGCCCAGCCACCAGCCTACCAGCCCTGCCCGTCCCACCAGCCCTGCCGCCGCGAAGGCAGGCCACCACGATCCAACGCGACGGTAGAGTTATAATCGATCATGATCCGTCCAGCTGGTGAAGCAAGCACATAGGAAGTCCAACAAGAGATTCGTGATCCCGATCCGCATCCATGGACCTAGTTCGGCGGGGCCAATTGCCAACCGGCATCGTTCTAGTCTTTTCATCCCAACCGCTGGCGGGCAGCACGATCCGTTTATCTATATCAATGCTCAGCGGGTGTGCTACCGGGAAGAGCGGTATGGCGGTATAGGCGAACCACCAAGCTGCCGCTTCACTAATGCAGCCACTCGACTCACACCCTTGGTAGCTTTTTCACTGCCCACCAATCACAATCCGTCAGCTGTCTTCTTCGGGCAGTTCAGCGCTAGTGGACCAGCTCAGTGGATCACAAGCGGGCCGGACCGCTGGGCGTTTGTGCCTTGAAGCGTCGCAGGGATTAGTAGGGAACCCACCGAAGGCAAATGGGTTCGACCTAGCAGCCTTCGTGCGCGTTACGTTGCGCTGGTGGAGGTCGAGAACCCACGACTTGCTCATCCCACCCCACCCTTTCCTATCTGGCAAAGGAAAGACGGACCGGATGTTCTGTCGAAAGGGGTGGCAGGCGCTGGGAGGGTATTGTGGCACTGTTGAAGAGGGCCTTGGAATCTACCAGGAGTACGACGATAGATGATGGGCGTGGCTTTGGTCCACTTAGGCGGTGAGTTGGCAGCCGAAGCTACATATAAGCGAGAGGGAAAGTGGCAGGGGTGGCAAGGAGCAGATGGTATGCGATGCGACATTGGCTCGGAGCGGAGCCTTGCCTTTGCCTGTCTGTCTATCTGACCATTTGTCTGCCTGCTTACACGTATAGCAGACCGCTGGCTCCTCCGAATCCAGGTTCAAGTCCAAGTCTACATCGAGCGCCAGCTCTACATGGGACATTCGACCTAGCTATTCCTTTTATCTCGCCTCGGAGTCGTTCTCGTCATGGAGTCGCGGCATAGTTGCGGCATAGTTGCGGCTCTCTCCGCCGAGACGCCGTCTATATCTACCATTGTATGAACATCACCTCCTACTACTACCCGATCTCTCGCTCTGGTCTGACTAACTTCCCGAATGCGAGCGTCGCCGGCCGCTTCGTTGGGCTCGCATGGAGACGGGTCGATCAAGCGCGAGATATTCGGATTGCAACGCGTCGTTCGATCGAAGTGTTCGTGATGGTACGTGTCGGCTTCGCGATTCATGTGGGTTGTTTGCTTTCGGTCGGCCAAGGCTGAAGGGGAATGCAGCTTGTGTGGGCTATCCCGTTTCTCCGCGACCCCGTTTTTCTTAATGGGGTGGCCGGCCATCGAAGAGCTCTGCGGCGAGAAGATCGGCTCGAGCGTAACGTGTGCAGGCGAATCATATAGCATCTTGCGCGTGATGGCGGCACTGGTAATGATAACCATTCGTCCTGTCTAGTCCAGGGTATCGGCGATACGTTGGAGGCACTCGTCGGGTGGGTGTGATCTAGACCGTAGGCATCTTGGAGATGTGAAGCTGCGGTGGGGGAAGCTGCACTGTCGTCGAAGTGCAGCATGTCAATATCTAGTAGTCGTTCGTTACATTAGTAGGTCTGGCGAGCCTCGAGAGCTGAGCCGCGCTGAGAGATCCAGCCGAGTCAGGTTGGACGAGTAAGGCAGCGCCTACAGCGAGCGCGACCAACGAGGCGAAAATGATGGAGACGGAGACGGAAACGGAGCAAATAAAGCATCGTGTTGGTGGTCGAGGAGTCGTGTAGAGTTGTTGTTGATCGTATCAGTAAAAGTGGAAGAAATGCCAGATGATCTAACCGAGAACATCGAGAACGCCTATGCGTCGTGAAAATGCTTCGCCTTGCTCGTATCTGGCTGAGTGGGAATCATAGCGTGAGCAAAAAGCAAAAGAGGGAGAATGCAAGGCATGAAAAAGCAATAGCGACCAGAGCCAGATTTGAACTGGCGGCCTTCCCATCACCCCCGGTTGGTGTCGAGGAGGGAATGCTCTTGAGCAGCGCCCCGGCGGATTGTGGTGGGATGCTCTGACCTCTGAGCTACCCGGCCGATGTAAATATGGAAGAAAGTCGTGTTCATGACTCTTATATACACTTGCAGGGCAGCTGCGAACCATAGCGGTATGAGACCCCTCTGGGCCCTGGATTGAGCCACGCGGTTAGGGCACGTCGGCGCTCGGGGACCTATCCTGCAGTGCCTGATCAATGCCAGGGGCGCGGAAGAACGGGCAACAACTTTCGAGGCATCTTCATTACGCGATCGCATCAAATTCACCCCGCCCGCCTCCTTGGAATAGAAAGAGCTTTGGTTTTGCTGCTGATTTATTGCGTTGTGTCTTCTTAGTTGGACAGTTGCAGGTTCGCTGGTACGACGCGCACCGGGCCGGCCTCGGGACAAAGGCAGCCCACGCGTATGAGGCCTACATGTATCGTGGAACCAGCTCTGGCTTACGGCCCAATACCAGTACAATAACAATTAACTCCAATGCTCTGAAGCGTGCTCGGCAGTAGACTCGCGCACTGAACCATCGGAACCGACTATGTGGCACCATCACCTTCACCGTCACGCCTAGACTCCCCAACACCGCCTGTCGACAGATGAATAACAGCGTTTTCAAAATATGCCAAAACCGAGGAATTAACCTAGGTCGATCATCTCGTGTCGACAACAGCAGCAGCGAGTCCGCCACCACCTCAGTACGGACATAGAAGAAGCTATCTACATCAATACGGTATCCTCGATTACACCCTAGAAGCTTCACTTGCCAGCGAGCGCAGCTTTTAAACGAAAAGCTCGGGAGCTACCACGATCAGATATCTTAATAGTCAACAGAATATGGAACGTAATATATCCTGTTTTGTCCATCGGCCTACGAAGCCTTTGCAGGGCAGCTATTCATCACCCAAGACAGCGACTCAGCCACTAAGCCGACATTTCCACTCCGAGAGCAACGTCTTACCTACATTTTCGTCTTAATACTGCTGCTATTTGTTTCAATCTCGCTACTCGACGTAATTCGACACTCGGCATATCATGCGGACAACAATCATGAACCGCGGATCTAGCAGCCGATCCAGCCGATTGCAAGCGATCAACGATGCCTACGATCGCGCCGCAAGCGAGCCCCTGAGTAACAACAAGAAGAGCAAACCCCGCCATAGACCAGCCATTCGCCTTGCGGACCACTCAGACCACAACGTTGCTGCTGGGGTGCGCTCGTCTCAACAAACCGAAGGCTCGTACAAGACTGTCACAGCGAGCTCTACAGATGGCCATGCCAGCACTACGACACCTGCTCAACGAGCACCGACCAAGGCTACTTCGAATTGACCGGAGCTGGACTGGCAGCCGGTGCGGCTCGTCCTTGCGAGTACTGACTGCTTCTTTCTCTAACGCATTACGGACGGAATGTGTTGTTGCAAAGTGGTAGGCGCGACGCCATTAGAAGAAGAAACGCATCATTGCGGTCTCCTCATGGTGACACCTGGTACATCCATCTCATACAAATGGACTTGCGGTCGCCAAGGCATTGAGGTTATGTATGGTCTCGACTGAGCAATCAAGTGTCTCTGGTACGAGTTCCGGAGAAGTGGATGCTCATGCCGAGCTGTCGAGATTGCTTGCGAGATTCCCGCCACGGGGGGCGAGAGGCATGATGTATGCCGCCCTCTGTCAGTCACAGCGGTCTACACGCATGAGGCTTGGCTCCGGGATTGCGAGTCACCCCACGCCGAATGTTCGGCTAGTGGGCCATCCTTCTAGCCAAGGCGACTTTTGGAAATATCCGATGAGGCTCTGCATGGCTCTATCAAGTTTGTCTCCACCACTCATGGAAGCGGAGCTTGCTACGTGGCATTCTCTTATTGCTGGGGCGGGCTCAAGCCACCCCTAGCTCTCAAAGGGAATCCTGCGGACAGGGCAGCCTGCATTACCTATGATGAGTTACCACGGATATTCCGGGATACTATCAGCCTCCTTCGTAAGCTAGGCATTCGATATCTCTGGATCGACGTCCTATAAAGCAAGACGACGACGCAAGATGCGAAACTTCGAAATCGGTCGTGTGGGCAAGATATTCGAGGGTGCACATCTAACGAACATCGCCGCAGCTGCCCGAAACATTGACTGCGGCATCGAAACGAGAGGAACGGGACTCTGGCACCGAGTGCTTATGCCTGCATATGGTTATCATATCTGTGTGGCGTGAACGCTGGCTAGAAACCGGAGACGGTTGGACCGTTGGTCGAACACGTAATATCCAAGCCGCAGCTAGACCTTCTAGGAGCGTTTACTATCACGTAGGCGCCTGCTTTTCCTGGAACGTGAAACCATCTGGGATTGTAGAGAGGGTTGTAAATGCGAGTCTAGGGGTGTTGAGTCCGGGTATCGACTAAAGCTGCTTATAGAAAAGCCGAATGATATCGTATATCGGTACGATCTTATGTAAGACTACGTCCGGCGTGATCTTAACTTCGCGACCGATTGCTTGCCCGTTATCAGCGCATTTGCAGGATATTTCTATGCCTGGATGAACATAGAATATCTTGCTGGTTTGTAGCGAAAAGACCATGGGATATAGCTCCCCTGGAGTCCAGGCGCTTTACCCGTTCTTAGACCTGACGTATACGTGGCGCCCTCATGGAGCTGGGCATCGTGCAATCCCGGTATAGATCCATTCCGCGCAATGTATCACCCTCAGGCCAGAATGGAAGCGGCCGTGGTGGAAGCCCGGTGCCACCCAGCTTAAAGTAGCAGTCCTTTCGGGACCGTCTGAGCCGGTGCGATCAAGCTCGAGGCTTTTTACTGTGCCGCGAGGTTGGAGCCGATTATAGCACGAGGTCAACCCAGCGAGCGATAGCAATCCTCCCGGGTGCATCAGAGCAAGCGCGCCGGAGATGGTAGGCCAGCTGATGCGAACGAAAGGCTTGTTCACGGCAGCTTCAATTCGTACGGAGAGAACTGGCACGCCACGCTGGATACGGGCGCTTAATTCGTGACTGACGATATCCGCTTGTACTGGGAGGTCGTCTCGGAGATCGCTCGTATAGATCGTGGTATGCTCCAAACACTGTAAACTAGAAGCGCAGATGCTGCAGGGGTCGAGAAAACAATCAACCCGCGAGACCTTTGCGGAGAAGTTCGCTTTCTGCAGTTGGGTGGCGAATGCCATCTTCTGCTCGCTTACTCGAAGCGTGAGCTTGGGTCTTTTAGAATAATAGGGATAATGTGGCAGGTATGGATACAAGAAAACTATCGAACTTCAGCGCAGGATTTCCACTGATACGTGCTGCGTGCACGCGATTCATAGTCACGATTATCTAATTGCCGAGTATGGGCTTCAACTGCACATTTCTGATACCGGATCGAAGCTTACTGGGAGATAAGGACTTACTGCTATGCTCGCACTCACCTGTATTCGCATAGCATACTCGTGATCCTGCGTCTGTACCTTACCTTATGTTCTCGAACGATTCTGCTGCGCCCGAGGTTCACGGAATTATGATCATCTTCTCCGGCTCGACGCCGCTACCATGGTCTCACAATTGATATTGCAGAAGCTCTCCATGGCGCTTCGTGTGTATCATCAAGTTTCAAGGCCAGAGCGTGCCCCGGCTTCATCGTAGCCTTTAAAATACCTGACTTTGGGTACAGTTCCCGTGCTGAACATTGTGACCAGTGTCGTCGAGGTTAAGCTTACATAACTATACGTGAGCGCCTAAGAACAAGTGGATGTCCAAGGTCAAGTTAGGTGGTACTGATCTTGTCATGCGCCAATGCAATCTCCAGCCCTTGACCATCATGTGGGACAGTAGTAATGACGAAAAGAATTCAACACAAACGAGCTGAACAGTCAAGATCAAGTCTACGCACCCTCGGTCCGTGCAACTCCTTCTTGGTGGCAGGTGAGCTTGTTTGACTGCTTGGCTGGCGGCCTTTAGTTGTTGTTGTTGTTGTTGTTGTAGCATTTAACGCCGGGGGGACTGCCGCGTAGCGGCGTCAACCAGGGGCTCCAAGAGGCCGCTCAGGCGTGCTAGGCTAGGTCTTCTATGTACATACACTGCCCATCTAGCAGGTCAAGTCCGTAAACAGCCACCACACTTAAGCGGCGGATCACACCGTGTCCCCCCTCCTCCGGGTGAGGGGAAGTATCGGCTGGGGTCCCAAATGTTCAGTTTTCAGGGCGCAACGCCAGGTTCAGTGCTCTTAGAGCTTATAGTAGGTGCCGCGACATGCCGCAGTGGTTCTTACGCGCCCAATGAGACATTAAAAAGGAAAGATAGAAAGATAAAGCCCCCAGATGCCGTAACAAAAGGAAAGAATGAGTATGCCCTTAGTGAGGAGGGCAGATACTACCATAGAAATCGGTAGCTACGAGTAGGTCCATGTACTCCCGTGGGATAGTCATAAGTTCGTTTAGATATTCGAGCCTGGCTCTGAGCTCCGGCCGGGATGCCGGGGCCCTTGGCCAGACCATGTACTGTGCCAAAGTCTTCCGGCAGTGGATGAAGTGTGTCGAAGTCTTGCTCCGGCCGCACGAGCAGTCGAGGACGGTGTCCTGATATTTGAACTTGACATGATACCAAGAGAAGTCGCCGTGCCCTGAACGGACAGCGAGGAAGCGGTGTAATGACGGCCTATTAAGTACCTGCAGCTCCTCGTGACAGCGCAGTTTGTACTTCAGGTCCTAGTATTTGTAGCGGGCCGACAGCTTGATCTGGGCCTTGGTCCATTATATGTCGTGCGAGATTTTGAGTTTAAGTCTCGCCTCTGCTTTAATGCCGTACGCCGTCGGCATACAGTCGGAGTCAACGTGGAGAGCTTAGAGCCGGCCTTAGCCAGCTTGTCTGCCAGTTCATTGCCCTTAATGGCGCAGTGTCCCGGGCACCACTTGACGTTGACATTACGGACTTCAGCCTCGGCGTGGAACTTCAGGTAGGCCCACTGGCAGGACACCGCGGCATTGCCGCGGAGCCCCCAGATCGCTCCTGTGTTGTCCACGCACACCCAGATCCGGCGCTGACTAAGCTCCGGGGATGACTTGACCACGTGCTGAAGCCCCTTCCAGGCTCCGAGCACTTCTGCATCAAACACGATAGAACACGGGTCTAGACGACCCTTGCCAGTGGCGAGCAGGCGCCCGCCCTGGTAGATCGCATAGCCGTATCCGTTTAGAGGAAGCCGGAAGGATAAGGAGGAATATGGGACGACATGATGACAGAGGGCGAGAGGGGGCGAGAGGACGAGAGGGGACGAGAAACGAAAAGCCCCCTTCACAGCAGCCTAAGACTCTCGCCCCAGACAGTCCGAGCCGCTCTCCGTGCGCATCTACACCCCAGAGTCAAAGCAAATCAGTATGCGCTATCCAAGCAGTCATTCCCCTCACCGTCCGACTCCTGCCACGCATCACAAGACAGATATTGTATCCATCGCAGAGAACCAACTTGATGGTGCCAGAGCATGGCTGGCCGGCGTCAGGGGTGATCGCAACGAAGCGCGACTCGAACACGCGAACGGCTGAACTGCTGAATGTATGGTACGAACCAGCATGACATGATCTAGCCGCAGCCCCCCGTTGCTCGTCCTCGTCGGCGCGCCGCTCGGCCTCTGCTTCGAGCTCGGCGAGATCCTCCCTGGCGCACTGCCAGGTCGGGTTCAGGAGGAGGCGTTGGTTGTGCTCTGTGTACGAGAGTATGCGCAACGTCCTGTCAAATCTGGTAATAGCGGACATGCTAGAACAATCACTTTTGCCCCACCGGGAGCTTTCCAACACGTCCAGGTGTTGAGGAGGGTCGAGGTGGTGTTTACGGTGTTGGATACTGTTTGCGGGTTTTCAGTTGTGTGGCTGCGGGATGTATACAGCACGGGGGCAAGGGTGGGAAGGGGATAAGTACCGGTTGACAGTAAGTCCTCAGCACTGGCGTCTTGCGGCCTTCCATGAGGGCTTTCCTGGAGCTCTGGAAAGGAACATCACCTGGGTCGGTGGAGCAGGACGAGACGGGCGAGGGTCGAGATTCGTCAGGCCTGCTCTCAGGAGGGCCCTCGACGTTTGACGCGGGCTGTTCGTGCTCATCAACATCATCGACATCATCTCGGCGGACAGACTTGACCAGCTTACCTCATCTGATGGCTGTCTGCAGCCATCTTAACATCGGTGGGCATCAAGACCTCGTCGGCAAAAACCAAGGCGCCATAGCAGCTGTCCACCATGTGCTCAAAGAAGGGCGGGCACGATGAGCTGGAGGCAGCTCTGCAACCAGTTGTCCATGTCGGACACGCCGGTGTTCCTTCTAAGACGCTTGCTCCTGTTCATCGTCTCAGCTTCTGGCGCCGCCATCCGCAACGACTTTGCCTCGGCGGCTGCAAGTACATGCGCACCATGGACACGCCTCTCGACTTCGGGTTTTCGTCGTAGGCGTATGTGTGTGTATGGTATTGGTATTGGGAGTCGACTCGGGGGCGGCGATGGCGGCGAGAGGAGGGAAATGGTTGGTTCTCATTTTCTCATCCTCTTATCTTCTCGTCTTCTCATCCTCTACCCTATCCTCAGTCCTTCCTTCGCTTTCTCACATTCGGCGTGTACTGGATTCGCTATCGGGCTCGCTAGACGTTAGACATGGGAGTAGGAAACGCGGTCTCGTAGAAATGCGTTGTTGGGAGATAGAGAGAGATAGCGCATTCTGCCATGGTCATTATCTAGACGCTCGCTCGCTCGCAGGGGTCGGAGCAATGCAGCTGTACGATGGCCAGGACCAGGTGAACAAGGTCCGCGACGGAGGACATAGTGGCGGCCGGTCAAGGGTTGAATTTACAACCAAGGCGCTGTCGAGGAAGGCTACGCGCGTAGTGATTGAAGGATGCGATTGCTAATATCATTGGTGATACATACGTGGTGATGGTGACAGTGAGAAGAGCCCGGTGCATTCAGTGGATGTAAGCGCTAAGGCCGCGGAAGAACCAGCGGGATACCTAGCCGGGATAGGCGACAGGTGAGCGCCTAGACAGCCCAGGCTTCCAGCGGGTTGCAGCGGGCTTCTGTCACAGTGCTGAGCAGGCCAGCTACCCAGCATCTGTAAATACATATTCTCATAGGCCGTGCATGTACGTCTGCAAATAGGGGCACCCATAATTATATCAAGACGATGTCTGGCTACCTACTTCTAAAGTCCAATCCTTTTCTTTTCGTTTCATTACATTTCAATACTCAAGGCGTCACTATTTTCCCCAGATTTAACCTGCCTCAACCTCGTCTCCCGAAGGAGAATCTTATCCTCGATACGACTTATCCATTAGGACATAACGGATCTTGCTATCCCTTCTATTAACACCATTAACCCCAATCCTAAACGATAGCTATTCTTTCACTTAAACCAGGCGTACTGATTAAAGAGTGACTTGGCTAGGGACGACATGAGATAATGGTAGCAAGATCTTGTGCTCATGGTAACTATAGTTCCAATCCCAACATATGGACGACCGGATAGGTGACGACCACGAAATGAAAGAGATGAACAGGAGCCGAGAATTACTTACTCATCCCTCATTATTGTCTGCCTTTCATCTCTGCTCTGCTCTAGTTATTCATCCTGCCCCTGATTATTCGGCGTCGTTGACCGGCCATGCGGCACGGCAACTCAATTCGATCCAGACGACTATGACAGATGGCCCAGGTACATACTACGGCTCTTCTTGCTGTTCCCCCATGGTCAAGGGTTGGCACTTCGGAAGCGGTCTCTTTCAGTGCCACCTTTTTCGGCTCATGTCGACCGCTGAGGATGAAGAGAAGGAGGACTTGATGTTTCCGCTCACCAAGTACGGCCCATGGCACACCGAGGCTCGACAGCAGTTCACGAATGCCCTGAGTTATGTATCAAGAACAAGGATGTATCACCAAGCCACACCATCGCCCTGCCAAACTCAAACAAAGCGGCTACATCACGACTGCCACAACAGTCTTCCTTCCTACCAAGCTACAAGGGGACATCGCATTCATTATACATATCGAGCACACGCGATAATGAGACGAATTGTGTTGAGGACTATTTGCTACCTACAGCTAGTTCCACACTCCATTATACCACTGCAAGCCAGCTGAAGTCTCGTGAAACCGGAGGAGGTGGCTCCTCGATCAACTGGGAAACCAAGGATCAAGCAATCCAGAGCAAGCTTTACATCCACCTCGGCGGCGATGGCGGTTGCCAGGATGCCAGCCAGGGTCAAATCCACTACGGCTTCCCCGAGCTGGTCCGAATCCACCGCAGTCAAATCCACCTCGGCCACACGCACGGCCGTGTCCGCGAGGGCCCCGGGGCCAGACGCGCAACTCACGAGGTCCATGGGGTTCGCGTGGGGCTAGTGCTGGACGTCCACAAAAGCCAGCATTTCCTTTCTCCCAAGCATCTTCCTCCCCCTATCCTCTACAACCTCCAAACACCATACTCTTTCTCACGACCTTCGTCTCTATTCAGTCGGCGCGGAAACTACGGTGTGTCGTACGATGTTGTAGATTTGGTCTTGACTTTGGAGTCCGGGTGGGGAGCAACCGTCGCCGTGGAAGTATCAATGGAGTAAGAACTTAAAGTTCCGCGCCGGCAGGCTCCTGCGACTCCAGTCGATCGTCGTTGACACAATGTGGTAAATGCGTTGGCGGCAAGTGCAGCAGACATGGGTGATGTAGCCGCCCGGAAGACGAGTCGACGCAGACAGACGCCCCCTTTTATGGTCCAAAGAAACACAGGAGGTCGATGGAGCCGGAGGAATGTCACCTAAGATTTACCGAACAGGAGAGCCAGCCGAGGTCATGCGAGCCTTGCTAATTCCACGCGGCTTACCGCTGGCTGCAAGGGATGAGAAATGTGTGCAACAGGTGAAGAATAGATATACGCAGGATATGCCGGAGTCGTATTCGGAGAAGACTCTGACACCACAGAGGAATTCTTGGAGCCGGCTCGCGGTGCGTGGGTGAAGTTCCCGGTGGCCTCGACGGTAACGCGGAGCTAGGAACTCGTGAGGCGAAGTGCGCTTTGTCAGACAAGTCAATGATCTCGATTGTTTCTTCCTCGGTGTGCCCCTCAACGGGCTTGAGAGGTTGCTTCTCCTGGGTCTTCTGCTTCTTGCTCCCAGCCCTCCTACTATCATCGTTTTGGTTGATTGAGGTTCCACAACATTGTCACCTGCCTTTCACAGCCTTGACGATTGAGGCTGCTCAGTCTCTAATCTGTAGGAAGTACTTCATTTCGGCAAGCTCGTCGGTAACTTAGCCGGACCCAGCGCGGCGCCTATCTTGCAACGCGCCGTGGATGCTTCGTGGCATATTAATAGTGACGGAACATCCGCGTCCATGTCGTCGAGACCTTCGATCCCAATGCCAGAATTATGTTTGTCGTGCCGACGGACCTAGGTCTGTGGTCGCGACGGGTATGCTTGATCGTGGCGTCGTCGATGATCTTGGCGATATCTTCATCTCGCTGTCTCTTGCTAGTCTGCACGACAGGATCCATATTGATAGCGTCCACTTTAAGAATTTAGTCTGGAAAGCTGCTTCTTGGCTAAAATCGTATGAGAGTTGATCGATTCTTTTGATACGGTCTAATGGGGTGTCAGAAGGCCAACCATACGGGGAGAATGACGACTTGTGATTCTGCAGGGAGCCGCAGTACTTATTAGGCGTGGGAGCACTGTATATGCAACGGATACGTTGCGTCCCTTCAATGCTTCCTGGCAGACAGAAAGACTCCCCTTCCGTGGTCCAAAGTGACACAGTGAGGTCGAGGGAGCCGGATGGTCGTGACAGCAGCTTTTGTGCTCATTTCAGCCATTCAGTACTATAGGAAGAAGTTCTTATGCCAGTTTCTTCTGTAAATGATGAGCATCTAATTCCAGCCCATCATCCTGTTGTGTATAAGATTTTTCTTGGCCTCTGCTCGAACCGGAAATTATTCATTATGCCAAAAATAATGAACTGTCTTGATGACAGTCAAACCAATCTAGGAGCTTCTCAGCTCCATCGGCCGCAGCCGCAGCCGCAACACTACCGTCGGTTCTCGGTGGTGCCCAGTATGTGCCACCGTAGACAGGCTCCAGCTCCAGCTCCTGGGTTAGGACCACATTGAGCCTGCGTTGCTATTGAGGGACTGGTTGTGACTCATGTATATGCTGTCGATATTGGGGTATTCTTTACGGTCGATCAGAATTGGGGTGAACTCTTGGTTGAGGATGTGGATGAGCCGATTGATTGTCGAAGGAGATCAGGGGAGGATCAGGACGGGTCGAGATGTGGTGGTGGTGCGTCCACCAGGAAGCTCCCATACCAGGTGATTATGTGAATGATGAGCCACCGGCTTCGAGCCCTACCAGGCTTGAGATTTTCTAGTCCTCTCGCTTTCGTCATCTGGTTGCTTGGGTGATCCACAGCATCGTCGTCATCCGAGTTTGACTCTCGTGGTCCCAAGATGGTGGGCTCAATCAGCGAAAAAACTGTCAGAAGGCCAACCATATGGGGACAGTGATGGCAGGGAGCTGCAGTGCTACACTCAGCCCCCATAAGTCTCCGTACGCGTGTGTTGGTAAGATTCCCAGATCACCCACAGATGGTGAGAAACACTGGAATAAGCGTACAGGAATAAGCAGCTTTAGTTTGATACGCCACCCCTAATCCTTATTCATGGTGCTTATTCGGATTTGATATTCACCGTTGTTTGCTGGACTGGTGGCGTAAGGAGACTTATGGGGTCCAGTGTGATCAGGCGATGTATGTATACACGAACGCGTTCCTTTGCCTTTGCTCCCCTCCATGCTTCGTGCCAATCGCCATCCGAGTCAGACTCTCGTGGCCCATGATGGTGGGTTCAACCAGCGAAGCTACAGTATCTGCGTGATACGATGCTTCTGGAAGGGTTGAATTGGTTCTATTTAGGGTTGAGTGCGAGATCCGGAACATCATGAGGACTGTATGAAGGTGACAGCGTTGTTTTCTATTACCAAGGTTCTGTCTAATGTCCGTTGGGCTGCCAGTGTGTAGGTAAAAATACACTAAGTGCTATAGTGAGGCCTTCACACTGGCAGCCCAACACATACTGCTTCCATGCAAAGATGGGCTCTGCTATTGTGCCTGGTTCCTCGTCGGCTCGGTGCTTTCCCTGGGACTGAGAAGGTTGTGGTGGAGGAAAAGAAGCGCCTGCGCCAATGCCAATTTCGCCCACAATGGCGTGTAAACGGATTCTTCTTGCCTGTTCAGGACTGGGGGCAGCTGACCCAGCTGACCATGAACATTCGAAGCGCGTCGACATCGCAGCCGTGGCTGCGGGGCATGGCGCAGGGACCTCCTTGGTGAAGTCGTTGCGCCAGGGTTGCGCGAGGCCGTCCTTCTTGGAGCCGAAGTTGGCAGTGGCTTCGACGGTGATACGAGGGTATCGGAACTCACGATAGCTTGCCTCCGTGACCTTGGGCGTCGACCTCAAGGTCAACGGTCAGGCTAATCGATACGATCAAACCAGTGGTTTCCTGCGTGAGAGTCCTGGCCCTCGGGAGGCACTCTTCCACAGCATCGTCGCCATCCGAGTGAGATTCTCGTGGTCCCATGACGGTGGGTTCAACCAGAAAAGCTACAGTGTCTGCGTGAGCCAATGCTTCTTGAGGGGCTCTGGAGGAGGTTTGGCTACATACGGGGACTTGGGTGCTCGAGGTTGTTGCGGTTTGAGAGATTTGGCGAGTAGGTCGCCCATCTCCCCTTTCGCAGGGTAGCTGGGATTCTGTTAACACGTATCTCCACCCGCAATCGAAGTTGCTGTGCTTCGATATGGTACTGAGCTCTGAGCTGTCACGCGCGTTCGGTAACTGCAGCTCGCTGCTTTCTTTTCGACTCAAAAGGTTGTGGTGGAGGTGAAGAAACGAGCCAGCTGCTTCCTGCGTGACACTCCTGGCCCTCGGGAGGTACTGGCATATCATGTGGTGCGCTGTCGGTTTCCGAGCGTAACTTGTTGCTGGTTTAGTGGCATTGTTCCCCGTCACGTCGGGGAAACTTCCGTTCATAGCCTCGGTCCTCCATGGATAGTTCTGTAGCTCGCTGAGATGACTGCTAGTATGAGTGCCTGGCGCACTCGGCATCCTTCTGCTGACAGCTACCTTCTTCTTCAGTCGTTCAACCTTGGCCGTTGCCTCGTCGAGGTCCTTCTGGAGTTGCGTCATTCTGACCTGTGCGGGATTGGAAGAGTTGAGTAACTCGGTAGCTTCTCAATACGACTGGATAAAGAGGGAGCGGTAACACTCAGAGCAAAGTGTCCTCTTCTCTCTGGAGCTAACAGACCGGAGACCGCGAGGTTTGGTGATCAAGGAAAGGATGTGCGGCGAGAGGTGGAAGAGCTGGAGAAAGGAGCGTGACGGGAACTGGATTCCTCACGCAGCTCGATACGGTTTTCCCACCGAGGACCGCGCATTGTCGCTCCTTCGAACGACATGAACTCGTCAAGGTATGACTGCTCCTCAGTGCTTCCTCATGCCGTTGTTGTGCTTAGCTCACAAAGCCGGTCCTCAGGCCCAAGCACCACTCTACCTCTCCTCTTACGTACAGTGATATCGCAAGATCCACCTGCTTGCACGACCAAATCGGGCGGATGGTCTCGTTCGAGTTCCAAGTCGACCAGTCATTGTCTCAGGGTCTCCGGTCTCCGGCCTCCCTGTCTCAGCACTTCCTGTCCCTGTCGTTCGCTGCCTTCTCTGGATCCTTTGCAACCTTCTCTGCCTTCTTGACATTGCATCATCAACGGCTTCACGGACTCTTCGTGCCGCCTTATTGGTTTCGGCAAGTATAAGTAGAGTCGGTTCTTCGAATCCCTGTCCTGCAATCCAGCTGTCTATAACGTTCATGTCTATTGTTTCGAAGTGCGTCGCGAGTGGTAGCCAATGGAACGAGACACGTATTAGCTGATCACAAGCGCACATTTTTAATAACAGGATATTCCCTTATGCGTAGCACTGCCCGATCTAGCGGATGTCCTGGAAGCATCAGTTGGGCAAGCCATACCCTACATCTTCGGGCCCCGTGTTGACCCAGCGACTCCAACTAGGCGCGCGATGGTTTATCGACACATATTCTGCGGTGGAGTGAGGAGAAGTTGGTGTACGGGGACGTCGGCCTTGGGCTCATGGGGGAAGACGATGCGGTGAGTACATTTTCGTAGCGCTCATGAACAACGTCTCGATAGGCCGCTGCCTCAGTAATGTCAGACTTTCGAAGGATATCCACAATGCCTGACCTCACCAAAGTCATCATGGGTCTCCTCCTCTGCGCCGTCAGCGTTGTCAACGCCAACTCTGGCGACATGACCTTCTTCCACTCCGGCCTCGGCTCTTGTAGCCAGACCAACGGTGACGGCGATGCCATCGTCGCTCTGCCACCCTCGGAACTAGCGTGGGAATTGCGTCAAGTCCATCAAGATCAACTACAACGGCAATCCGCGAAATGAGACCGCCAGGGCGATATCCCAGAGATTAGTCCTGGGGTGTTGGGAATGATATCCTCATACTTAGCCTGTAACTCTGTGAGCATGTTCATGATCCTCTTGCTGCGCTCACCGGACATCAAGTTCTGGCAGACCAAGTAGAGACGAGATCAGAAAAGCTGACAAGACTCGTGGTGGGCAATGTTCTTGTCATTGTTACAGCTTTTGCGTTGGGAATTGCTTCTCCTGGTTCAACCGCAAATATTATCCCCGAGGTTGGGCTCGTGCCGCAGGTCTTATACCTGACCTTCCTGAGCATCCTCCGCGTCCTGCGCATCACGAGCCTTAGGTGTAGACATTCCATCTTCTTCATTGCCCGTCTCGTCGTTTCCAATTGGAGCAGGCGCATCTTTGATGGCAAGAAGCGGGCCGCCAGAATCGATTCGGGACCAAAGATCTTCGACGAGCTTGACCAGAACCGCTCGTTGGATTTCGGATAAGAACCCTGGGAGTCCAAGAAGGCCGAGATCTGGAAGGTAGGTTAGTGATGCCGCGATGAATCGTGCCCGTGCCCGTGCTACTATCAGATTAATTGGAAGGTTTCTTACGGGAGCATATCGGCCAGAGGCTGCTGCTTTCACCGGCCCTTAGGCACTCGTGTCGCTGACTCGGCTAGGTAAGGCTGATCGGCTTCGCCGCTCTATACAACGTATAAGCCGTTGTCCACCAGCGCATCGCTCGATCGCATAGCCGTGAGCCATACTAATCTTGCCTATGGATAATTGACCTTCGTCAACAGAAGTCGATACTTCAGATATGCGCGAACTGGCGCGTCGCTTTCAATGATCAGTCTGGTTGGGATGTCGAGATATACGTCCAATGCGCGCGACGGGGCCTCCTCATCCTGCCACGAGCGAACGGCGCGGCGGCGGACCTGGCCAGTCAGCCTTCTTAGGCGCGGGCGCAGGCACGGTCACTACCTCCCCCAGTTCGATATCGTCGCCTCGGGCGGCAGAAGCAGCAGCGCGGGCAAAGCGAGCGGGTTGCTTTCGGAAGCAAGATATCTGCGTTCGTGAAACTCCAGCTCTTATCATTAAAGGAGGCATCCATACGGTCTTGCAGAGCTTTCATTTTCTGTACAATCGCGTATGATGGCTTTTGGTGTAGACCGCACGTGAGATCCGGCATCAAGGGCCGGGCCCAGGACACGAAGCCGGCGAGGTGTTTCCATATGGTGAGGGTGGCGAGCACGCCTCCGAGACGGAAGCGGGCGGAAAACCAACACCTTGCGTCATCACCGAGGTTGTGGCCAAGACACTATCTTCATAATGGTAACTTTACCAGCCCTCAGGCCCCCATGGCCTCACCCTCTCGCGAAGCGCCAGCCGCACAGCGGCGGACCTGGGAATCGACATGCGTCGGCAAATCTATGTCTTGGCCTTCTGCGGCCGAGGCAGCTGGGCAGACCCGGTTGACCATGCTGGCGAAGGCGCCCGATCCAGTGGCCCTGTCGCAAGTATGTCGAGAAAGACTGACTGGAGACCGGTGGTATCGTTGGCTCCGGGAACCAGTACGCCAGTATCGATTCGTTGGTAGTGAGGAAACATGGCGCGGGAGACCTGAGGCGCACCAATGAGAGCATTTTGGGGTTTGTTCGAAGCGATCCTTGAAAAGTGTGCCTCCGCCGCAAATGATACGCATCGGTTTGCCAGGAACTTCCTCAGAGCTTCGCGCTGATCCTTGATCTGCTTCTTCAGCTGGGCCTTCTCTCGCTCGTCACGTTCACGCGCAGCAGCTTGTTGTTTCTCTTCGGTACGAAGCGCCAGCGCCGCCGCGACGCTGAAACCCCCGCTGCTGATGACGAATCCGCGTTGGTCTGCGTGGGTACTGAATAGTGCGCGTTCTTCCAATCCTTTGCAACGTATTGGTCACCCAGGTATAGCTCCAGCCACTTGTAGGAAATATTTACTGTTGACGGCCTGCTGAGTGGAAAGAGTCGACGTAAGCGACTGTCTTGCGGGACGGTCGTATGACAAGGATAGCTGGGACAAACACAAGAAGGGCACGGAATCGTAGTGAAACCCCACGAGTCCCGTGGTTTCTACTACATATGCTCTCGTTTTTTGAATTTGTTGAGAAACAGAAACCTGGATCCAGAGGAGAGAAGTCTGCTTGTCTTGGTATCGGGGATGTCGCAGACGACTCGTTTGTCTCTCGCCTCGGAGAAGTCGCCATTGACCAGGCCGTCCAAAAGTCGGGACAGGTTGGCGAATATGTCGGCGTGGACCACAAACTCTTGTGGTCATGTAGTCATGGGTTGCAGTGTACGTATATAGCTGAAAATATCCATGTTCTTCATGTAGCAGTCCCACTGGCGCCGACCACTAAGGTGAAAATTTTGTTGGTGAATAGCCTGTGAATGTGTCAAACTACAATACGTAGATGAAAGAGCCCCAGCTCTACAAACCGAACCCTGAAAAAGCACTGAAACACCCTTCTGGGAGAACACTTCGTGTCCTGTGCCTTGATGTGGGAATGAAGAACAGCCAGCTCCGACGTTTCCTGAACAGGGGTGTCGAGGTCCTGGTCTATCCATGGAACCATGACTTTTCAAAGGGCTCCTTGTCCGGTAATAACCGGGTCAGAGATGCCCCTTCGGAAGGCATCAAATACACCAAGTGCTATAGTGAGGCCTTCACACTTACTGCTCCATATCGGCCTCCGATCGACGCTGTCCCTCCGTCTCTTGCCATTTGGCAAGGTCCATTTGCCATCGGACATTAGTCAGCAACCATGGCTTATAGACATGCGTGCAAGTGAGCAGGCGGTAGGGGAGTAAATCTAGGTCGGAGACGGGGAGGGTAGTGCTTAAAAGCTCTTTGTACAGCTCTGGATGAGATCCCGGGATGGGTACTCTATTGGTGTAGGTCATCTCCTCCTCAGGATGAGTGGTGTCGTCGACATCCATCTGCCGACCTGAGCCAGTGTCATTGTTTCTGGTCAAAGGCTGATCTGTTTCAGGCTCCGTGTCGATGTCCATTGGATCACCGTAATCATCCCATGGAATGAGCCTCGTTGGCGTCTGGCATGAGATTGCTATCTCAGTGAACAGGCGGCTGTGCCTGAATTCATTCCAAGATCGATACCATCTGTCAACCTGCGGATTTGGGAACATGAAGTCAATGAACAGGCCGTTCGAGGCGACCGCAACTTGGGCTTGCTCTGTTCCTCTCGACGTCGACATCGACATCGACATCATCCCATACATCCAGAAATGCATCCATTCCAATGCCAATGGTGCCAAGGCCTTGAATCGAACTGCCATCCTGAAGATTAGGGTGGAGTGCAAACTGGGAAACCAAGGATCAAGAAGTCCAGACCAAGCTTTACCAGCCACCTCGGCGGTGATCATTGCGGTTGCCAGGATGCCATCCAGGGTCAAATCCTGATTTCCCATCTGCCATGCTTCGGGTCTTCGGAAGGCCTCCGCCATCGCATCGGTGGAAGTCCCAAGGGGCTGCCGAATGGCGCGTTGGCGTGTTCCGATTCGATCTTTTCGATGATGCTCTCTCGTTCATCTCGCCCGTTCTTCGATGTCCTGTTTGATGCGTACTGCGGGTGTTGCGGATACAGGTGGACATCGCGCTGGTCGTACTCAGACCGGAACGATTTTGCATTTGGTGCAGTCGATCTTGTGGCGAGTCGACCGTTTGTAGGCTTGTCTTGGTATTCCAGAGTCCTCTTCCTATTTGGGTTGGTGTACCTGGTGCCTAGCAAGACTTGGGTCATAGTGGGCTGCATGGTGAATATGGCGAGTCGACCGAGACAATACGGATCGAGGTATGCGTTGGCGTGTTCGATGTTTTCGATGTAGTCGACGTCTTGGTCCGCGTTATGTCGAGCACCTTTTGCGCGGACAGTAGAGTCGTTTCTGGCATTCGTACTCGAGATGCCTCTTGCAGTATATGGCGATGAGGTCTTTCTCCAATATGGCTGCTAGCTTTGGGGTCAATTTGAATGCTCACAACACCGAGGCGGGAAATCTGCGTCGGTGCGAACGGCGACGTCTTGATGCCCTGAGTAAGACTCAGAGGGGTCACAAGACATCCTTGGTGGCGATTATTTGGCTGCTGCTCAACTCTGGAAGACCAGGCACAATGAACCTCTTAGGCAGGCTCATCTTCGTGGCCAAGCAACTTGTGGAAGATGTAGCCAGACACACTTATCTTGTCCACGACGGTCTTCCTTGAAAAAGATCGAAGTCATGTCTGAGCTGTGGGCTGACGAGTGAGTGTCGACTCCGGGATGAGTCCAATGAGGATAACCCGAGTGGGTACTGACTCTGTGCGAACCGAATGAAGATGACCCGCGTGGGCATCACCTGTGACAGGAATTATAATGTTGATACGAAGTCGTCCGATGGAAGGGCCATCGTTGTGTCCACGGGCCTATGCTCCCTAGTAAGTGTATAGGGCCTCTTCTGCACCTTTCGGGATCTCCTCCTCCGATTCCCACGAGGTTGATCTGTTTCAGACTCCGTGCGATGTCCATTGGACCACCCTAATCGTCGTTAAGATTTTGGACAGGAGATTCGTGGGGGTCCTTCAAGTCATTGACCCTTGGGTTTCTTCTTATATCGAATGGCGGGCAGTAATCGACCTGCCCACAGTTCGCGCACCTCAATTTCACCGAGTCTCGCATTGTATTGGCATGTATGAACCGTATACCCAGGTTTTGGTAGTGCCCCTGGCCGAAGCCGATGGGGAGGCCCAAGTCATCGACGTTGGTGTTGGCGTCAGCATGCTCTATCTTGCGGCGCTTGGTGCGGGTGTGTCAACCTGCTTATTTTGGACTGACGGTGCCGTTCAATGTGCCGTTTACGGTGGCCCATACTGTCTCGACAATGCCGTGTTCTGGTTGCATGTGCTTGATGTTGGCCTCAGTTGGCCTTCTCGCCGGCCCAGTGGACTAATATGTCCACGGTACCGCTCCCCTCAGCAGCCATTCGATATTTGACGAAAAAGGCGTAAGGATGGATATCGATATTGATATCTATGATATCGGCAATGATGTGTCGGCTGTCTCGGTAGACTTGGCAGATAACAAGTGTGCTAACCAGTCATGCTGGCTCGGGTTGGAATACATATGCATGTTGTCGGCAAACTGGAACGCAATGGTTAGCTCTTGGGTTGAAAGGGACCAAGGGGCTGTCGGCTGCTGTGGCAGGGGACACTGTCCCGTCGAAGGCAACGAAAAAGGGCGATATAGGACTTCCGTTGACAGCGTCGGTATGCATGTTCTTGCTCGTTGGGCAGAAGCGCAGAGGAGGAGCTCGAAGATGCGAGTAGTCGAACATGCACAGACTTAACGAGTCGACATTGCTTGACCGCAATAGCCTGACGATGTACGGGGAGGCCAGCCTCGAGTGTCTCACGATGAATCATGAGGCTGGCAGATAGCAGGGTCATGTGGCTCCGACTTGCGAGGGCGACCACTTCGTTTCGGCTCCCGAGGCAGAGATGACTTGAGACGCCGCTGTCAGTGGTACCGGAAGACCGTCAACATCCTCAGGATCCCGCGCCAGGATTCTCCCACGTGCTTGCACTGCAACGCCTAACTGCCGACGTCGGCAGCGATCCTGACGCGAACGTCGGGGATAACCATGATATCGATGTTGATATGGATGGTAATATCGATGCTGATATCGATGTTGATATCAATGCTGGTATCGATGCTGATATCGATATTGGTATCGATGTTAATATCAATGTTGATATCAATCTGTGCTTGTGTGAACTCGCTTCCATCCTTTATCTGCTTGTCAGGGATCCGATGGCCGCAGACGTACGTTTGCGGGCGTTTGCATATCGGACAGTTACCGTGGCTAGAACGAGGGAGCCATTCGCGCAGGCAGTCGGCGCAGAAGCGGTGCTTGCAGCTAAGGGTGGTGGCCGATCTGCGCTCCATGTCGGTATGGCAAATGGCGCAGAGGACGGTCCGTTTCGCGATTGTCTCCTTTGATGGCTGCGGCGCGTGTTTCTTAACCACGTAGATAATGGTGAGACGTCAACGCCGTTGGGAGATGAGCTCGGAGATGCGCGTAGTCAAGCCGCCTGGACATGATGGGTCAACATCCCCCTGCAGGGAGTGCTGGGCGCGATGATTGCTGGTGGATGAAGTGATTGGTCGTGTGTGTGGTTGTTGTTGGTTGTTGAAGGTGAAACGGGGAGATCTTCATCTTCGCCACAGTCGACGGACTCAAGTCTGACCCCAGACGCCGCCAGCACCAGATCAGATCGGTATCTAGAACTACAATCAGCTGTATTCATCTCAAAAGGTCCAGCTGCCTGGCATATTGGACATACGGGGAGGCTGTCGTTTCGATGACCGGATGAAGACCTAAATCGTCGATAGTGCGTCTTTTCTTTCGTGCGCTTTGTTCGCCGTGTCTAGACGACACGAGGTGACCGTCTGAAGTGAGATGCTCGACGCTTCTCTTCCTTCGTCTCCAATTCGGCGCTAGTACGGGGTACGTATCTTGCGTCGGTGTTTGCGTCCGAGACTCGTGACGTGTACAGCGAGTCCCCAGGGGGTTTTATTGTGGGATTACCACATGTGATATAGTCGGCTCTTTCGTTCTAGACCCGGACGAGATGGGAAATAAGGGCAGCGGCAGCGGCAGCGGCAGCGTCCTTGCGGTGTCTCTTGATGCCCGCTGGGCCATCAACCCATGTCAGGTCTGTATGGGGTGCCTGAGGCATGACTGGTGGCTGGAGATGAATGGGGATTGCCACGGCTGGGGAAGCCGAACAAGTTGAGGGGTGTCAGCTGAGTTGATGATTGGGGTACTACCTCTGCCCAAGGCAGCAAGACCGGCGGAGCAACTGGGACAGGGACGAATTTGGGTCGGGCCATGCTCTCGGTTTCGACCAAGGCTGAAGGGGCTCCTCGTTTGCAAGAGACAGTGCCGGGGTGCCAGAGCTCAAGATGGATATCATCAAGTCGAAGAAGTTTACAGGCAACCAAGTCGGCGATTGTCGTGTGGCGAAATCTGCGTAGGTTGCGACGCAGCAAGCTCAAACCAGTCACAATGCTGGCCGAGGTGAGTTCATCGCCTACCAGGGAGACCTTGGAAAGAATGACTCGGTGAGCGGTTGCAGTATTTCAGTATTGCTGACTGGGGCAAAGGACTGAATGAAATTGAAGGGCGAGGTGAATGGATCGTCGAGACGTAGATGTACGTATATAGGTGAAGTGTGAATACGGACGTGGGTAGGTTGGGAGAGAACTGAAGTGGGGGACTGGAGAGACACTGGCTGGGGACGGACCTTGAGAGGAGGAAGGAAGGGGAGGGGGGGAAAGAAAACAGTAAGGACTGGAAGAAGAGGGAACGAGAGGGGAGGAAAGAAGGACATGGATGGGGGAAAGTAAGGCCCACGGTTAGGCAACTTAACAACTAATAAGTAAAGAGCAAACACTGGAAGCTGTCAGAGCAGGAGTGGCTACCTATCCAAATTGATCTGACGAAATTTTATCACTATTCTCATCTCTATGTCTATGCCTTGTGCTATAGAGCCATTCTCATAGGCCTCATCAGAAGCCTCATCGCAGCCGTTCAAAACACACAATGTAATACCCGCTCATTTTCGATATTCCCTGGTATGAACACCCTTCTTCATCTTATAAAGCCCAAGGCAGAGCTTTATAGCCTCGTAGCTTTAAACTGTCCTTCAAACTACCTAGGTCTTGTTCAGTCCGTTCACCGTGACTTGTGACTAGATCTGAAATGCCAGCAAGAATCACAGCAACACCATGCGTTTATTGTATACCTAAACACTACATCATCATACAGCAAATTTCTTCATCACAGCCAAGTTGGAAAGTATTATGCTTAGTCTCATAATCTATTATCACCGTTTCCCTGTAGTGATGGGACTGATCATGACATCTGGACTTCATCGACAACCGTCCGCGACAGTGGACAGGCAGTACGGCAGTGCCAGTCTAGCGGGTGTCATGCGCTGTAATCCAGTGGCCGACGAGTCGCAATCCGGGGGGCTACAGGGGATACAGGGCCTTGGGTCTTCTGGCCCACCGGCTCTCTAGCGGCCGGGGAAGAATGCCGCCCAATGACTCACACCGCGGCATCCCGAAGTGTAGCCTGGAGCAAGAATCTTTTATAACTTTGAGAGCAAATTTTGTCAGCAAACTAGAATAATTCAAAAGATTATGGATTCTACTCCTGGCTCAAATGTGCCAGGTTTGCTTTTGTAACTTTTTGTCTTTCTCTCCCTCGTCGCAGGCGCACCGTTCGAGTTCCGTTGTTGGTGTGAAGGTCAGCCGGCCCCCTTTTCCTTTTTGCCTTGCCACCCTCTTTAAACATGATGCACCATGTCCCATCCCATCATATCACCTCCTCATGACCACGACGTTGCTTGCTATATGGATCACCAAGCCAAACACCAAGACTCGTTACCGCTCGCTACCTACCCAGCCAAACCATCTACCACCTGCCCAGACAAACGGACAGGTGGACGTACCAACAGACAGGCAGCGATAGATCCCACCTCCTCGTCAAATTATTCCGCGCCATCCACGATGCCAACCACCAAAGACACGTGAAAATAGGAGTAAAGTACATACAGTCAGCCGATCACGGCGCACCTTGCTTGGCACGGGAAAATGTCTTCCGCTGCAGCAGTAGACTCCCTCACCGTCGCGACTAAGAAACTTCCGCTCTTGTGGGTTGTTGGCATTCTATTCTTCTCCTCCTCCTCCTCCTTCTATAGCGTCGCCTCAGGACTCCTTGCGCCGGGCGGAAACGCAGCACTGATGGGGACGACAGAAAGCTTGGCGCCCTCGGCGATATGCTTCACGAAGGTTGAATCTTTGCGCGCGTCCACGAGGATGGCCTTACCTATCGCCTTGCTGGCCAACGTCCGGAGCTTCTCGAGCACGCCGTCGAACAACTAGTGTCCGACGGCTGGTGCTGCGAGCGTTCCTCGTACACGTCCCACGGCCAGCCAGACTCCCTCCCATAGGCTCTTGATCCTCCGCACCGAATGTCTCATGCGGCTGTCCAGGGTGCCCTCGAGAGGGTGGCCTTTTGGCAGATTGATGTTAGGGGGCTTGGGACGAACCATCCCACGCTGTCTTTGTATCCCACACCCCCCCTTCTCTCTCTATTTCTCTCTTTCTCTCTTTCGTGTCAATCGGTTCGGATATGAGATTGGGAGGGGACCGGGGGATGAGTTCGGTTGGTCAAATTGTCGGTCAGATGGTCGAGTATCGAAAGGCGGGAGTCTGGACCCGGATAGTTATTTAATTAATAAATTGAAAAGATGTAGGAGTGCCTGAGTTGATATCCCGTTCCGTCTGGAATCTCTTCCCCCTTTCAAGTCGAGCACGCCGTCACCTGTATGCCCCTTTTTCAAAGACCTGCAGCCCCCTCCTCCTCGCCGCCCTTATTCGGATGCCGATCCATATGAAGGCACATTCACAAGGATTCTATAGACACATTTGCTCCGTTTCGAAATGGCGTTTTCGTGTTTTCGCTGTCAAGGTAATCTGATCTGAGAAAGCAATGGCCTGACCGCAACACCACTCCGTAACAAGCTCGCCTAGACGAAGTCGTCACGCAAGTCTTCTAGTCCAGAATAGCCAGAACGCATTTTCTATATATATAAGTTACTCTCTACTCCGCCCGCGTAGTCCCACGATGGTTGCCCCTCGCACGACGCTGCAGTTCGATACTATACTGCGAAATCTCGGCTGGCAACCCATAACGTTAGTTGCCCCATCCTCCCCCTTCCCCTTCCATCCCATTCTCCTACATTCGCTCGCGCGTTCTTAACCCCGCGGACAGGCAGATAGGTGTAGGCTGAGTATAAGTCGAAACCGTGACGCGCTGCCAACGCGCGAAGGCCACGGACGGGTTGTAAGTGAGGGTGCCCGCGGGGAGGGCTCTAGGTTAGTTCAGCTAGATCGGGGAGGATACGGGTTGTCCAACCATCGCGACTCGCGATGTCGCCCACGGGGGCTCAGGTTCTGGTACAGTAGCTTGTCGCCGGGCGAGAGAGGAAGAGGGAGCAAGAAAAAAAGAGAGTGTAAGAAATAGTTGATGAGTGAGCAAGTGAGTGAGTCTCCGCCGGGCGCGAATCCGCTGGCCTAGTCGTGGCCGGGCGACCTTGGGCGACTGATTATTGTGTCTATTTGATGCCATGAAGACGGCGGGCGTGTAGTGCTGTATGTTGAGTATGGGCACGCACTACCTAGTTTTTTTCTTTCAACGAGGACAGGCAGAATGAACTGATGGGGGTGAGCTACGGGAAACTTACGCGAGCTGTAGTTACTAAATAAGCAAACTCTGCTGGGCTAAGCTGCTCCGTAGTGAGAGCTACTTACCTTAGAGTCTTCGGTATCAGCACCGAATTCTCCGCTGCTAAGCTGAAAGGCTGACTAGTATGATGTGATGCGCAGCGTGCGATTTATGATGGCATGGGAGGACGAGTTCTCGCCAACACCGCCAAGTTCTGCTTCCTCCTTGCTTACTTGGTTCTTGAGACGGGGGCTTCTGTTACCTTTCATACGGCACTAGCTTTATGTTGCGGCAATCGTGGCCATTAGTGCAAGTTTTGTATGTTTTGATGGCGTGTTAGGAGGTTCACTCGGATCCATCGCGGCGAGAGTAACATTATAGAGGGGAGGCGGAAGGCTGGAGCCGAGGTGGAAGATGGGATATGGGATGGGATATGAGACGAGATGAGAGAGGAGATGGAACAGGCCAACTCACCAGCATGTAGACATAACGCACTGGAGCCCAGATCTTAGACTCGTACGCAATCCCGTCGACTGGTCTTCCTGTGCCGGGTTCCTGTGCTAGTCTTGGATCCGGTTCCGGCTTGTGAGCAGCCAAGGTCAGTACGGGTCCATTCCTTGGCATGCATACGGTTATGGACATGGAGACGGGCGTAGACCATGAAGCATTCAGTCTTACGGCTGGGAGCCATCAGCTACTTGGTGCGGCATAGACGAGGGGAGGGGTTAGAGACCGCCATCGGTGACCTCGGCATGAAAGGGTTCAGGGACATGACGACTAGGACAGCGTCGAGGTAATGAAACGAGATGAGATGGAAGATGGGAGATGGGAGTCGGAACATAATAGTCCGCGAGGGCAAAGGAGCCGTCGGTACACAGAGGCTACTATGGGCATGCATTGAGACTCATGTACTACGTAGTACTGCTAGCAGTGAACGCTGGCTACCGGTAGATCCAGCGGCGGCACTGTTCCCGGAGTAGTCTTGCCTCGAGGTTTCCCGAGTCGGTGTCATGTCCCCCGGCCGGCCCCGGTGCATCAACCTCCGACGCTTGAGACACAGACTAACGGCGGGGGCATAGATGTGGGACAGCCCTAGATGTGGGACAGTTTTCATACCCAACATCACAATGTTCACTTACACATATCTCTACCGGCAATGAAGCCCTAGATATCGTAAATACTGCATTGAAATCGTCTTTTCTTGTTGTTTTCAGCAGTGCTGGTTTCATCAGGTTTACCACTGCGGGATGGGCCGCTGTGGGGGTCGGAAGTTAGCACTCCCGGCCCTAATCTGAGGGGTAATGGGACCTGTGCCCCCTATCCCCTTCACTGTAGCAGAAGTTCTGCTGTTCTTTTTTTTCTTTTTTTTCTGTCAGTATCATAGGCTTCAGTACGTTAAAATGCCTCCTTCGTACACTCCAGAAGACCTCACAGAGGCAATTGCCGCTGTGAATGATGGCATATCCCTCCGCAAGGCGCATCAGCACTGGGGAGTACCGAAATCAACTCTCGTGCTGAAGGTAGACGGCACCACGATGCGCCCAACGCTGACTAGCCGTGATGGGGCTCTTAGGAGCCAAAATTTAAGCCCTGCACAAGAAACTCGGGTTGTATCATGGATCCTCTATCAAGAGAAGGCTGGCCACGCGCCAACTCACGGCAATGTGAGGTACATCATCCAGAAGATCCTATAGTCTGAGGGCAGGGCAGATCATTTAGGGGGCAAATACATGCGAAATTTCATCCACAGGCACCCAGAGATAAAGACCAAGATGGGCAGAAAGCTGGACTACAAGCGTATCAACGCCGCCATGCCCGAGAACATCAATGGCTTCCATGATCTCTATAAGGAGTTCGCCTTTATCAAATCAGTGAACCAGGCAAATGTCGATAAGTACGGCATTATGCAGGGCTAGCAGTACGTAAGTGCCTAATTCAAGTGCTTTTCGGACGGCTGACCGGGCCGATAATAGGTCTGATGGCCTTGTAATAGATAGTTCTGGCTCAAAAGGGGCCAACGTCAAGTCTAACGATGACCGCACGTGGACTACAGTGGTGGAATTGATCACCGCTACTGGGAAAAAGCTCCAGCCACTCGTTATTTTTAAGGCAAAGTCGATACAGACTTAGTGGTTTAAAGAGCAGTTCATTATTGAGCATCCCGCGATGGCAGAGTGGATAGTGACGTACTCCATTAACGGCTGGTCCTCGAACGAGATCGCGTTGGAGTGGCTTAAAAAGGCGAGTAAATAATGAGTATTACTCGTTAACTACGTGCTAATAAGCCTCAGATGTATCTCCCTGATACAGCTCCTGAAGATCCCGATGATTCTCGCCTCTTAATATTAGATGGCCATGGCAGCCACTGCTCGGATGAGTTTATATATCTTTGCTACATTAACAACGTATATATGTGCTTTTTTCCAGCTCACATGTTAAGTTAGATGATCAGTTAGTAGTTATTTTGCTAATAGGGATAATCTCATATCTTCCAGCCGCTGGATTTGACAGTATTCTCTGTTATTAAAGCCGCCTATCGCCGCTTGATCAATCAGCTTGGCCAGCTCAATGATTCGGCCCCTATTGGCAAGATTAAGTTCCTCAGTTGCCTAGCGAAAGCTCGTGTCAGATTCAAGCGAGTTCAGTGATTGGAGGGTGATTATTGGTGTCTTGCATCGTGTGTTGTATCTGTTCTGTCTGTTCAGGTGCCCCTGATTGATTCCCAGTTTTTGGTGTTGGTCATTTCCGCCGTACCGTGGTTTTTCCGGTCGGACTCGGCTCATCTTCATGACCCCTGTTATCCAACAGCTCGCGATGAAGCTACGCCGGCTATCGTGCATTCGGGGTGACGTACTGCTGGGCTTTAGCCTGTAAATCGACAAAAAACGTTGACAAACGAGCATGTGGTAAAGGCGGCGGAGATCCAAGCAGCAGCAGCTGCTATAATGGACCCCGAGACCACCCACGAGGCCCTAGAAGCCCCTAAATCAGGGCAGGACATAGCCCTGATGCTATCACCAGTTGCTTTGACCCCTGAGCAGCGAGCAGCAGTACGCTCGGTTGCAAAGTCGTACGATGAGATGGTGGTTGAGCTAGCCCTCGTAAAGGAGTTGTTGGAGGCAAAAGACGCCAAAATGGAGCGTCTACAGCCAAAAAAGCGCCATAAGGCACCTCAAGAAGAGCCTAATCAATGGCTATGGAGAGTTGGGGACGTTATTCAGGAGCAGATCGAGCAAACGGAGGCTGCGCGAGTCTTGATCAAGTAGCGGACCGAGAGACGATGAATTGTAGCCGAATTGTAGAACCTACACACGAATAAATCAGAGAGACCACTCTCTGATGACTCTGTCGTGCCTGAATCATCAGATTCAGGAGAATTTGAGCCCTTAGAGGGTGTTGAGAATAAAGGGGTTGTTATTGATAAAGGGGACAAAAGTGAGGATAAGGAGGATGAGGAGCCCATTGTGGTTCGATCTTCGCGCCGCGCAATCAACCAGCCTGCACGGTACCACGACAAAAATTAGTATTACTAAAAACTCCAAGAAAAGGCGATTCTTTTGCTGTTTTTATATTATCTAGAGTCTTAATCCAGATGGAGTTATGTGTGGGTGCAAGTGTGGTCTTTTGGTGTGAAAACTGTCCCACATCTAGGGCTGTCCCACATCTATACCCCCGCCGTTACCTTATAGTTACCTGGCCCTGCTGTGTTTTACCACCCATAATACCTGGAGTCAATCGACCAGTCAATGTATTGGCACGAATCGACACCAACACCGCCACCGACACAAAGGCAACTCTCCGAATCTATGTAGCATTTGTACCAAGCAATGCAAGCATCTGCGTGCTGCGCTGCGCATCACCATCCCTACTTCATGTCACATCTCCCAGTCCGGAAACATCAAGGCTAACAGGCGTGTTGCGTGGTACCCTTGGATGTATTACATGAGCCAATGGTCATGTAGTGAGGGGCGGCTCGACTCTCGGGTCAGCTTCTGATCATATTCCGACTCCCGAGTTATTAGAGCAGCCAAGTTGAGCGTAAATTTTGAAGTATGTATTGTCACGAGCCAAAGTGCGAGGTTCCAATTTGACAGATATCGGGACGGCCGTGGGTGCTAACGGGTGTTTCGACGCCCACCTGTCTTCAATATTGGTGATTTATGCGTTCAGGGGTCGGAATTGCGAAACTCGTGCGATTTGTTAAGAACGGGCGTCACGCAACATTAACTCTATTCGACACCGGATCCTTTGGACCCGGTATAACCGTTATGCAATGTGCATATGGAGATCGCGCAGTGGTTTGACCCGCCGGCGGATAGTTTCCGCCGGAAACCAGGAAGCCAGGCCGGAGGAGCCGAACCCACCCCGGATGCGACGCGGGGCCCGAGTTTGTGGGCCTTAAATCTGGGCTCTGGACTGTGCCGCAGGCCCCTGGGGTCCACGCGGTCATGTATGTAGTATTGCTACATTAACTGGGGTTGTATGACATGGCTTTTGGGGTGGGATAGCAATTATGCGAACAGTTCCCTAGATTCTTCACATGATCGATTATGATCGCTTTCGACTGCGGCAAGACGAAGGCGAAGGCGAAGGCGAATATGGCCGGGGTGTATCTTGGTTTACTTACTTACTTCATCATCGACTCCCGGCCGCCCCAACCAGCGGCGAACCTCATCTGGCCAGGGACCCTGGAGGTAAGCACTGTATATTAGTAATGGGTGGGACTGCCGAGACCGCGGACTTTTGACGTTTCCACCCCCGCGGCGCAGCACCAGTCAAGACCCTGTCGTACCCTGGGGAGGTGGTACCACAACGGGGTGGCCCGCAGGGAGGAGTGGCCGGGTTGCCCCGTAGCTGGGTGGGCAGTGGGCACGTGGTTGGTCATTCATTCATGGAGTTATGTTATCTTGCCGGACAGGGGCTGGAAGACCCCGGTTGACCATTGCATTGACTAGATCCGTAACCAGTATTCGTAAAAGAGCCTATCTATATCCAGCTGGGAGCATATAATGTACGTACAAGGCAAGCAAGCAGTATTGGCCCCATGAGTTCTGATGAGTCTAATCATCTCAGGACCGACTGCGCCGTAGCTAGGTGGTTTACGTTATTTCCCTGTCCCTGCATCCGTGCCGTGCCGTAAACCGCTCAAGAGTGAAGGCTTTGTCTAGGCAAGTTCGATCTCCAGCAGACTCTCCACCCCATGGCCGCCGCCGTAGATCTTGACGATCTTCAAGCCAGCCTTCTCCATGAGGTTCTCCCAGTCCGTGCGCGTCCGCTCGCGCGACGCAAAGTATGTCAGCATGACCATGTCCAGGGCCGTCGTCTCCCACCACGCGTCCTCGGTCGGGATGACGTTCTCGTTGATTAGGAGCTTGCTGTACCCGGGCTTCATGGCCTCCTTGATCCTACCCAGAATGCTCAGACACACGCTGTCGGGCCAGTCGTGCAGGCACGAGTGCATGTAATAGGCGCGCGCGCCCTTGAGCGGCTGCGGAGCGTGGAAGTCGTACTCCATGCGCTGGATGCCGGGGTCGAGGTCCTTGATCTGGTTCACGACCACACCTAAATCCTGCAGGACCAGCTTGCCCGGGTGGTCGGGCCACATCTTCAGGAACTGCGACACGTCGTGACCGACGCTGCCGCCGATGTCGATCAGGAACGGCACGTCGGGGGACGAGTCGGCGCCCTCGATGAGCCGCTCCTTGACGGGGTAGAACGACGGGTCCATCCACGGGAGCCGGCCCTGGCGGTAGCCGCCCATGTGGTGGTTGAAGTGCTCGCCGTACCCGATCTCGTGCTGGCGCGCGAAGAAGTCGAGCTTGGTGTTGTAGGCGTAGTGCATGGCTGTGTTGTGCGCGTCAGTCGGCTCGCGCCAGTTGTTCTTGCGGGCGTATTCGGGGAAGCGCATGGCTCCGCAGGAACCACCAGATAACCTGAGACACCGTCAGCTTTCCATACCCCCAAAAACAACAACAATGGAAAAGCAGGCTGTCCAAGGACTAACATTGGCAGGTATCCGTCACCGATGATGGGGATGCTGAGCGACTTGGAGAAGTTGTTAGTCTTGTAGACGTCCTCTCCGACCTCGACTACGTAGCCCATGGCACCGAGATGGCGCATCATGCGGCTCAGCAGCGGCTTTTCGATGCCGAGAGCATCGGCGAGATCGCCGACCTTTTGCGGCTCGTCGCCGTTCTTGGCCATCAGCTTCCAGAGACCGGTGTCGACGCCAAGTTGGAGGCCAGCGAGAGCGCCAGCCTTGATGCATGTTAGACCTAGTCCAGGGAGATGCTCTGATGATATGGAGACCATGGTGACGTACCTGGGCCCAGCAGTGCTTGATCATGGTCTCTCGGGGCGTCTCGAGCGACTGCACGAGCGTTCGTGCCTTGAGCAGGAACTCGTGACGGGCTTCCTGGTCTTCCGCATTGAGCTTCCCGAGGTCCTTGGTCATGTCCTCCAGGAGCTTGGGGACCGCTTGGAGGTCAGCCGGCGCCAGCGCCACGGAGACGTCAACCGGAGACATCGTGAGTCGTGATATGAGAGAGAGGCGTAGTAGATGAAGGTGACAGGGGAGAATGACAGACTCTGGGTGGCTCTGTTACCGAGATTGCGAGAGAAGAGGGATGCCGTGGCCCGGTCCGTGGGTTTCGGGGTCTTAAAAACTATCGGCCAGCCAGAGGGGGGGCATGATTGTGGTTCGCCCGGTTCGGCAAATCGGTCGATCGTCAGGTGCCGAAGGCGAAAGGCGACAGGTCCGTCCCAGAGCTCCAGCAAAGCCAGCGGGGATTATTGCTTGCCCGTGCGTATCATCAGCCTACGACGCCCACGTTTCCGCGTGGCTTCGTTGGTTGCAGAATCACTAGGACCCCTCTGCTATCCCCAGTGCCCACGTTTTTGCGTTGCTTCGTTGGTCAAGTTGCTTGATGACCCTGGGTATGAGCCTCTTCTGCCCCCCACGCATGCCAGCCATGCCCACGTTTCTGTGTTGCTTCGTTGGTCACACACACAAACTCCCAACGACCCCGCAGCCTTGTTGCATTGCATGATGGACTGAGGGCCCAGCGGTCGGTCTGGCCTGTAGGGGACGGCCCGTACCCATGCTCGCCACACCATGCATGCCGATCGATACCACAAACACCCAATAAGGTCGTTGCTCCGACAAGCAGTGGAAATTCCTGCAACCATCCCCTGCTTACCCCTTTCAAGTTTCCCCTCACAACTTTGGTCTACCCTTTCAAGTCGGGGCCGTTGGGGGCTGTTGAGAAAAAGAAAAAAAAAAAAGGGGCGGTCTCGCTAACGATTATACTACCGATTTGGGGGGAGATGTGGTAGTATCACGTGTGGAGACGGACGATACATCGTATAATTGGCTGCTAACCTTTATGTCGACGGCTGACGGCCTTGCAGGTTTCCACTGCATAATCTCACACAGACGTTGTGCCATGTATGGCTGTGGATACGACGACAATGCAGGCTGGGTGACAGGTCGACTTGATGAGCAAGCCAGGAAGGCTGGAAGGTGGCAACCCGCTGCCCTTGCGAACCATGATTGCCCCTTCGTCGGGACCACATTTTCATTTTTGGGGACTGTACGTGTATCGTAGGCTTGCAGTCTTTCAAATAAAGCCTTAGTCATGCACTCTGTCTGATAAACCACCAGTTATTCGCTTTTTCGGTGTTCGTCTTCAACACGCGGCAGCATCTTTAACAGCCGGCAGCACCTTCAACAAGCGGCAGCACACGAGGTCATGAACGCCAACTTACCGTGAACTCAGTCAGCAACGCCATCATGACCATCGCCGCCTCGCACCCCGAGCCCTCTCCGACAGGTTCGCCTGAGTGGAAGGCATGGGCTAGGGAAGACAAGGGAACCGTGATTGTGGTCTCCTGCTGGACCGTCATCGCCTTCGCGACGCTGTTCGTCATCGCGCGGCTGTACGTTCGAGGTATCATACAGAAGAGACTCCGTCTCGACGACTATATCATCGTGGCGGCTATCGTGAGTTACGACGGTCTCTCTTATCTCAACCTCACCTCTGTCATTTGGGGGGTATACGAAGTGGACTGGACGGGACTGATGCGCGAGGCGAACAGATATGCAGTTACCTCTCGACCGCCCTCTCCACCCTCTCCGTCTACCACGGCGATGGAAAACACATGAGCCTCCTCTCGGTCAAGCAGCAAGAGGGCAGCATTCTCTGGACGACAGCCGGCTTCTGTCCCGGCGTCATGTCCTTCGGCCTTCCCAAGCTGGCTGTCGTGGTGCTGTTGACGCGCCTGCTTAACCCCGACAGATTACACCGATACTTTCGTAAGTTTCCCCGTCTCCATGTCCCATGAGGCCGATCACGGTAAGGAACATACAGCCTTCGCACTCTGAACGTATACTCCGAGGATTCTGAGCCCGCAAGACAGTCATCGCCGAACAGCCCAGCCGCGTCGGGAGTAACCTATCGCTAACTCGAGTTGTTTTGTTGTAGTATGGTTCCTGGGCATGTTCACCCAGCTGGTCCTCCTCGCCACCGTCGGCGTCCTGATCGGGCGCTGCTACCCAGCCAATGCGCAGTGGGACTTTTCCATCACGGACAAGACTTGCTTCAGCACGCACATTCTGGCCGCTTACTGCATCTTCGCTGGCTGTAGGTCGCGAACCCGAGCCGTCTGCAGAGACACCAACCACACTGTTGAGACAGACATACTGACGAGGTTATATCTAGCATGGTCCGCCTTTGTCGATTTCTACCTTGCTATTTACCCCACCTTGGTGTTGTTCAAGTTGAGCCTGCCGCTGAAAAAGAAGATTGCCCTGAGCTTTGCCCTGGGGATCGGGTCTATGTAAGTGGGCTCACAGAGGAGAGGACATCATGGCTTTTTTTGGGAGTGTAACACTGACTGACACACTACGTGCAGCTCGGGCATCGTTGCTATATACAAGACTTCGCGGCTGTATCTACTCGAAAGTCCCGATTTCGCATACGATACCTCTGATCTCGTTATCTGGACAGTGTGAGTTGAACCACCCACACCCTCGTGCACTCGGAGAGGGCACGTTCCTCATATTCGTCGCTCATGCTGACACCACGCTTACCGTCTATAGTATCGAAGGCAGCACGATAATAATCGGCTCTTCAATCCCGCTCCTCCAACCCCTCTTCGAGCAAGTAGTAGGAACCCGCTTCTTCAGCAGCAAGGACACCAAGAACCGGCGGTACTACGAAGACTACAGCGAGTCCAAGTTCAAGATCATCGGGAATGGGACATCCAGTTTCAACCCGCAGAAGAGCGCCAAACGCAATGGGAAGCCGAGAGACCCGTACGCCGAGGACGTCGAACTGCAGACTCGGATGGGAGGCCCTGCAGAATTTAGCCCGGATGAGTTTACCGTCGGTTCGTCGCGGGAAGAGCCCGTTGTCACGACGGGCAGCGGGAGGTCGTCGTGGAAGGGACAGCAGCCGGATTCGAGGGGTGGGATTGTGAGGACGAATGAGGTCACTGTCACGTACAACTAACTTAGTGGCAAGGCCCGTTGCAGGCAGCCTGTGTACATCGGGAAAATGTTAGTTAGGTATGGAGCAGCGAAAAGGAGCCAGCTTTCTTTATCGACTCCGTACGGACTTGCAACATCTCGGCGAGAATGGCTCGTCCTCAGTCCATCAGCTGAAGCTTGCTAAGTTACTTGCCTGGGAGACGCCGGGGCATGTTATATTATATAACATTTGATAGCCAACAGACAGCAGTGTACGATGCCCCTTCGCCAAGGCACCACATGGATTTGCGCAGTTCAACTTCAGGGTTTATTGGTCCTGATTTTCGCAAAGCTCGCTGCGCAATATCTTATCATATGGCGGCAGGCCTGCCAGGCGCTTCCAAGCAGGTGGCTGCCTAGCTGGACGACACCACGCAGCTCGTGCGAACGACACCCGTGTCATTTGCGAGAGATGAGTCGCTGAGCAACGGAGAACGAACTTGAACTGAGTTCAGCGCGGCGGAACACGGATATGAGTAGGCGCGCATTGCTCCAGGCTCGCCATATCCGGGGAGCACGACGTGCTCCATTCCTTGTCCTGATGAGCGAGCGCATATCTGGAAGCCGGGGGAGGAGGATGAGCGCCCGAGGACCCTATCTCGCCCGCATGGGAAGACAATAATATTAGAGTAGAGGCCTTGCAGGGTCGGCGCGATGTCGCTACGGGACTCGCCCCGGGGAGATCAACTCGGAAGATGCAGGGCACGACGTTAAGAATGGACGAGCATATGCTCAACTCGAGTGTCGTGTGTCGGCTGCGGAGGACATCTCATCATGTAGGCCTACTCTACAGAATGTAGCGCGGCACCGTCGGATCCTTCAGCCTCATCGGGATAGGATGGACTTCTCTACCGTGTTGCGATTGACACTGGAGCTCGAAGTCTGAATACACCAAAGTACCAACAGGCAGCGTCACATTGGTAAGGTAACCATCTTGCGTTCTCCTTTTGCTAGTGTCTGGTATTCATATAGGGATGTCTAGTCTATACACGGCCCTCTTTGCCTTGCCTCGGTATTATCATAGTAAGTCTAAGAGTCGGCGAGTACTCGTGCACCAAGCCAGACTAGATTAGGTAGTCCACTACAGCGACGTGACGGACCACACGCAATGACAACGACTGGAATACTTCTTCCCAACTCCGACTCTCAACTACTCGCATCTCATTCCCTTCGCTCTGGCCGACATTCTGTCTCACATAGAGTACGACAATGACATCGCCCCTAGACTCAACCTCGTTGTTTTCGTGCTTTGCGACCACCCTGTCCCCGATGAGAGTTGCCAGATAACGTTCGTGGACAACCTTCTCAATCTCGAAGTTCTCCCCGTACACGACTGGCGCCTTAGCTGGGGGACAACGGAGAAGTGCATACCGTCCCGGGAGCTCTGCCCATACAAGCCGAGCCCGATCTCAAGTCCTATCAATCAATCCCGCACCCGCCCCCGCTCCCGTCGTCGAGCCGTGAACTCCTCCCAACTAACGTCGTCTAAATCGTCCCGCATGACGAATTCCCTGAGCCCAGTCCGCTCCATGAAACCTCTCGTAGCGCGGGTCCGAACCTCGGCCCGATTAATGGACCAGTTCCATTCGGAGCCGGCCTCTCGCATCTCGGCCTGGGTGTTCGGACTGAAGATCCTGAAGAACGCGCCGAAGCGCGGGACGGGTCCGCTTCCGTCGGTCGGTTGTCTGGGGCCCCTCTGACGCATGCTTTCGAAGTATTCGGCTGGCGTTTGCCGGCGGCGGGTGCGGGTGAGTAGAGCGGAGTCGTTATCGCCGCTGCTGCTGTCTGCCTCAATGGGCTCGGTGGGCTCGGAGGTCTCATTGAACTCAGTGGTCTCGATGGGCGGCGTGGCCTTTGGAGCCATGGTGGGCTTGACGTATGTGTGTAATTTCATCCCATCCCCGGCCCTCTTCTCCATACCAGCCTTTTTCGTTTCACCGGCCTCGACCTCCTGCCCCTTCTTCTTGGCCTTGTCCTTCTTGCCGGCCTTGGTAGCCTTGCTGCGAGCCCACGGCTTCCGACCTTTCTCCTTTGATCCCCGAGGCCGACCCGGACCACGGCGAGAAGTGTGTGGCGGGGCTTTTGTAGTAGCCATGTCTGTAAGAAGTGACGCGGAGGCTGGGCTGGGAGTGAGAGGTAGAGGTAGAAAGGCTGAGAGCTAGTTAGTTTCGACGTGCTGTGCTGTTCGATGTTTGACCTTGAACGTGGCAGGTTTAGAGGCCGAGAATAAGAGCGAGAGGCTGTCCACCGGCGATCTTGAGTTGAAGAAGAACGGCAATAAAATCATCGCTGGTCTTCAAGACCGTATTGTCAAACGTGAGACGTGGCTGCAGTTTGGAGCCGTTGGGATCTCGAGACCCGATGAACGGTCGCTGGTTGGAGGACCGGGAGTATTGAGACCTCCAGTGGTAAACGGCAGATGACTGAGAGAGAGAGAAGTGCCTGCTATCTGTAACAATCTGCAGCACGCAGCGGGACATTTTGGCGCGGGTCAATGGGGGTAATAGCGCGCGGAATAAAGGGGGGGATGACGTAGAGAACGTCGGTGCCTTCCTTCGTGCCTTCGCACTTCCCTCGTATATTTGAATATCACGCCATATTGTAGCTGAAAGGCATGACGAACTAGATTGGTAGGTAGGTAATGATGACACGAGCAGGTGACACGACACATTCATCCATGGATGGATGACCTGAAAGAGGAAGCTGCACCGAAACAGCGACAGCGTCAGCCGCGGCCACGAGCTCAGGCCCAAGCTCAAGTTGATGCGCACTCATATCCATACCCACACCCAGAAGCCCAACGGACTACACTGTCGAGAGTGTCAACGTCAAGACCCCGCAAGAGATGAAGGAGAGAGGACAGGCCAGCATAGAGATGCGATGATGTGGCTCAAAGCCCAAGTAGTTATGTGATGTGATGTGATGTGATGTTATGACAATGGCCGCGCCGGTGTGGATTGGGTGAGAGATACGCATCAAGCAGGAGAAGCCTGCGTATACGTATCATCATCTTAGCCAGACCTCAACGAATCCAAGGGAGGTGACCAAGGGGAGCATCGAGTCTCTCACCAGAGATGGTACGGCTGGCCGGCTGGCCACGACAGCAATGGCATATTCATGCCGCAATGGTGGCTTCGAAGCAACCCAAGTTCTGGTGGCTTCGGGACAAGACAACCAAGTTTCCCCTTTGCAGCAGGTACCAAAACTGCAAAACCAGGGCATCGAGGGTACTTGCAGTGGTCATAAAGGTCGAGCAGATCGACGTTAAAGAGATGCCGACTCGAGAGTTGTCCGTGCCACCTTAACCTCAAGTGTTGCCGCATCATCGACTACATAAGCGATGCCGAAACGGTCGCCTCTTGAGCTCACCAGTGTCCGCTACAATACGGAAGCCTTCTAGGGGACTTCGTCACGGCTTCGAAAGGCTTTAGCCAGGAACTCTGTCGATGTACCATACTTAGGGAAGGCCGGGAGACATCCTGTGGTACATCTCTAAAGGACGACCGAAGACAGTAACCTACATATCGGCACCAGACGCAATTGACGCCGCCAGCCCATGTACACGAACACGTTACTCACCAACTCCGACACCAAGGCCCAAAGGCTTTCCGAAAAGGAATAGCCGGGTCTATCGAGTCCAAAGGCAAGGTCGAGACTCGAGTTGTCGGGGTTCCTGGGAAAAGATGGGACTTCCGGATCGGTTTGGACGTTGGAGTCTCATCTAGCGTCGTAGTCGTACCCAGAAGTCCTCGTCCGAGTCCACGTCCTATGCACTTTGCTTTCTCAGGCTTGGGGAACTGTCCGTGGCAGGGGGTTGACTACAAGCTGCGATTATGGTGACACAGGTTATAGGGTCCATGCGGCGGGCTTCCTTCCGGTCTGGACGGCAGTATCCTAACCTAGGCTTTTCGATGCGTATATCTTGGCCTCCAAGAAGGAGTCGGGTGGGCGCGGCGTCGGTGCTGGTCCCGGGGATTGGTGACGATGCGTGGCACAACTCCAGCCGTCGTCGCATCCTCCCACCGCGTCCCACGTTGGGCCGTCGTTCCTCCTGTCTGTTGTTCTCCGGTTGGTTTTCTCCGGCTCTTGCGCCAAATAATCAAGGTTACCGGTTGAACGTGATTCGGTCTTATGCTTGCTTCTCAGGCCAGCGGCGAACATGAGGTGCACCAGTGATGAATGAGCCAGGGCTCTGCGTCGTGTTGTCGCACGTGGTACCCCACCCGCGGGATCGCCACGGAGTTATTGATGGAACGAGGTGTAGCCATGCGCGTTGTGCAAGTCATCTGCCGGAGGCGCTCCTGCGCCTTTCTGCACGAGCGGACTGGCCAAGACGTCCAGGGCTTGGGTCGCTTCAGAGGCTGTCGGTAGAACCTTTCTCGACAACTCTGATCGTTCTTCAGATCTCGCCACGAACGAAGGGCCAGTGGCAGGGTGGTTGACGTCGGCACCCTCTATGACAAAGTGCCCGATGGGTTTAGCGTCTACGGACATAATTCGGTAGGTTTCGAAATGAGGGCGACAAATGTGAAATGGGAATGCCACAATCCGCCATTCCCGAAGCTGACGAGTAATGAGTGCATGTCTCAGCTTGCAGAGCAGTTCACCATTAGAGAAGAAGCCAGATGGGAGAATGCTGGTCGGAATATGCTTGGATGGGTTAATGAAGCGATGAGAGGAGAGGAGATAAGAGGAGAAAGGTGTTGCGACGGGCAAGGCGTCTGTTGCGATGTTCAAGGCGTCCATTACGCAAGAAAGAGCAGAAAGAAGAATCGGATATAGAGGAAGTTGAGGACGTTAAAGATGTTGAGGTGGTTTCGACACTGAAGACGCCAAGGATGCTGATGATGCTGGGCATGCTCAAGAAACCGAGGAGCGCCGACGAGGAAATAATAAGAAACGAAGAAGACGACTCCGGAAACTGTACATATAGCAAGTCCCGCCAAAGGTCGTCGTCGTCCCAAAGAGAAAACCTAGTAGCCAGCCAATCAGAGACCACGCCTCCAAGTACCCCATACCGTCAACACCCGAACCCTCATGCCGATCTCAAACAATATATTAATCATCGTATCCAAGTCTCAAAAGTCAAAGGGGAAGCTAAAGTCGGTGATGAGGCAACACGGCAGCAACAAAAAAACAAAAAAACCCGCACCATTGGGGTGGACGGTAAAGGAGATGGCCATCCACAGTATGGCCAGGCCAGTGACGGACAGTCCGTGTATATGAACTCCAAAAGTTGGTAGAACTAAGACCGCTGCGAATGACGATGCTGGCTGTGACTGTTACACCTGCCACCCTTATATTGCTGGGACCCCGGAGCATGTTGCTGCGACCGCGGCCTGCCGTCCTCTAGCGGGACATTGCATTCGATGCGAGCCAGGCCTTCTCGTAACCCGGAAGCAGGTAAGCTATTTCACAGCCCGACCCGTGTCCGCTGACCCTGCAGACAATAACTTAGATGAAGACGGCGGCGGTAGAACGGGAACCCTAGCGCCCAGGCAGGATTGGGTGGGAAGCACTGAGTCGCCGCCATGGTCTGAGAAGATTGCAGCGAGGGAAAAGCTAAGGTTGGTGTGGAAAGATAGCGAAGACTACAAGCGGTAGCAATACGGCATCCTGCCCTTGCCAACTCCAGCTGTTGCTGATCTCTTGCCGGGCGTGGTCGTTTTAATAGCGATGGCAGAATCGTCGGGTCAGGAGACGTGGAATCAGTAGGTGCCGCTCGGCTGCCGCTGCATCATAACTGCGACGTCGACTTCGAGCAGCGCAGCACTCGGTTCTTCTTTGGGGGGGTACGTTTTGCCAGGACCATCCCACCCTTGCAGGAGTGTCTACCTTCTTTGCTTCAACCCAAAGAAAAAGCTGGTCGTACGGTCGCCATCCCGTCGGTTCCTATGTCAGGCATTCGGGGCAACCCAGGTTGCATCCAGCCCCCTGTGCTTGTAGAGCTCCCCTGCCGCACCTGGAGTGTTGCTTCGGGTTCTGTTATGTTCGGTCTGGGCTTCGAAGTGGAGGCAACAACAAGGCTGCGAGAATGTGGGAATGATAAACTGTGACCACGAAGTCTTTAATTGAGATTGGAAAGAGACGCGGACGACGCGTTGAGCTGGGCCGGACGAATGTTACAACTGGCCAGCGCGTCACCTCATAGGTACGTCGCTAGCGACAAGCTGAGGGACGAGGGAGGCCGACGCCTCACAGAGTAACAATCCGACTCGGAGACCGAGGCTGGACCCTTCGATGGAGGATGATCGGCTAGGAGATGATGTCCACAACTTACAAAAGAGAGGTGAATGACGGCAGTCCCGCACCAGCGCCACAGCCTCGGAAGCGCCGGAGGGTGTCGAACAATTGCCGAAGTAGAAGCAGTCACTCAAACACGGCCTCTTTGTCCGGAGTCGTCTTGACCACTTCCTCATAAGACAGTCTGACCGGGGCCAAAACTCCCCTTTCACTGCCCGTGTCTCCACCATCTTACAAGTCACATGAGAACCCGGCATCCCAGTCCGCGCTACTAGATAGACATCGTCGAAGGTGAGGACGCCGCAACTACAACTGAGGGGCTCGATGCCGGCTTTGCCGTGACGTGTCTATCTGATCTACAAACAGCCGCCTTCGAGAAGCAGAGGCCGCCGACATAGATATGATCCCACCATCCCGCCTACGACCCGCGTCGTCTTGCCCGTGAGGAGTTGCAGCTTCTCGGGTGTGAGATAATTGATTAGAACTGGTCCGATTACTAGCACCAGGAGGAGTCTGCGTGATCATGTATAACGAGGGGAATGGGTGGGTGCTGCTTACTCTTCCCCTTAGCAGTATCTTCTCAGCAGCTGCTCTCGAGCTTTGGCCTGGTGAGCTCATGTGTCCGGCTCCGCGTCCATCATGCTTCGTGATTCGTCTTGGTGTAGGTGGCGGCTAAAGAGACCGAATTGATGTTGGATCAGTTTGGGTGAGAAGTGAGGAGTGATTTGTCTCTGTGATATGGATGAAGATTATGGTATCCGGGGAGAACGGGAAGAGGCCACGACAGTAGCTGCGATCCGGGAGGGGTGTTGCGGGCGAGAACTTCATAGCCGGGTTCTCCTTCTTGTTTTGTTTTTCCTCGGCGATCATAGATGCACTGTCCTCGTCGACGTCCCTTTGGGCAGGAGTCTCTTCCGCGGCAGTTTCTTCCTTTTTCTGCAAGTCAAGAAATTGTCGAAGATTCTCATTCTAAATAGCGGTCATACTGTTGAGCCTGGCCTGCCTTGAGCTTCTCGACCTCCTTACACTCTTGGGCGACCTGGGGCTTGAAACAGGCTTTCGTGTCCTTTTTAGGCGGCGACGGGGGTCGATCGAGATGCGACTGTTCCCCCATCGTCATTACAGTCCCTGGGGAGGTTGACGTGTATGACTTTGGAATGGATGAAGTACACGCTTTCCCGTAGACCGGAGATGGTCGACAATAGCCTGACAAGAAGTGAGGGCAAAATCAAGTTACCCAGAGCAATCTTTTTCCTGGATTGCATTTTGGAGCATCCCGTGAGTTTTGGCAAGCTGGCATGCCATTGATGTGCAGTTTTGGTTGTTCGGCATCGTTACCTCGGTAAATCTGAGGAAGGGAAAATGATATATATGTGGTATGTCGCAATGATCAGAAAAGCGTCGGATCATTCACCCTCCCGCCCATATGGTTGGCCTTCTCACCAACAAGCCTGCCTCTGAGATGTGCCATAAAATCCAGCCGATCGCTGTGATCATGCTGTGCTCGCGCGACATGCATGAATTATATGTTGACGCGGCTACCAACTTATTGAGGCATTAAGAACTAGCAAGAATTCATTTGTTGTTCCCCCATCACACCGTATCCCTTACGGCGGCGCCCTCGTGCTCGGTTGGCTCGGTGTCTTTGCTGCTAGCAAGCAGCTTCCTAACAAGACTCATGCTCCAATGCCTCTGCCACCGTGACCAGAGGGCTTGAGGCTCACACACCGTGTGTGACTGACAACTACCCCTGAGTTCTCGGAATGCCACATGCGCCGTGGTGACACGTAGACGTCTACTATGCTAGCTGCTGGCACTCGCCAACAGGGTGTAACTGATCCTTCCTGAATAAATATGTGAAACCCACCCTTTCCCAACGTCATTACCATTTGCAAATGATCAGGCTGCTGACAAAGGGGATGCGTGACTGTCGTATTGTGCGGGGGACGCTCTCTCGTCTTGCGGTGGCCTGTGCACGGAAAGTACCTATGCCGCGCATCCTGTGCCGCACAATGCGGCACAGGATAAATATAGCGCTTAGATGCTCTGTAACTTTGTCCTGTGACTCGGGGGATGCCTCGCATCATGGTGTACGCCATGGACTTGGATGACTTGCCCCGTGCCGTGGTTTAACCGTCTTGGTGACAGCTACGGAGGGGGCTTCTCGGGGTGCCACACGTAGTGACTTACGCCGTGGACTTGAGGACTTTCGACTCGAATAAGCTCACATGAACATGACGACTTTGCTTGCATACCTGCTCGCATCAAATGACGCGCTTGAACGGAGCTATCTCTCTGATGGAGTGCTCTGTTCGATTCAACCATTGGCTTGCCTGTTTGTCAACATGCCTGTCGGTGCCTTCGCTGTGACTACAACGTGGACATGGTCTGATGCGACATGAGTGTGTCGCAGAGTGATTTGTCGAGTGAGAGCTTACGGTACATTTGCTCTGCCTGTGGCGGTGTAGATAGGAGGTGGCGGTGCATAAGAAGTGGCACTGGTAGGGGGTCTCACGTGATGTCGCGTGGTCCCCCGCGTTACACGTGGCGCGTGGAGGGGTAGGTAGAGGAAGAAACAGGCTTAATACCAATGCATGTGAATATCACCATCCTTCTTACAACATGAACCACTTCTCTTCCACGTCTCGTGTGGTCTCTCTCATATGATCCTTAATGATCTTCCAATGCCTGGACTCCCCCGGGCCACGGGTCACTCAAGTCTCAAGCTCTGCCGCAACGCAACCTTAACCACCTACCAGTGGCTCATGGCTGAACTCTTGTTGGATATCATACCAGGCTGAGGCTTTCGGGGCTGAATGCGCTAATGGGTTTAGCTTCAGGGCAGTCAGCCCACCCTCAGGCCACCAGGATCCTGGCGCCATTATCGTATGATTATCTGGTCACCCTGATGGCACACCTGTACATATGGGGGCTTCTCCCCCAGAGATCTTCTTCTCTTTCCTTTCAATATAGAACGGTTTGAAATCTCACAACTCTGTTCATCTCCTCTCTCCTTCGTCAACCTCGGTCCTCAACGCCAATATGGCTGGCTCCAACGAAACCTTGGTCTTTCTCCCCCGATGACAGCCGGTCCAACCGTGCACGGCCATCCTCCATCATCTTCCACGGCTATAATCTGCTCTCCTCTGCTTGTCGGGTTTTGTTCTGCTGTACGTAGCTTAGGGGTAGTCTTCCATCTATGATCTTGCTGAGGATCAAGGTCCCAAAGGTCCGCAATCACCATCGGTAGTCGACAACCAGCAAGCCTCACCATGACGAAGAAAATCATTCGTTGCCCCGCTGTCGGGACGCGCTCCAGGACGACCAGGACGACCAAGGCGAAGCCAGATTGACGAACATGAACAGCTACTCGGCTTTTCTGGACAGATTCTGCTACTGGGGTCTTCACAATCCTCATTCTCTGGTTGCAGCGCCGCCCATTACATCCACGCTCGCCGCCGAGCTGGGGATTTCGTTTAAATCGTCCCTGTCGCCCCGGGCCGCAGACATCCACCCCCAATCCCCCAGACACGAGCATCGTCAGCACAGTCACCAAGGCCCCGACCCCAGCCCCAGCTCCTCGAGAGCCCCTGCCGAGAAGAACGCCTTCGAACCCTCAGAGCTGCGAAGACAAAAACTCTTAGACATGTTGCGCATGGGTTCCCCCTACACTCGGGAACAATCCCGTATCTCACTCGACGGCTGCAATAAGCACACTGGTATAAGCAGTAAAAGTTTCATACAACAGAGATGCTTATTAGACGATACCCAGACCTCGAAACCTCTCATACATAAGTCGATCCACATGCATACCATCGACAGCATTACCGAGTCCCTCAAGAAACGTCTCCGTTACATAGCGCACCGGAATTTCCCCTTACCCTACAACCCCGACGACGAGCTGTTGTCGGGCCACCACCCCAACTTCCACCAAGGCGGCCTCGACATCCCCAGGTCCCCCGACGACCAGCTCATCCATTATTTTTGCGCCAGTCCTACCTTTGTCTTGGAAGTTGGGTATGGCCGGGAGGGTTGCCACCACCCAAAGCTAGGCAGGGACTACTTCCAGTTCAGCAAGGGAAATATCAAGACTGTACTTGCAGTCAATGTCAGCTACCCGCACCAGACCACCGCCACAGTCTCGCTCTATCGCGCGGCTGGCACATCATGACCGATGTCGTCTTTTACGACGCCCTTTTCGTCCATATGAGGCAGCCAGAAGGCCAAGGACGTTTAACCCTCGACGACTTCGTCCCCAACCAAGTCATCGCCAGCACGCCTAGCATGAGCGCAGGCTCTGTCCTGCAGTCGGACATGACCATAAAGTTCCAAGAGCTACGCGATATCCTGGACGGTGCGTGGGTGGAACAGCTCAAGGCCGACTACGAACAGCGCAAGGCCGACAAGCAGCGCAAGGCCGACGAGGAAGCCCGCCGGACATCAACATCTACCAACCAGCACTCCAATCCAAGAAGTTTCAATAATCTCGTCAATCAATTAGTTAGCCAGAAGACCCGAGACAGACATGGACGACAAGGATATAGCCCGAGCTGGGATGAGGACTATCAGGTCCACTGCAGCGTGGACTCCCCGGACCCGGACGTTGACTGATCCGGAACTACACGCCAACATCCACACTGTCATCGAATGGTTCTACAGGCCAGCTAGCTCTGGCACGCCGCCTGGGACGGGAGGAAGGCTTCCCTCCTCCCGCAAACCGGCCGGGACGGGGATCCTCATACCGGCTGGGACGGGAGGAAGTCTATGGCACAGAAACGAGGACCCCCGTGATTCGTCGCGGGGTTATTGAGGCTCATTTTGCGGAGGCAACAGACTTCCATTCCTCTTCATCTCGCGTCCGTGGTACGGAACACGACGACGGCACGCAACGGTCGCGACGATTTCAGCCGCCGCCCGCCGTCCCCCTTCGCGCAGCGGAATGGAAAAACGGAGGGTTTTCAACTGGGTGCTGATTTGCTCTGGGTCACAGTAGTCGGCAGGGATAGGAACTGGGGGAAAAGAAGTTGTGCTTTTCTTTTTTTTTGCTTTCTGAACATACGTATGTGGCTTGGTTGGTCCAAGGAGTACGCGTAGGCCATACGGACGACCGACCAGGCCAGGCAGGTCCTTGGATTGGATTGGATTGGATTGGCTCACGCCCACACCCACACCACACCCACACCAAGCCTAATAGATGCAATTCTCTCCCAATCAGGTGACTATTCGGACTCCATGCTGTGAACTTTGAACCAGACGGTGCCTGGCGAATGTGTTGAGCGTAGTGTAACTGGTACTGTGCACAGGAGGCAGGAGGGGGGAGGGGGCAGAAGGAGGCAGTGGTAGTTGAGAGTTGAGAGCACCCAAGAATACGAGGAGTGAAGCTATAGGAATGTAGGAATTACTTCATCTAACGGGGGGAGGTAACTCTTACTGCGACGCCACAGCCAGCCACAATCATGCCACCCTGGACTCTATGCCGCGCATCCTATGCCGCATTGTGCGGCACAGGTTGTGCGGCATAGGATAGTTATAGCGGTCTATAGCGGTTCGATGCCCTGTGGGTGCCCTATAAATCAACCATGCTAGTGGGGTATCTACTACAGCCGTGCGTGACCCCTATTAGCCCCTGAATGTGACTTCGCGGTTAGGGGGCACGTCGGCGCTCGGCGCTCGGCGCCCTATTCTTCCATGCCTGCTTGAATTCCAGGCACGAGAATGAGGGCTTGAGCAGCTGCCATCCAAGGTCCCAGACGGACACTGTCACATAGACTTACGGATGGCTACACTGGTCTCCAGTCTCAATCTCAGACTCGCTGAAAGACGCCCACGGTTATGGGTGTTGACCACGACGACACATCCACATGTCGATTTGGCCTGTGATGGTGGGCGAGTAGACGCTACATCTTGATCTGCTTGTGTTGGTGTTTTAGGTTTGTTTGGGGTTCGAATGTGAGTTCGCTTTTGCCGCGGAGGCTCTTGACTTGGCTCTTTACTTGCTGCCTGCGTTGATGCAACGTCCATGCACGGCTGGCTTATTGCTCTTGTAGCAGGCGACCAGCCGAACACTTTACACTTTTCTTGCTGTGCGTGCTGCAAGGCTGTTCGCATGTATCCGTCTTCTAGATCAAAGTCTTCACGAGCAAGCATGTCTCTGAGTCAGTCGTCGGTAGGGCATCTTTTTGAGCCGGACCGATACTGAACCTGCAATCTGGACGTTTTTGCTTTAGTAACGATACTTACCATAGACTGGGGTCCGTCTCGCCGAGGAGAAGGACACGGTCACTTGTCCGTGTCAATACATCCCATTCTCTGTCTTTTTAACTATGGCCGTCATGGTCGTCACATCCTATCACGCTGACTATCGCTGCATCCCCTTACTCATAGATAATAGATAGACGGTGCTAGACGAATGTCCGACCACAAGTACGCTATTAGGTTCGAATCCTTTCACCGGTGGCCAATGGGGCTAGCGCACCTTCTCTATACCATATGACTCTCACTAGGAAGACGGCGTGGTGAGTCACTGTGACCGTCACCGGGAAACGACTAATGTCGATTGACACGATGAGGTAATCTCAGGGTTGCGTCTCCTGCTGCCGCGCCTGCTGCACCTGCTGAACTTTCTGGAGATTGTAGTGCAAGTGGAGAGGGAAGGGGCAGTGGTAGCGCAACTAGTTCATCGTTTGGGGGGGGGGGGGGGGGGGGGGGGCGGGCAGGTCATTTTCGTACTCTGGGGTTTGCCAGCAACATGTACGTCCACATGTGCGGCAAGCGTATCTGTTGCAACACGTTGTGAAAGGTTCAAAAGTGGATTGCTGGCCTCTGCCAGTAGCGTATGTGACAACATGCTATATTTCATCGCCGCTAGGATGATGATGAATTTGAGGTGGAGGATGACGATGATAATACCCGACAAGCACCCCGCCATCATTGAAGTTTTCACCTATCTAAACATCAAATAGACGAGGAGTGGGCACGTCCAGCAACTCACTGACAGACTCTCATCTGCCGCCAGCGCCAGGCCAACACTACATCTTCTCCCCAACAAGGTCGACGTACCGACGCCGAGCGGCTTAGACGAGTGCAGTAGCGGAAGCTTCTCGAGACTGGCCGCGTCGGGCTTTGGGCATCGGCCCGGAACTGCATGAGCTGCAAGGGCTAGCACTGTGATGCTGACCGTCCTCATCTCACAGCAAACGGTGGTGATGACTGAAACGATGACTGAAACGATGACTATGACGACGTGGACGTCGGCGATTATACCCACGATGGTATTAGCAGCAATAGCAGCAGCAGTAGCAATCACAGCGAGCGAGGTGTTGGTATGGATGGCTACGAATCCGGTTTGGAAAACGCGACGGATTATGATGAGGCTGTTATTACGGGCGGTCGTGCTCGTGCTCATGCTTGGGACAAGGGTAAATAAGTTGAGCGACACATGGTCGAGATGTATCTACAAGGCTCCGAGGTCCAGAGCGAAGGTGAAGTTGGCCATGCGCCACGGCCGGAGCCCGAAGAATAACAACCGCAGCAAGGCGGACACAAGAAGAGAATCAGCAGTAGGAAGAAGGGTTGGATGGTTGTGATGGGTGGTGAAGACATTTCCACGCCTATGGACATTGGATGAAGTCGGTTTATGCCCCTTGGAAGAATATGGGGATGAGAATGAGGATGAGATGATTATTGCATTTCGGCCGCTACTTTAGACCACTAACCTTTTCGGATTGTATCTACCTCAATAGTGCTGTGTAAAGTGAGCTGATAGGAGCGAAACGTTGTTGTCGCGGGAGAAGGGTTATAGACGAGGGCGGAGTTGGTGGGGGAAGGTTGAGGTTGAGGGACGGCGTGGTGGTGATAGTGGCGAGGATAGGGGCTAGGATAGGGGGTCAAGATCTTGCGACCAGCCAGCCAGCCAGCCGGTCGCCAAACGATTGTTATATGATGGATTAGCATGTCACGATTAATGCTGGAGCGCATTTGATTGCTCATTCACCTCATTCTTCGCTCGTCATGTCTAGTTCCCATCTCATCACTGGACCGACAGACTCCCGCCACCGCCCAGGGTCATGACGCTTCAGCGATTGCAGCCTTGTCAAGGCTTTTTGTTTTGAACGACTCAAGAGATGATACTCACTTCTAACAAGTGGTGTCACGAAGAAAAAGGAGACCGAATGGATGGATGCATTGATCCGGACAGGAGCCTTGGTCGCGTTCAGCTAGGAGGGGCGACGAGACAGCGAAAAGGGGGGCCAGGGGCTGCAAGAGGATACACAGACGGAAGATAGACGTGCTCAGTTCCTCGTGCGAGGTATGCTTGGCGAGAACTACGAGTTTGCAGAAGAATTCAGCTTTCAAGGAACAGCGCACCGGTCCAGTGGCGCGCCCATCTCAGCCTTTGCTTCATGAAGGGCATGGCAGAATGAGTGCACCCCTCAGCTCCGAGTCTGAACTTTAGGAAATTCATCATCTCAGTGGTAAGGGTTGATCAATCATCTCCGCAAGCGCTTGGTCGACATTGAAATTCTGCTGACTAAAGGGGGGAAGAGAAGGAAAAAGGGGGAGAGCCTGTTGTTTAGAGGGAGGACTGGGGCAGCGCCGAGGGATGAGGCGCTTGTTGGTGGACAACGCAGGAGTTTCCAGAACATCACTTCCCTAGCCTGATGGTGGTAGGGCATCTTCTGAGACACCTGTGGCATTGTCTGAGGAGACGGCCCGCTGCCAAGATGCGGCAGCCCCTTTTCACGGCACCAGCACCGGCACCCACACCGGCACCCACACCCACACCAACACCATCACCGACACCATCAAAATCACCGAAAAAACCTCCTCCTCTTCCACCGACTTCGCCGCGTGGAAACACCATCTCATCCCCCAAGACTCACGTCACCTACCCAGTGCGCGATCTGCTAAAGGTCAGTAACCACCCACCCGCCGCCTTCGACGACCTGGCGATCTTGAGGCCTGGATGGGTGCGGTACTGGGCGTGGTCAGGTCCGTATAACGGACTGGGGTACTCACTCTAAAGGGGCGTGCGCGACGTGACTGACTGACCTGAACTGCCCCATAACCACCAAAGGAGCACCAACAGCCTCTCCTACCAACTAGCAGTATACTCAAAGCTGCTAAGCTACCATAGCTTCCAGATTTCCTCCTCGATAACATTTTCGTCGAATCCTATCCCATCCCATCCCATCCCCCCGTTGTTGCACTGAGAGCGTCGTTCGCCAAACCATCACTAAACACTACCGGGTATCCTGCGCAAACGAAGAAGTAAAGACGCAATGGCTGGACATGAACACTACGAGAAGGCAAGCGGAGAAAGAGATTGCAAAGTTAATAACGTAACCTTAGGAGTTAGACAAGCACACATCCCTGGAGGCTGGACCCGAGGGGGTTTTCTTTTACGGTGACTAGAACTGGAAATCTCCTGGGATAGGTACGGAGCTGGATATGCTCTCTCTCTCTCTCTATTTTCTCTCTCGTGGTTACTGTCGCTACGAATTCAAACATTTGTCTCTTGTACATTGTTGAAAGTCCGTAACATGGCCATTAGATCTTCTTCCGCATGGGGGAGCGCTGGCTTTCAAAGAGCAGAGGTGTTGGGTAGATTTTTGAGCTTGCGAGCCGGCTGCTGGGCTTTTTGATTGGTCTGCTGCTGGAGATGGACCTGGACTTGTTGTCTGTGCTGTCGTTGTACGACTTGTCCTAGGTTCGTGAGTGTGCGTCCCAGACTCGGCCTCTGGACCCTAGCAATAACAATAGCAATTTACCGACTTAGACTCAGATTCAGACTCATCCACGCGACATCTACAGCATCCCTCCCACCCTCTCCTCAACAAACACCTATCCAATCCGCTGATGCGCTTTCCTAAACGCATCCCCATTATCACCAAATCATACACAACAAAACACAATACACCCCTACACCCAAACAACCTCCCCGTCCCCATCACCAAAACCATAGACATCTCAAACTCATACATCTTCATAACCTCATCATATTCCCAGCTACCGGCTACCGGAGATCAGGACACCCCTTCCATATGTTCTGGCGGAGATTTCGACGGTAACGACTTCTTCGTTATCTGGGAGGGACACTGAGATGCACCCGCCTTCGTGACTCGTCGGAGTGGAATATGCTCTTATGTACTGCGGCTTGGCTGATACCTCAAGGGAGCTGCGACGCTTACTAGGACGATATGGTGCCGGCGCTATACGTCCGATAGACAGTGTATGTCCCCGGTGCGGTCGATCTGGTTGAGGAGTGGCCAAAACTTCTTTTGCCGGCAGTGGCAGCGGCTGTCGAGGGTGCGGTGGTGATTCTGATTCGCGCCGCCGCCCCGGCCACTACCACCGCCACTGGTACAGCCCGCGAGCATAAGAATGCGAACGCTATGCCTCCGGATCTTTTGGCGGCGGCTGAGGCGTGGCAGTTGCAGTGGAAGTAGCAATGGCAGTAACTAGCATCACAAGATCGACGTCACGGCCAAGACACTAGAATAAGGTACGGCAGACCGGCCCGCGCGACACGCGGCCGTGCTCAGGGTTGGTGGTGCTGATGAGCTGGCTGTTATGAACCGCGTCGAGGAGCGTGGATGCGCCGCTGGAGGGGAGGGAGTTGAGGCTCGGTGTTGAGGGGAAGTTGAGTGTGAGTGTGACCGCGGGTCACTACGATGATGGTGATGCTAAGGCTGGGCACCTGTTGCTTCTTGGAGAGGCCGCGGCGGACTTGCACTTGCACTTGGGCATTGGGACGGTAGTCGAGGTAGTGTGGACATTTGGGCGGATGAAAAAGCTGCTAGTGGGCTACGGAAGACGTTACGGAATTGGTGATACATTTCAATATTCAAGCGATAGGGAGGGAGTTGTGTCACGAAAGTCGACGGCGCCCCAGAATCTCCCAAACTCGCACTCCAAATCCCCGTACATCCAACGCCCATCCAGCCTCTCAACTCCTCCCAACCTGGGAAAAGGAGACATGCCATACCGCAAAAAATTCTGTAGCTCTCCCTTCTGGACCAGACAAGGAGAACTAAGAATGAGAAACCCCTGGGGACTAGGGCTTGGCTTGGTACATGATGGCTGGGATATTGGCGCCTGCTCGTTCGGATGATAGGGGGATACGGGATAAACGAGGTTGAAGCCCGGGCTAGGAGTTGAGCGGAACGTTTGTGAGGAGTGAGTGAGGGCGGGGACGGGGGCGAGGACGAGGGCGAGGACTCTGGTGCTAGACGTGCCTTTGCCGATACCGCCGGGAGAACTATGGCCAGCCGGTCGAGTCTCGAGCGGGTGTCAGGTGTCAGGTTAGATACAAGGTCAGATCCCAGGAGGAAAAGCCCAGTCTCGGAGTCGCCGTCCACAGAGTCAGTCCGAGGGTGCCTGCCAAGAGCTGCCGGGCTGACTGGACTGGCAAACGATAACAATAGCGACGAAGGCTCCGGAGAACCGCAGGATGTATGTGAATGTATTGATCTAGGATATACTTGGTACGTGCCTCCTAGTGGTCCGGCTTTATAACCACATCGATGTAGTCCTTCCTTATCTAGCTCCCCTGACCCCTTTCATATAAACAACCCCTATGCCCCGTTCCCATCCGTCTATCCGCTCACTCCGACCCACCAGCTTCACCCCCTGCCCCCATAAAGAACTAAGTCCTCCCTTTAAACGCAATCTAGAAACACCCCAGTAACTCCCAAGGGAATTTAGAGAGGCGACCTAAGCCAGGCCTGCGTGGCGATGGGCCACCGCTGAACGGCTGGACGGCGGAGATCCGCCGGGGAAGAAGTCCGTTGGGGTGGAGATGAATGCTGCGCTTGAGCATGAGAATGGGGTAGTCTATAAGCGACTGACTGACTGGGCGAGGAGCAGATGGAGATGGAGATGGAGACGTGGTCAGGCATGAGGATATGATCAGACATGGTGATGGTCTTCCGTCCACCCAGTAACGAAGTAGACTGAATAGATTCTCACCCACCTGAGTAGGTAGACAGCCAAGCCAGCACCAAGTAAAGCAGATCTACTGCCATGTACTGCAATCGGCAACATGCAGCTACTGTGTAACTGTGGTAGAAGCGGGTGATAGCCGCAGCCGCAGCCGCAGCGGGAGGTCAGTAAGTCAGTACGGCGTAAGTGTGGGCTTGACTAAAAGGGCGAGTGTGAGTGCGAGTGTGGGTGAAGACAAGTAGAAATATCATGATATAAGTGTGACTAACTGCAGATCTACAGATAGTCTGGGCTTCTAAGAGCCATCGTCCGGATCATGCATTGATGTAGGTATATACGTCACGAGACGGCACTCGTCAAGTCATTCTGGTGCGCCCAAAACCTTCATAAGGCCCATAGTCCTTCGTCTCCAGCTCCAACTGCCAGTTTCAGCATCTGTGTAGGTATATATACCACAAGACAGCACACGTCAAGTCATCTTGATGCGCCCAAACCCCCGATAACACCCATATTGCCTCGTCTCCATCTTCATCTGCCACCTCCAGCCCTTCAGCCTTTCAGCCCTTCAGCCACTGAATCACTGAGCCACTGAGCCCCTTGGGCCCTTCAGCCCTTCAGCAAATCGGCAAACTTGTTCTGCCAGGCCTGAAATTCCTGCAGACATTCCTGGGTTCTGGCAACCAGCTTGTTGTGAGCTTCAGCCTTCTCACGCTCCTTACTCAACGATTCTATTTTGCGCCCGCACTCTCGTGTGAGCTCGTCTTGTCCATGGACAGTCTTTTCCAGACCAGCCAAGTCGCCATCGTAGGTTTTTTCGAGATCGGACAGCATACGGGCAAGATCTGCTGCCAGTCGTGAGTTTGCGCCTACAACATTTGTAGTGGTAATTAGATGCTTCTTGGCCTGTTGCAACTCCAAGAGGTCTGACTTGGCCTTGTCCCGCTCCTGCACATCAGGCTGCCGATCTTTTGTCATCTTTATTTCGAGGTCGAGCTTTGCGAAGTAAGACTCGTCTTTTCCTTTCGCAGCGCTCCGACAACGTTCCAGCTCGGCTGGTGTGTGCTTCGCGATGGTCTTGATCATATCGAGATACATCGACGAGAGAACGGTAGACTGGTTCTTGCCTCCTTCGTCTACCTCCATGCCGTCGACTTTGGTTTCGTGATTCTCTTCTCTCAGGGTGTCGACAATGGTCGCGTCCTCTCCTCCCTGGCTGTCGATCTTGTTCGCGCCCTTGTCCTCTGCCGGGCCATCGATGTTGGTCTCGTCTTTGTTGCCATCCACCTGTACCAAGTCGTCTTCCTTCTCTTGTTCAGGGCTAGGGCCAGTGACCTGCTGTAGCTGCTCTGCCCATGCTAAACGACACTGTTCAGGGCTCTCTAGCAACATCGTCGGCGGCTGCTGCCCATTGAGTAGGGCCACGGCGTTGAGTATTGCAAATACCCCACAGCTGTAACCGTCCTTCTGCTCGGCACAGACTTCCGATGTGAAGGCTACACTTGCAGGTTCTATTCCAAAAGTCGAAACCAGCCAGTTGACCAGACGTTGCTCCAGCTCCGGAGGCATCCTACCACCACCATTGCCCTTGCTCTGCAGCGGGTCCCAGTAGTGACACTGAACCGGGTTCACGCTGCGGTCCACCTCGGCCACAATCCAATGGTTTTCGTGGCACAGCATGAATATCAGACTTGCCGGCAGCTTTTCCGGATGGGCGATCTGGTTCGCCTCGCCTTTCTTCGGGAAGCCCGGGTCCATGAGTTGGATATACTTGTCATCACGCTGGCTTGTGCAGCGACTCCAAGCTGGGTGCAGCATGGCAATGCATGCCTCAATGTCGCGGGCCCGGAGCCACGCACTGGTATTTCGGAGTCGAGTGATTGTGTCTGGGCCTGGATTTGCAGCGGGTACGATAGGTGTCGTGCTGGTGATGCCCTTCATGATATCCTCCGCTTCCAAGTCGACAGCAGCAGCGGCAGCCGTGTTGGTGATGCCGTGCATGGAGTCGACAACGGGAGCGGTGGTCGTGCTGGTGACGCCCTGCATGGTATTCTCAACTTCCAAGTCGACAACAGCAGCGGCGGTCGCTAGGGATTATTAGCAGATTCTTGGTGATGGGGCATAGCTGGCTGGGGAACAATACTTTTTGTCCTGGTGTAAAAGAAGCTCTCATCACAATCAACCTGCTGCTCCACGGATTCAATGGTGGAGCCTTCTGGAATTGGCGACAACGCCGAGGAGATGAAGCTAGCAAGCTCGTTGCCGAGCAGGGGAGGCAGCGAGTCCGATACACGCGGGGAGGTAGATGTCAGCGGGGAGGAAGATCTCGAGCGCTGGAAGGCCGCAACGTCAACTGTATCGTGCGAAGCCGAGTTCATGTCCAACGTCAGCTCAACAAAACCCTCATCATCGTCCGAGCTGCCGCCATCCTGTCCGAGCGGCGTGTCGTCCATGAACTGGTCGTCGTCCACTGACTGGTTGTCATCCTCGTATCTTTCAATGGACGAGGCCTCAGAGACCGCGGCGTCAGACAAGCCGTGTGCATCAACCTCCTCTATGCTGGTATCCGGAGTCGCCGTCTGGCGTCTCTTGGATGGGGAATGCTCTCCACCCAATCCAAAGGCACGATCGACAAGGTCGGGAATGCCTCCGCCTCGTCCAACCTCGAATCGTGACGATAAAAACGAGGGAGCATCGTCGTGATTGGTACTGGTTGAACGGGGGCGCTTCTTGCCGAGGATCGATTCAGCAGCAGGGCGGCCGGGCTTCGATTGTTCGTTGTCAGGTTCATGAACATCAGAATCCAAGCCTTGGTTCTGACCCTGTCGCAAGTCAGTACTTGTGCATCAGGGTGGTGTTCATCCCTGACCTCATTGCTCTCGCTGACTTCGCCATCCGAACTGTCCTCGTGGTCCGAAATGCCGAGCTCGCGGATCATGTCTTTCAGTCTGTTCTTGGCAGCGACCGCAATGGGGCCAGAGATTGCTACCGTCTTTCCCTTCTTCTTCCCTACATTCAACAGTTTCATCTCGGAATCCCACAGCTTGTCAGACCAACTCTCACCCCAGCCTAGATCGTCCTTGTACTTGATCGCTATCTTGGTGATAGCAACTACAGCGTCAATCAGGTTGCGCGAATGCTCAGCGATGGGGGCATGCTCGGAAGGATACTATCTTCCGGCAGGCCATTCCTTGGCGAGGTACCGCATCTGCTCCGCGTGTGCGTAGGGCCGTTTGGGGTGCACCCTCTTGGGCTTTGGCATCGTCGGCACCTCCTTGGTGACGAGGTACGAGCTCCCCAGCGGGTAGGCGACCTGGCGGTGAAGGGCGTCCCGGTCGACGTCCCCCGGGAGCTGGTCATCCGTCACAGTCGCCCAGTCGGCCGATGGCGATGGCGGCAGTGGCTTTCGGTTTCGGGAACCCTTGGAGCGTGTCGAACCTTTGGCGGTCGCAGGCGGTGTTTGCGGTGCAGCAACAGCAATTGGTGCCACCAGCATGGGTTGACGACGAACTTGGGCTTGGGCTTGGGCTTGCGAGGAGCCGGTGGCGTCATGTGGAGTTTCCATGGCCGAAGTAGAGTGCGGTGTTGGTGTCAGAGATGCGGCGATGAGGGAGGGCGACTGGTGTTCTTCGGTGTGGCTGATTCGACACGCAGGAACACAAGACAAGACAAGACAAGACAAGACAATGTCAGACACACGCAGGCAGACTGGCAGAACGGTGACTGAGCCGCTGAGGTGGATGCCACTCGTGATGGAGGTGGTGGAGGTGTCGAGGTCGAGGTCGAGGTCGAGGTGGAAGTGCAGATGGATTGACGTGAGATGAGATGAGTCAAGTGTGGCTGCAACTCGTGGGTGGCGCAGCTGCAGCTGAAATCGATCTCACAGCTGGTGGGCACAGCCACAGTAAGGCACCTGATTTGGCACCTGCCTGGTCGCTATATCGGACCCCATCTTACAGGGCACTTTAGTGACTTCCCCGCCTGAGCCAAGCCCTAACCTTAATAGTGAAGGAACACACCCATGGGTGTAGCCGGGCACGCATGATGAAGGAAAAGCTTTGCTCTGATCGGTCAACCGGTCAATTGAGCGAGGTGCATGGGAAGAAACACGAGTGCCATCCGTCCTGTCTGTTCTGCCATGGGTGGCATGTGGGTGCTGGCTGCTGGCTGCATTGATGCGCAGGCTGTCAGTCACCAAGATCCCTGGAAAGGGGGGAAAGGGGAAAGGGGTAAAGGGGCGCGTAGTATCACATCGCCGCATTTGCGCCTTTCCCACCCCAAGCATGTGCCTGCATAGGTGTTGTGCCGAGGTGTACCCCCATCTACTCACTCACCTGGGTAGATCATGTGTGAACAGAAAGGCAGGAGGAACACAGGGATCGAGCTGCATTAAATGCTCTCAGCTGTTTCTGTTTCTAATTCTGCTTCTCGCTTTCGAATTTAATGCATCTTGATGTTTTCTCCTCCCTGCGTGGAACGTCAAGTCGACTCCTTCGTACACTCGTCCCCTGTTTCTCGTCACTCGTGTCCCCAAGTTCCCCCGTTCGCCATCGCCATCGTCGTCGCCATGGCCTCCACGCCCACATCGTCACCCCCGGGGCTGTCTATGAAGAGACAAACTGCAGCCCATACTCAGGCCGCCCCCGGGAATGAATCGCCAGGTCATGGGGCCTGTTGCCGGTATGCATGCATAAGTGCAAGCGTGCCAGCGCATCGATATCTAATAAGCGCCGTATGCCAAAGCTGACCGTATGGCCAGATATATGCCCGCCCATCTGACCCGTGAAGTCGGGGCCAGATCACCACCAGCATGCCGAGTGGGCTGCCAGTATGTCCAGGTCGCCGTCACCACCGCCACCCCAGGAGATAAGGGGTCGTGTGGGTGTTAGGACCAGACCCCGCGCATCCACATTTGAGCGGCCTCTCTTATCTTCTTTTCTCCCCTCTCGACCGATGAGAACATCAGGTGATAGAGGACCAGACAAACAGAGGGATGGACATACCAACGCGGGGGATGACTGTAGCATGTCCGTGATGCATCCATCACAGAGGCCATCACTACCTACCTTGCCTACCCACCTACCAACCGAGGTCCCAAGGTAGCCGGCCCCCATTTTCGTCGACCTCTTTACAATCTTCATCTTGACTAACTGTTCTTCGGTAGCATTTTTGGCAGCATCACAAGCAGTGATATCCCTACCTCCGCGCCGGTGAAAGAATTCGACAAACAACGGACGAGACAATCTTCCTTGGTATCTCCCGCAATGCTGTCTTCAGAAGGTCCAATTCTGTCTGGGAGTTATCCTCACCGACGGCATCCTCACCGGCAGCATCCTTACCATATCGTCACCAGAAGGGATCCATCCTTACATTCTGACGTGGCCTACTTGTCGCTTCTTGAACTCCCGGTCCGAGTATAGCTTTGTCGGATTTCCTTTGTACGTTTACGCCTCCATTTCTCAGATAGAGGATATTGGTGCTGGCAATGCTGGTGAGATGCTGTTAAGGATCTTACATCTGTGCTCATGTCGAAGGCATTGATTGTGAAAGAGGAAAATGATTCCATTGAGAGTCTGGTCTTGTTATTCTCTTCTCGTCATGCTGCTGCCGCAGTGGCTAGTCGGCTCCTTCTCCTTGCCAGTATTCCCATGGCAATTATGAGAAGCTTGCCTGGAATGAGATTATCGGAGAAGCACTAGGGGTTCGATAGAGCTAAAAGTGAGTGTAATATCGTCAGCGTTCCGTCCCAGGGAGCAACGATGGGAAGAGGGCACGGTACAGGCCCTGTTGGTCCTGCTGGGTGGAGTGCCCGACGCAACGCTTCATAAAGCGTGCAAATTTGGAACAGCCACATCTCCACGGCGCGGGCAGTTCAGAATACCGTTAAGCCCATGGTGCGGGGTAGCAGTGATCAAGATGACTACCGCGCATAACTAGTATCCAAAAGTCCACGGCGCGCGACAACCCTGCGAGTCGCAGCGCGTGGGTGTCAGTTACAACACCGCGGCGTCTAAGTCCTAAATCTTCACGACAATGTGATTAGCCAGTAATTGAGGTACGAGCAGCACAACCCCTTTACGGAGGCATAGAAGAAACCTATAAACGGCGAAGATATCGAGTTGAAAGTTACGTCGATATGATATATTGACAGATATTGTCACATGAGACAGTCAAGTCAGAGGCGCTCGTATGCTGCTTGGTTTCTGGATGATGTGATCAAGGCCGGACAAGCCAAGTCGCGAAAAACCAAAGTCTGTACGATATCCCACTAGAACAAGACAGCCTGCCCCTACACTTTCCTCAACTTCTCGCTGATCACCCCAGCCAAACTAGCAAGCGTTTTTTGGTTGCTTAGGAGGTCGAGAAACGGAATGTCAACCTTGAATGTGTTCCATATCCAAGTACGGAATTCCGCAGCAGTCATACTATCCACACCGAACTGTGCGAAAGCTTGCGTCTCGTCGACCTGATTGACCGGCATCAAGATCAAAGCGGACAAGCGCCTTCGCGCAAGCTGTGCGATGGCATCGACCAATGTGGAAGACCCGGATTCCGAAGCAAGAGCACTGACCACAGTCGGCGAATACCCTGCGAGCCAGTCTGGTGCATTGGCGAGTCCAACAGTAGCGCTGCTGTCGCACCCTCGACCCATCTGGGCAAGCAACGAGGCAGATATGATGGCGCATCGCGGGTCAATCAGATGACCGCTCGTCATGTCCCAGCCTTTCTCCACCAACTCACGAAGTGCATGCGACTCCAAGCCGGTGAGCATGTGCGCACGACCCGGACCTGGCTTCTTGGCTTGGCAGTCACCGTCTTCCCCGCTTAGAGCGAGATCAATGACCTGCAAGAACTCTTGTTCGTTGAGCGGCTGGATACCTTTGCGTAGTAGCAGGGCCTCGATGTCCGGGTTTTCGTGAAGGTAGCCGACCTCGGAAATCATGCCTAGCCCTACTGAGACCGCCTTTTTACCCTGCAAGCGACGCCAACGTGCCCACGCGTCGAGAAACCCGTTTGCCGCGCAGTAGTTACTCTCGGTAGCTGTTGCAATGCTACCGGAAACCGACGATGTCAAGAGGAAGAAATCAAGTGCGTCGTCAATGTGACCAAGGGCGTTATGTAGATTCCAAGTTCCTTTCCACTTCGGCTGGACAGCGGCATGCCAAGCTTCATTGGTCATACGGCTGAAAAGACCTTCCCGAAGTCCTACAGCGGCTTGGACGACGCCACCGATGGACCTGCCCGTGGCCAGACAAGCTTCAATGACAGCTTGAACATCATCGACGATCGACACGTCACCGCTGATAACCATGACATTGGCGCCACTGCCTTTGAGATAATCCACTAGTGCTCTTGCACTTGGTTTGTCGGCACCAGAGCGCCCTAGAAACGCGAAATTTCTGGCCCCTTGCTGTAACATCCAGCGGCTGAGACTGCGACCTAAGCCACCTAGGCACCCCACGAGGAGGTAGATCTTCTCGGAGTCTAGTAAAGTCAGGTATCTCGATGGTGCGAGCTCCATATCGTCAGTTCACGTCCCGACGTGTGTCTTCAGGTGGACTCTTACTGGTATCTGGCTGTGGGCATCCTCTGGAAAGAGAACTACTATTTTGCCGACCCTATCCCGGGAAGAGAATGCACGGAATGCTTGAGTGATCTCCGAGACATCATAGGTGGTAATAGGCCCAGGCTTGATTCTTCCAGCTCGGTACAGCTCGAGTGCCTCTTTTGTTTTCCTGATCTGGTGTCAGCCATCGCCTAATATGGTCACTGACATGTAAGGACCCACGAAATCCATATGTCTCGGTAGTATTGGTCTTCATGGTAGAAGAGCTCACTCAAATCGAAAGCGGTGAAGGTCGTGTTTCGCAAGAAAGTGTCCACTACCGTCGTTATTAGCTTGTGTTTCTCTCTTCAAAAGCGGAAACGTGGCGGGAAATACTTTGCAGCTTGCCTATGTCAACGAGTTCACGCTTGCCAATCTCAACGAAGCGGCCGAAGTTGGCTAGACAGTTCCAACTCGCATGCAACAGGTCCCCAACGAGGGAGTTGATAACCAAGTCAACTCCTCGATCCCCAGTAGCGGTTCTGATGCCTTCCGCGAATGAAGCGTTACGTGAATTGAATATGCGCCACGGAGGAACACCTAGTTCATCCGTCAGATAGCGACGCTTGGCTTGAGTACTGCATGTTGTGTATACAGTAGCACCTAGATGCTGAGCCAATGCAATAGCTGCGGTACCAAATGCACCTGCACCCGCGTGGATTAGAACTGACTCGCCTGCTCGAAGCCGCCCCCTATCCAGCAAAGCGTAAAGGGCTGTAGCGTACGCAATAGGGATCGTGCAGAGGACTGTATCATCTTCTCCGGGCAGCATTCTGTGTGCAGACCACGCAGGTACGCGCTCCACGGTACTGAAGTAGTTGGGGGCCATAACGACAACGCGATCACCTACGGAGATTTCACTCACGTCTAAGGCAACAGCGGTCACGACCCCACAGAACTCTAACGCCGATGTGCCACTTCGTGTCTCAACGTGGCCGCTGATGTTGTAGACATCTTTAGCGTTGAGGCTCACTGCCTTCACCTCCACGTCAATGAAACCAGCTGGGGGAGTTGTCGCAGCCGATCGGATCTGCTGAAAGTGCAGAGTATCGGTAATTCCGGGTCTGGCAATCGCTAGACGGGCTGGTCCACTAGTGGAAAGCGCCCCCTTCTGAACAGGATCTTGGTGTCCCATACGCCGACGAAACAAGTCGTTGACGGAGACATTAGGGGCAAAACGACTGGTATAAAGAACGTCATCAACTTGGATGAACTCCTTGTCGTTGACGTCCTCATAGGTAGCAAGTGCTCTGACAGCATTGTCGAGACTGGCCAACAAGTCTAGGTTTCCTAGAGAGCCGAGATCCAAGGTGGAAAAGCGCAGCGAGGGCTGTTCCATCATCAAAGCTCGGGATATGCCGCTAGAAAGCGTTAGGTCCGGATCGGGGTTGTCACCCAACATATTGGCGCCAGTGAGCCACAGTAAGTGCGTGGTAAAATCAGTGAGCGAGCGCAGTAAGTCCATATCCCCGGGTGTCATCGTGGCGAGGAGCTCGCGCTCTACCTCGAGCAATGAAATACAGATGGTGTCGGGCGATGTCGGGAGCGCGCGTAAGTCAGCGAGCGGTGCGATAGAAACACTGGGTGCTCCGGCTTTCTTCAAGTGGCTTGACAAAGATTTTGCAAAGTTCTCCAGTGCCGGTGACGGGTCCTTGTGCTTCGAAACAGGTAAATTAGCTTGTACACTCAGCCATAGGCCATGGCCCAACATCACTTACCACAATCAGGAAGTCTCTTCCTTTTACTGGTGCATCAAGTCTCGCCTGCTTCACCCCCAAGACAATCTGCCTTCTCGTCTCGACGACAGTGAATCCTGCAGCGGCTAAGCTGGCTAGACCAGCATTCGTCTTCGAAGTGATTATGATGCCCTGACCTCCTAGGAGAGAAACAAATTGTTCCGAGCAATCACTCCAGATGCGCTCTGATTCGGAAGCCACGCCGCCGATTACCAATGCATCAAACGGACCAGACTCAGACTTGTCGATCGTCAAAGTGCCATCGATTGACAGATCAGCAGTATTCCAGGACTGGATGCGTGGGAGGGCAGTCTCGTTATCGAGTAAGGACAACCAATACTTGGTTGTTCTTTGACATCTGGGCCCAATCTGCAGTGCACGGAACCTCGGTTTGTTGTGACCAACGAGGTCCAGCAGAGCCCCAACCACGGTTGCAACATCGCTTTCATCCGAGATAGGTTCGTGACGCGGCGAAAAGTTATCAACGTACTTGTTGAGCTGATTCGATGAGCCAGGACGTACGCGCAGCACATCTGGTTTCCAGCGGACACAGAGAGTGGGATTCCGCTGGAGATGTAGACTCGTGCTGGTCTCTTCTGTTTGCAAATTGCCAGCATAGAGTGATAGACGTACACCTTCCATCATGACGACAGGCTCCCCCGTGGCGTTCAGTAGAGTGCAGTCAACCTTTTTGGTGGAAAAGCCGGTCGTTGTTGAACAGGTGTGGATAGTGGCCTCTTCATTGCAGGTCTTCGCCAGGCCCCGAATCCTACATTCCGCAATGAAGACTGGCATGAATGCCTTGAGATTGTATAGATTGCCAGCAGTGCTTCCCATTATTGCGGCTTGGAGACAGGCATCCATGCTGACAGGATGGACAGGGTACACCGTGTCCGTGGCCTTGCCCACCTTCGTCGTCAGTGTAGTAGTGGATATCGCCTCTGTACGTTGGTGGTTGCTGTCTGTCCGTAGGCTATCCAGCGACTGGAAGTATGGCCCGAAGCAAAGCCCTCCGCCGGCGAGCTTCTCGTACCATTTGCTCAAGGTGCAGTGGTCGAAGTCCTCAGCATCTTCCACTCTGGTCAATCTCCCAAGTACAGTGTCACATAGACGAATACTGCCGGAACAGTGAAGAGTAGCTTTGGATTCAATCCAAGAGGAAATAGAAAACTCAAACCAGTCCTCGGAGGTATTCGTATTCGAGATCTTTCGTGCTGACAATGTAGTGTGGATTTCCACCTCCTTTGTCCTAGCGTCAACATCTTGCGGAATTACAAGAGCTGAGGTAAAGGTTACGTTGCGGAACTCGAACCATTTGTCAATCTGGTCTTCCTCAACTTGAAAGACCTGAGAGATGGCCTCAATGCCGATGGCAAGGTAGCCAACTGCAGGGAAGACGACCTGATGCTCGATCTTATGGTCAGATAGCCACAGAGCCTCATTCAGCCGCAGAACATTGCGCCAGGCCCAATTGATTCCGTTATTGGCCAGTTGCGCCGAGCCTAGAAGTTCGTGGCGGCGATACTTGCGATTTCGCAACTCAACGCTCGGGCGTGGTTCATACCATTGTAAACCTGCCGAATAGTCCCAGGGATATGGTGCTAGATCATGCAGGATGACCTGGCCGTCGTCGGGGGAGAGGCTGTTGACATGTTCCCATTGCAGCTTATACCCGTGTAGGTAGAGAGAGGCGGCTAAACTTTTAATGGCCACCTCGGCGTCTCGGTTCCGGACCAATGTTGCGCTGTAGGGGAAAAGCCTCCCGTCAAGCTTGGCAGCTGCGAGGATCTGTTGGACAGCTCCCTTGAAAGCAGGGTGAGGGCCAATTTCAATGATGTGAAACTTCTTGCCATCTTCGAGGAGCGCCCGCATAGCTTCGCTGAATTGGACGGACGTTTCCAGATTGTCCCGCCAATACCGCGCTTTTCTGCATTGCTTTGCATTGAGCACATGCTGACCATGACCGGTCTCCACCGAAGAGTACATTTTTACAGCCGAAGCCTCAGGAACGTGCCCTTTATCGAGAATTGGCTCGAGCAATTCCTCATACAGCTGTCCGGCGGCTTTGACCAGGTGTGAGTGGTAAGCTCGTCCACCTGTGGCGAGCTTTCGCGCGAACACCTTCCTCCCATGTAGAGTCTGTAGAAGATGCTCTGCTCCTTCTTGTGAGCCGCTGAAAGTAACACTGTAAGGCGAGTTTATGCATGCTAAGCAAAGCTCCTCTTGAAGTCCGAGTTCAATTATGAGCTCTTTCGCTGCGTCTGGCCCTATGCCTGCAGCGACCATAGTACCCCGGGTCATGAGCCTTTGGACCGCGAATCCCCGAAAGTATGCCGTGAGCAAAGCTTCACTGCTGTTTAGCAGATTGGAAGTATAAGCGGCAGCAATCTCCCCAGACGAATGGCCTACAACTGCCAAAGGGCCTATGCCCCAATTCTGCAGTAAGTTGACAAGGGCAATCTGGATAGCGGTACAGACCGGCTGGCTGCAGTCGACGTGATTGATCTTGCTGGTTTCGGACGGATCGCTGATTGTCTGCTCTATCGTCCAAGTGGGCCTGGTGGCGGATGGGAGGTTCTGCAGTATGGTGTCCAGTGCTTGAATGTTGCGTCGGAAAGTTTTGTTACTTCCAAGTAGCTCCCTGCCAAGCTGGGGATATTGTGCACCTTGACCCGTGAAGATGAAGGCAAAAGGCAAGTTCATAGACAGGGGATCAATACACTCTGCTTTTTCCGTTTCAACCAGCTTCGCACTGCCGTCCATCTCAGTCTGAGCAAACAGCAAGTTCCTCTTGCATAGAGTGGGCCTCTTCTGTGCGAGAGTGAACGCCAGGCTCTTCACAGTAGCAGCATCCATATGTTGTATTGACTGCTGCACTTGTTCAACTCGCATGTCCAATGACATGCTTGATGCCGCAGAGACAGGGACAACAAAAAACTGTCTCAAGCGGTTCGATACTGAAATCGGGGGTTGGGGAGGATTCTCTAGGTAACTGTCGAAGGACTCAACAACTAAATGAGCATTAGCTCCTCCGTAGCCGAAACTGCGATGATCAGTCAAGTTTCTCGAACGGATTTCACGCATTGTTAATTCACCTGTTTATGCTCGCCCGCCGCCTCTGACGGGGCCAATCCTCCATGTCTGTAACCACATTCATGTTTGCCTTGGGAAGGTCCAACTTTGGGTTTAGCTTCTCGACGCCATAAGTCGGTGGAATCTTGCCTTTCTCAAAGGCCATGACTACTTTGATTAGCGAGGTCAGACCACTTGCTGCTTCGCTGTGGCCAAGATTGGATTTTACTGATCCAATCTTCAAGGGCGATTGTCTTGGTCCGAAGCACGCTTGCAATGCTTCCACTTCGATAGGGTCTCCCACAGCGGTCCCAGTTCCATGACACTCGACATAGTCAGTCTCACCAAAGTTGAGACCGGCGGCGGAATAGGCTCCCCGGATGACCTTCTCCTGCAATTCTGCGCTGGGTTGCGTGATACCCTGTGTTTTACCACTGCTGTTGACATAGTTAGTACGATTGACTGCAGTGTTTCAGTTGCAGAATGCAATGACCTACGCGTTGACCGATGTACCACGAATAACAGCCCAGATCTTGTTGCCGTCTTGAAGGGCCGACGAAAGGGGCTTCAGATAAACAGCGCTCACCGCCTCTGCGCGTCCGTATCCGTCAGCCGAAGCATCAAACGTATGGCAGGTAGACGTTGGTGAAAGCACGCCGCCCTTCATTGTCCCAAGGTGCTGTTCAGGGCTAGTGATCAAATTGGCGCCTGCGACAATAGCGCCAGCACACTCTCCGTTGCGGATAGCGGACACGGCACTGTGCAAGCAGTAGATCGAAGATGAACAGGCGGTGTCGATCGTCATACTTGAAACCGATTCGTCAACCATTCAACTCCAAATGCCCTTGTATCATAATATCACTTACCTCGGCCCCTGAAGGTTGAATGCGTGGCTGATGCGGTTTGACACTGTACCTCCAGAGTTAGCAAATGTAATACCCCTCAGGTTCATTCCTTGTGGACTCGTCCCAAAGCCAGTCCACACAGGCCAAGTGAAGAGATAGAAATGCCTGGGTATGCCTACTGATTGCCGTGCCCGAGCCAGTCGCGTGATATCGATGCATATAGTCCGGATCGCGGGTCTGCATCGTCTGATAGTCGACCGTGAAATTGCCAACATACACGCCAGTGTTGCTGCCGGAAACATCCTCCATGGACAATCCGGTACCCTCAAAGCATTCGAACACCAGTTCAAGCAGTTTACGTTGCTGTGGATCCATATACGTGGCTTCCATAGCGTTGATGCCGAAAAAGCCATTCTCAAACATGCGAACGTCTTCATTCAAGAAATAGCCACCCTTTGCATCCATCAGACCAGCACGGGAGCCATCTGGATGGTAAAAAGCCGCAATGTTGAACCTCTCTTGCGGCACTGGGCCCTGAGCTGTTTTCTTCTCGGCCAAGAAGTTCCAGAGATCCGAAGGAGACCTGATGTTCCCTGGGAGGCGACATGCTGGTCATACAGTCAGTGCTCGTGTTCACGATAGGGCTCTTTGAAACTTGCCCATGCCGACGATGCATATGGGATCTGCGTCCCCGGCTGCTTTCAACCCGTCCATGTCAGTTGCTTTCGAGACTGAGACGGTACGATAGCAGCGAAGTGGCTGGTACGGAGGTGCTTGAATAGGGCAAGAGCACCAATGGTTGATTGTCGTCCGGCGTTACTGGATGTGAGATTGCATGTATGACTGCTCGTAGCTGCCCGTTTGGGTGATTGGTTCGCAAGAACTCTCAAGTTGGGACGCTGAAACCTGGTTCCCAGTTTTTAGTCGTTGACTTCACTTAGGATCAAGTCGTTCTCGCGCAATTATGTTCTGTCGGGAGACACGTATCGAAAGGAGGATGCCCGCAGTTATACTGCAACACGGGACACTTGGTATTCTGGCACCATGCAATTGCAGTGGGACTGCCTTATCTTTTCGGAGGGGCTCCTGTCCGCCGCATGTACCAGTCCTGGGGCTACAAACGTGCATGATGAATCAAATTCACTGTACACGACTAAGAATGGTGAGGGTCACGGGACGACACACCGCTATCAGACTGCAATGGTCATTCGAGCGGACGGATGTAGCCTTGATCTGCGGAGTGGATTGGTGGGTGGGGGTAATGCAACATTGCCTGGTAAGCAACAACACACAAGAGGCAACCTAACCTTAGACCCAGCCCGACTCGCTTCCCATCCTAGCGGAAGATCGCCCGCCAGTACATGCCTGAAGAACTCCTTCGGAGGGAGGATCACTAGGAGGGCGTCTGTCAGAAACAGCTCATTGTCAGCCTGGCTCCCATGTAATGCTTTTGGCAGTACACATCGGCCGTCTTCTCCCTGCAAACCAAACTTGTGGACATATGCATGTTGGGCTGTCTACGAGTTGGCATCTACGTCAAGCTGGACGCACAGGAGGCTGCTCCGAAGAAAGCCGACTACTACACTAGGAAGTAGTGACTGACTCTGCGTTGAGAATTCATTGGCTGCAGATATCGACCGCGCGTTCACTTGAGGAATGTGCCCGCTTAACTAGACTGCCCGCAGGTTGTTTTCCCGCTCTGCATGCCACACAGACGATGGTCCAAGATGCCGCCTAAGGACAGATATGCGCTCGTAACGGGGTAAGCCTTCATCGTTCTTGCGTGGATCTAGTGAGCTAAGGTATTCCAGATGCGGCCAAGGAGGTATTGGCGAGGCCTTGGTTACAGAATATACTCGTAAAGGCATACATTCCATCGCCACCATTCTGCCTTCGGAGCCTCATGACCACCTTTCCAATCTTAGCATTACGTGGTTCACCCTCGATGTAACAAAGGAGGAATCAATAGTCGCGCTGAAGACACATGTCCTTGCCCTCACCAGCGGATATCTTGACATACTCGTCAATAATGCGCAAGTGACTCCGACTTGAGAGCACCAACGTGGCCAAGTTCACTGACGTTGGCATTAGTGGCATCTGTATGCGACGCCTTAGCTTCCCGATGAGTCTGACATAACTGAAACTTATATAGGCTACACCATGCCAGCCATTGACACCGATGTTAGTGCTGTGCAGGCTATGTTCGATGTCAATCTTTTCGGCCCAATGCGGATGGTAAACCACTTCCATGAGATGTTGATCCGATCTTCTGGGACCATCGTGAATATCGGCTCGATAGGAGGCATCGTACCTTTCGTGTATGGCTGTGAGTCTTACTTGGGTCTATGCGAAACCACCCGAATCCCTCGGTTGATTATCTATCAGCGTCATACAATGCCACAAAGGCCGGTTTGGTACATTGGGGTAACACTTTACGTGTTGAAATGGCACCACTGAAGTGAGGCTGTCCAGAGAGAGGTGGGCAGTCGAACAGCTAATCTGATTGAATGAATGTATAGTGTCAAAGTTCTGAACGTGAGTGCTTCCGTCCGTTCACGGAGTAACAAGGCTAACCACTTGAAGGTAATTTCCGGCGAGGTCGGCACCAATATACTGAAAAGCGATCGTGGCCGAGTTTTACCTCGAAGTATCGTATAACCAAAGAGCTCTCTACAGTGGTCCCCTGCTAAGACATTTGCAAGCGTCCTTCTACTTGCCCCTTTCCGTTGAATTTGAAAATCATGTTCACCGGGCCCCTGGTAATCCACCCATAGCCGAAGTTACCCTGACGATCACACAGCTGAAATTACCAGGGTCAACCGACCGTTTCTCATACGCCAGAAAGGTGGTAGCGCAAAGTCTCGTCTCATCTCAGCCGGCATGGATTTGGACCGGCAGTCACGCTCTGTTGGTCCGCCTGCTTGATGCGTTCTTACCGCGCACGGTATTTGTGAGGACCGCCGACTGAGGGTACCGTTCCATGATGGCTGACATAATCGCAGGACTGGATTCTTTGGCACATGTTCAGTCTGGGGAAACTCCGTCGATCCCATGCCGAGCGGATTGACGCATGAACACTCTGCTTCCCGAAGAGGTCCCCTGGAGTAGCGCTTCGATGAGTCATGCTGGATGGGAATATTCTCAGGAGCTTTGTCTCGGGGGAACCCACGATAACGAGTTTTTGGCTTGCGTATTATGGGTTTAGTCGCAACGTTTGTTCATAGATATCCAAGCCGATTTAACATCGGTCGTCGCGACGCCCCAGTTATGCTGACGCTGACAGAGAAACGGAAATGGGACAGCACAGCCCATGTATTTTAATGATGAACCTGTTGGCACTAGAGGGTTGGACACCAAGGTGGGCTGTCTTCCTCCACAGCGCATTGACCTAGTCCAATGGCGCGTTCGGGATGAACACTCGATACACAGAGATGGCCGTGAACATAAATGGAGGCATCGTGTTCATTCTGTTTCGAACGGACCGTCCGCATCCCAGTGAATGGCTGAATACCCTACTTTGAAACCCCCTGATCAACATACTCTTTAGCTAGATCTCCGAGAAAGCCCTCCATCTTGTTGCCATTGACGTAAACATCTTTGCAATCGAGCAGGACCCACATAATACGACCAGGCATCGTGCCATTCCCTGAGATATTTTTCCACTTATGCGCTGTAGCACGCTGAACGCTCACGTCTCCCTGCCGCATCACGCGTTTCTCTCCGGAATCGAGTATGAGTTCGAAGACTCCCTCGACTACGATCCCATAGTCAATGGAAACTGCGCGATGGAGTGGTGACTCGACGTTAGGGGCGAAATCGATCATACGGACAATGGAGCCGCCATGATAGTGTAGGGGAGGCTAATATGGCCTATAAGCTTTCTGACGGGGGTGGTGGGCAGAATCATGGCATTGGCTTACCTCTTGCGAGCTAGCCTTCTCAATATCAACATCGCCATTGAGCTCGGCGGGTGTCTCTTGAGTGGAATATAATATATTGGCCACAGCCTGCTGGTCGCCCATGATGCGGTGGTGGTCGCCCTGGTCCGATCGCAAAAAGACGGAGTCGCCTTTGCCATCATGTCCAGTAATGTGCCGGAATATCTGGCGAAGTCCGGGGGCTGGGAAGCTCTGGACGTAGCCCTTGGCCGGAACGTCTGGCTCTGTCAAAGTGGCCGAGTCAACCTCAGCCATGATTGCGCAGGCTGGGTTACTAGACAAGCAGAAGGTAGCTTCAATAGCCGATGTGATTCAAGAGTGGCCTAAAAATCATGGGAAGGCCGGACACATCGCAAAAACCTCATGAGTGCTCACTTTTCCGGGGCGCCTCTAGTACACTTGCGAGGTGGTAGGGGATGCACCTCTCGTCCTTTCCAACATCCGATTGTCATGCAACTAGGCCGCCATTTCGTCTCCAATATGCATGCCGGCACATTTCTTGCATACAATGAGTAGCATCGAACTCCGCAACGGGCTACCACTTCGGCAGAGCGTTGCAAGCAACGTGAGACCATAACGGATTCGCCCTCTGTACAGCTCATCGTGGGGGGTCTGCTTAGGAGATGGAGCATCGACCCCGAGCATGGTGTGTGTGCTGCGTGGACCTCAGCTGACCAGTCAGCTTCAGCGCGACGGCCCTCTCTCCGGCAATGGGATGATTCACGTTGCCGAAGCAGGCTGCACTCCAAACGGGCTGCACAACTTGACGGTGTGGCACACTAAATCAAGGCGGGGCCAGTCAAGCCGAAAATGTAAGGAAATAGAAGTGCATGTCAAGCAGCGCGTGTGAGCTAAAGCCTCGCTGTGCTGACATAGAAGCAGCGAGACAGTATGCGGCTCCCTTGTGACAAGGTGCACCAGATCCTGCACGACGAGCCACCGAACTCAGAACCATGAGCAACTCCAATTTCCGGGTAATTATTGTTGGAGCAGGCCCTGTTGGCCTCTACGTGGCCAACGCCCTGCAGCAAGCAAACATCGAGTTTGTTGTCCTCGAACAGGAGAAGACAGTCTTGAAGCCCGCCGGCCAACTGCTATTTGTTTGGCCGCAGACTGTTCGTCTTTTCGACCAAATCGGCTTGTTGGCTCCAATGCAAGAAGCAGCCTTCCAGCTATACCAGAAGAAACGAACTTCGGGTATCGATGGTCGCGTGACGACGACCAGCAACTTTTGGGGTTTCATGCGAGAGAAGTATGTGGCTAAAACACCAAAATCTGAAAACCAAAGGTCCCCAACTGACAATGGTGTTGCAGCCATGGGTATCCTTTTCTCCTGATATTGCGTAGTGATCTGGTTCGGATTCTCTACGCCAATTTGAAGAGGAGAGACACCCATGTCAGAACGGACACTCAAGTCATAGACATTGTCCCCCATGCCCATGGTATCCACGTCAAGGCTAAGGATGGGGCCGTCGTCGAGGGTTCGATCGTCATTGGCTCAGATGGCGTGCATAGTGAAACGAGGAGCTTGATGCAGAGACTGGCTATCCAGTCTACGGGGGTTGACGAGGGCAACCCCATGCAATCTTCGTTCTACGGGCTATTTGGTCGCGCGTCAATTGACCAAGTCAAGATTGAGCCAGGGGTTTTGTTCGAATCGAGGGGAGCTGGAACAGTCATACAATGCTCGGGGACGAGGCGCACGCTTCACTTCGTGACTCTGACGCCGCTCCCCAGCCGAGTCACCGAGCGAATCAGATACAATACGGAAGGAATGGAAACATACGCAACGTCAATAGCTGATGTTGCAGTGTGCCCGGGTGTCACCTTTCGGGAAATCTGGAAACACGCGGACAAGAGTACGACGGTGTTGGTGAACCAAGAGGAAGGCTTTTTGAGTCATTGGCATCACGATCGCATCGTTTTGGTGGGTGATGCTGTCCACAAGGTCACAAGTGTGAATGGCCTGGGTATGACGTGCGGGCTACATTCGGCAGCCGCACTTGCGAACGAACTGCAAAGCCTGAGTGCCGCGATGCCTCATGATCCTACGGCCATGCTCTTCAATCAAGCCTTCGCGAAGTACCAACGGATTCGTGAGAGCGAGTGTAGGGCTATATGGGCTGCTGGTCGCAGTATGGTACGCGAGGTGACAAGAAGGTCACGGGTAAACTGGTTGTGGGACACCTACTTCCTTCCCTGGCTTGACATGGAGAGCTTTGCCAAGGGTATTTTGGTTTCTCTTCTGTTGATCAGATATGGCCACATTCTTACCTACATCCCATTCGATGAGCAAGGGGGCAGGATTACATGGGTACGGAGGTGTAAGCGTTAGTTCGAGTTCTGTTACTCAAAACTGCAAGCATGTCGCGTCGTGTGTAACTCTCGTCTTTCATAAGCGCGTGGCCACTTCCCAGGAAAACACAAACGGGATGTTTCAGTCGCCTCAGACCTGTCTGACATACATATCTCGAAGCACAGATGACGATCCCATGCTGGTAGAACACCCGTATCTGGAGTATGGGGAAAGGAAACCGCTGTCATTGGCTGATAAACTCCGAGTGACCTATTTGCCATATTTTTCAAGAGAGCATGTAGATCTAGCCAGGTGCGTAAGCGAGATCTGACGTTCGTCCAGCCACTGGCAAGAATTCGTGGACGTTGACGGGAGTCGGCGTAATCGGATAGTCTTTCCGCCGTGGATTCCGTGGACCCGAAGTTGCCGTTACACCAACACAACCACATGGGTAGAACCGGCAAATATTAGAAAAGCGACGACAGATTGGGCCCCAAGTCTTGCATCTGTCTACCTGCAAACCTGAAAGCGCCCAAAACTGTCGCTACTAGAACAGTCACACCTGCCTTGTCGCAAAGCTTCTGTTTCTCATATTGTCGATATTGTCGACTGAGAGAACAAAACGAATTACTATCATCCATCATTGTGCCCTGTCGCAACCGTCACTGGAAATAACTGGCACTATGGCGGACATCACTGTGATCCTCATCACGGGCGTGAGCCAAGGTAACCCACCGCCCTAAGTCAGCACTGAAGTATGCTTTATTCGCTGACCCACCGTGCAGGTATTGGTTTGAGGATGGCCGAAATATGTCTGGAACGTCCCAACCACGTGGTCATTGGGAGTATTCGCGATGACAGCACGCCTGCTGTGAAAGAACTCCAGCAGAAGACACCAGCGGAGGGCTCCCGGCTTCTCCTCGTGCACATTGAAAGTACGGCACCAGGGGATCCCAAGACTGCTGCTGCTGCCGTCGCAGCTTCCGGCATTGACCATGTCGACATCATCATTGCCAACGCTGGTGCTTCACCAATGCCCGTCTTGCCGATCGAAACTGTACCGAACGAAGATCTTGTGTGGGCCTTCCAAACTAACGCGGCTGGACCACTGGGCCTGTTCCAGGCTTTCAGACACCTCCTGCAGAAGTCCAAGTCGCCCAAGTGGGCCTCCATCACCAGCACCGGGGGCTCCATAAGCCTCGTGGGACCGATGAAGTCCTACATCGTCACCGCGTATGGCATGTCAAAGGCGGCACAGAACTACATGACTCAGTGAGTTTTTACAGACCAGTCAGCTTTTGTACGCCTCTTAACGAAGTTCGTCAGGGCCTTGGCACATAGCCAGCAGGAGTGGCTTACTGTGTTGGACATACATCCTGGGTAAGATACCAGGAGGCAGAACACACTCAGTGAAACCACTGACGATGTCATAGCCATTCGAGAACAGGGCCTGGAAACTGGGTTGCGCGTCAGATTGGCATGGAACAGGCGCCATTGACCATCGACGAGAGTGCCAATGCCGTCCTCGAAACCGTGAGTAGCACAGAAAGCTTTGGCTTAGTGGTCCCATGCTGATTATTCTCCGTCCAGGTCTTGAAGACCACGCGAGAGGCCGCCCTCGGAAAGATTATCTACGCGATCGATGGCTCTGTAATGCCTTGGTAACGCAGTCACCATGTTGTTTGGGGCGAATTTGCACGCTGGGGGAGGTGTTATGGCTAATTTTGGACCTCGTGTATATGATATGTCACTGGAGAAGCACGAGGTTTTCGCTTTGAGCCAGTTGTAGCTCGTATCTGAATATAACCGTCATATGACATTGCCAGTTGCCCCTTTTCAACTGTTCACGCTTAGGTTTACCAAGGACATCTCCAAGGACAGCAAATAATCGTAGAATACCGTGGCCTCTGAGCGCACACCTCGCCGCCAAACGACGTAAAACCAGACCCTGGCGTTACGTCGAATCATATGCTCACAGCCGACATGATCAAAAGGTCTGTCTTTTCATGCTATGGGAAGGAAGGAGGCTGACGCAAGACGTGAAGGAAATACCGTTTCACTGCAGCTATCTCCAAATTCGTGGACTGCCCGCCTTCGTAGACCTGGGCGGAGCTGGAAGAAGGCTTACAGGACATATACGTCACCCATGTAGGTTTTCCAAGAAGCACGGGTGGCCACATTCAGCGTTGGCAGCCATACCGAAGATCGAACCCTGACTTGGGGCCTAGATGCGATCAGTATTAAACAGCGTGTACTGTGGTTTCGGTGGTTAATAAAGTCCTTGTTACTAGATCGCTACCCCCCTGAACGCTAGTGTGGCTTACGCGCCATCTAACAAGGGTTCGCCATCGTGTACTTGACTTCCTCTTGAAGGCGTCCGCTGAGTCTGCCAGTAACAGGGCTGCAGCCTGCAGCAGGTTCATGTCTCATCCGCCAACAGTTACAGTCGGTGGTACGTGACGGGTCAGGTGTGTGCCTTGACCGCGTGCAGTGGCTAGTAGCGAAGCCGAATACGATATACGACGAGGAGGGTGATTTGGGATATTGCGACCACAGCGCAGATCGATCACAAAACGGGCGGAACGTAGATTGGCTGTAACTAGGTGGCGGTTGTTCTGAAGCCGCCCACAAGAGCCATGCCACTGCAGCAGCTGTCTTGGGGCATATGCGGTCAGGCAATAGGTAAAAAGAACCGTGCAGCCGCAAGTTCTGCCGTTTGTGCCTCACGTCGACGCTGACAGGTGCTTTTGACGGGACGCCCCGTGCTGGCAGGCTGCCCGTCATATCCGCTGGCGATTCCGTTATTGGGGGCCGAGACAGGGCTGCAAGGGGGCCTGTCGCCCGCCATGGACCGTACTCTATTTACTGAGGTTGATACACAGGAGTTTCACCTGATCCTCCCAGACCGACGCTGCGACAGACAGGCCACCTGCCCGACTCAGTCTAGTGCGGCTCAAAAATTGGAGGATCGAGCTTCCTGTTGGTCATCTTGACCGGCAGCCTGCAGGAGCCCGGCAGCTGCCCGGGTATAGGCGGGACCGCGGGTCTTGACATGCATGGATCTGCAAAATGTTGGGGTAAGATGGGTTGCAAGGGATACGACAATAGCTCTACAGTGCGACTTACGGTCAACCTTATCTTCAGGGGGGGGGAGGGGCGGTTGGTGAAAAATAGACATGTCTGAACTGGCGATTGGATCATGCGGGACTATTCACAGGTAGGCTTCGGGGACCTGGAGACTGGAGCCTGGCACTGCCCACCTACGATCGATACATCAGGTCAGCCCGGCTCATTCCCGACAATCAAGGTACCAATTTACTGTACCATTGAAGTTGTACGCATCGATATATGTGCTTGGCTTCACCGAATCTCTGAGCTCAATCGCTCTGGACAGTCTTGATACCTGTCCGGGCCGCCGGGCCAGCGGTACGGATGACCGAGTGTCACCATTTTGCATTGCAACCGAGGGCGAACGAGGCTCTCTTGGCGGACGTGTACACTCGCCTGGGCTTGTAGACTGACACCGAGAATAAGCAGATCGAGATCCTCGTAGACCTCAAAGGCCAGGGCACCTGCATACTAGTTGATGAGCGTAGATCTGAAGCACAGAGCATGGATGGGCAGATGTACCCTGCGCACGGCTGTGCTGGGTGGTGTTGAGGTCATTGAATGAGTGTGTAAACTATGGACCGAGAGAGTCCCAACCGTCGTGTAGAGATCCATGATACATGATATCCGGAAGTAATGGACATTGCGCACTAGCTGTCCCACCACCCTCGTGTCTGGTCAATTCGTACCCATACTGTCGATGATCTCTCCAGCCTTGGCGAACTCAAGCTCTTCCAGTGTCTCCCTCCACAGTCGTTCAGCGATCTCGATGCCTTTGGCTTTGTGCACGAGGGGTGCCATTCTATCAAAACTGGTGGTCAGCGGAGAAAGGCCAAAGAGGTTAAGGCCCGGCATGCAACTGACGGTTGTATTTTGCAGTCCTCCAGGTACTGCCCATGAGACTCTTGGCCGTGTTTCACGGCTGCGTCGATGAGAGTACGCGCCCCGACTGAAACAGTACGGGCAAAAATGTTCTTGAAGATGCCAAACAGAAATCCGGCAACAGTGCCGTTGAACTCTCTTTGCAGGCCCGATTTGCATAAGCCGGGATTGGGTGCGTTGATAATGGCGACACATGGCGGTACGCGCTTGGCGAGCTCTGAGAGGAAGAGTTGACACAACAGCTTCGACGTGTAGTATGTGTCTTGATTGTCGAAGTTGGACTCTTTGTCCAGGGCAGCCAGCAAAGGGATTGAGTTCTTCTCCTTGAACTTGGCCCAAGACGCAACATCGGAATTAACCATGACGATGCGGCCTGGCCGATCAGGGGAGTTCTTCTGTTTGAGAGTGGGGAGGAGCAGGACGGTAAGTAGGGCAAGAGAGAGGTAGTTAACTTGGACGGTCTCCTCATGACCCGTATTCTTGTTTCGCTCAAACGATAGCTTGGTGAGGCCGGCGTTGTTGACGAGGATATCCAGGCGCTCCAGACCCTTGGCGCGCTGTGCAAATGAGGTGACAGATTCGAATTTTGCGAGATCAAGGGGCCAGATCTCCACAGTGTGCTCATCCGCATTTCTGCCAGCGAGTAGGTCATCTCGCGCAGTCTCACCTTTTGACTCGCTGCGAACGGCAAGAATGAGCCGGCCGATGCCCAAGTCTAGAAACTGTCGCGCGCACTCCAAACCGATACCAGTGCTCGAACCGGTGACGATAACCGTTTTCTCGTGAAGGTCGACCTCGCTTCGGAGCACGGCAGGGGGAGTGAAGAATAATTGGCGCTTGAAGAAGGCACGCTGGGAAGCACGCTTCTCTGGGGTGATGGCAAAGTCCGGCATGATAAGGGGGCTCGAAGTTGCTCTGAGGTGATTTTACGTTTGAGAATGGGAAGAAAAAGGAAGGGAGGTTAAAAGAGAGACTGTGGAAATCCAGGTGCCCTACAGGTGTGGTGCCAGCTGTCAGGCAGCCAGATCTAACCAAAAAAGATGGTTAAAAGAGTGAAAGAGAGGAAAGCACCAGATTTAACAGCTTTTAAAGGGTAATAAATTAAGCGTCTTTATATATTAGTTTTAAATATAAGATAGTCTTCTAATATTATACTATGTTTAACATTGAGGTTTTTTTTTTGCGACTTATGAATAAACCACGCAATAAAATCTCTTTAAGTTAACTTTTATAATGAATTTTTATCAATAATATAATAGTAATATTTTATAACGATTAAAAGATTTTCGGTTTTACCATTTATTAAGGTATATTTATACGATAAATACGCGGGATTTTTAATTAATAAGCTTATAGACTAGTTTTATTATAGGCTTTTTATTATTATTAAAACGGCTATTTTAATTTCTCAACTGCGTTTAATTAGCGAAAAGGCTTCCAATTTAAAGAAATAAGATTAAGGTTATAACGCTTTTTTAATAAAGTTAAAACAACGCTTTTAAAAAGAAAAAAGGTTAAAAAGGTAAGTTTATTAATTATAAAGCAATATTTAAAGCGTTATAAAAAACCGTAAAACGTTTAAATATTAGTTAAGAACCCCGGGCTTTCGATTATAAGTAAAATTTAATATAACTTTATGTATTATTTATAAGAGAGACTTAAATAATAAGACTTATTTAACTATTAAAGGCGAATACAATAGTTGTAAAGTTTAACGCGTGCGTATTATTTACTTACGTAATATAAAAGGTTGATTTGTTAAAAGAGTAATTATAATAACATAGATGACAAGCGAGCGGCAATTACAAGCGAACGGCAACTTCTTAACAACCTCTCAACTGCCATGTCAAATAACTGAATCACAACGCATTTAATTCAATTCAATCAATCAGATTCCTTTTCTGACTGGTTTACCGCTTTGTTGATGATGGTAGGCGTCTTTGAAGTCCAAGTAGTGGGTGGCAGATTGGGGTCTAGCGACGGTGTTCGTACGACAGCGACAGCATCTAGCTTCAAGATGACACTTTCTGGGTCAAAAGGAACAAGCCCAGTGGCACTGAAACCTGCTCGAATGTTTCTTGGCGTCATAGCAGCGTTATGTGCTTCACAAAACGCTGCAAGGAAGTCCTCCTTCGAAACGTGGGTTATATGACGCCGGATGAGATCCTCAATCATGTGACCGTACGCTCATTTGAGCGGGTTAAAACAACTGACATCTAAAGGCTGGAGCCTGTGTGACGAGTGTGCAGGCATACAAAGGGTAATAATACTATTGTTCTGGTAATAATCCTCAAAGATCTGGGAATGGTGGCTTTCCTGACCATCTAGGATGAGGAGGCGTTTACCGGCGGTCATACGCACTCTGGTATACTTGTTAAAATACTGAATCCATTTCAAATCAAGCTTATTTATAGTCCACCTGTTATCAGACACAGCCACCTTCTAATCATGTGGTAATGTCGTATCGAAATACCATGACGCAAAGTGGGTTTTGCCCTGTAAAATGATGAATAGCGGGACCACCCAATCATCAGCATGGATAGCAGAGATTGCTGTAGACCATTCCTTATTGCCTTGCTGAGCTTGCTTAGATCTGCCATGTCTTTTGGCACTTGTAATATCCATGTCAGACCCAATAATGCCTATTATAAACCTAGTCTCGTCGAAGTTATAAATAGCCGTGTCTTAGATACCATATTTCGCAATTGCTGCCGCAACTTGGCAAAACCACGCGTGTTATGCATCTAGATCTTTGTCAAAGACCTTCTGGTAGTCCATCCTCTGATAAAAACGCGTCCAGATTTAATGAAGTTTCGCGTCCAGTTCTTTCCAATACGTCCATCCCCATGCGCTGTCAACTGTCAGATGCAAGCGAGTTCAGAATGTGCAGGTTGTCAAGTGTGTTGTCTTTTTCTTCTTCTCCTTCACCCCTTGAGCGTGCAGGAATTGATGATCTATCTTCTGGGTGGGTCAGATGCCCTGTGCGTTTCTGCCCCACTGGAGATCTTCCGGTGTCTATTTCCGGCTCCCATTCAACATCGACAATTGATTCGCCATATCTTCAACGTAACTGTGCCGGGGTAGAAATGCTCGCGCATTCAGGTCAAGAATGAAGGAAAGAATGGCATTCTCTTCAGAAACCGTAAGTTTCAAAGTGTTGGGTATGCTATCGCGTCGTGATGGTCGGCCGGCAATTCTAGCCTTTAAGGTATTATATGGGACATGAAAAGTCTTAGAAAGCTTGCCAATGGGAATATGAGGGTCGCATCGCTTAGCTTGGACAGCAAGCTATAAGTCTGATTTGCCAAAACGCAATGCCATTATTGTTGGTTGATCAATTAGGAGCCTTGATATAAAGGTTAGGTGGCTGGTGAAGAGTTGCCGTTCGCTTGTAATTGCCGCTCGCTTGTCATCCACGTTATATATTAACTTCATATAAATGGAGAATCTACTTAAAGGGGCCTTATATCTCTTGCTTAAATATTAGCCGATTAAACATTTGAAATTTTTACTGTACGATTATACAGTTTATTGCTCAGTTTAATTTATAGCTATTTAGAAATACTTTCATTTTTTAGTTTTTTTATTTGTTTGAAGTAATAGCAAATTTAATAACGATTTTACTTGATATTTTATGCAATAATTAATATGAAGCTAATTAATATATATACCTTTTTATAAGCTTATTTAACCTTTTAATCAGAGTATTTTTTCAAACAGTATTATAGTGTTACTATGGAAAAGATCGGTTCAGTGGTTCAGGTCATCATGTTGCTTACATTCTGGGTGCAGATCTACCCTAGGGTCTTGGGACCTGTTCAGGTACTAAATACACATACCAACTTCAAAGCAATGCCCAGCCTTTGATCCGGAGGGTAAAGATCCCTTGTCCCAGATACACTAAAGCTCAAAGCCCGCTTCTAGGCTGTTCCTTCCTTTCAGTGCTGCTGTCAGCCTTGTCAGCCTTGTCACCCCTAGAAGCGTGCTACAGCACACCTGTGAGCCGCCCGACTGCTTACAGTTACGTTATTAATATAGCATTTGATATTTGATTTAGTATTCAATATTCTATTAGCATTTTTAAATACTTAACTACAAACAAGTTAAATATTTAATTGATAAATAAAATACTTCAACAAAAAGAAGGTAATCATTTAATTAAACATTAAACATTAAAAACTCAATCAACTAATTAATGCTTGATTCAACAAAAGTTCAGTGCTTAATCATAAAAGCCGAACATTTAACGAAGTAAAAAATCTACGCGACAATGATACATAAATATATTATGATTTTAAAGCTTAAATACGGATACTTGAAAAAATATTTAGTTATTTAAAATAATGATAAATAGATTAACGGCGTTATTACCGGTATATCATTAAATAAATACAAATACATTAAAAATAGCTTGACGATAAATGCGTTTAGAAGCATTTACGGTCGTAATAATTATATATTTGACTTATTATTTGCTTAATTAACAATTGATAAACAAGATAAAAGGAAATAAAACATAGTCAATTTAACGTACGAATATAATAAGAAGCATTTAATTTAGTTATTTAAAAGATATAATAAAGTTGAAGCGAGCAAGTATGGGGGTCAAATATGTTGTTGTGCGTGGGTTGGTTCTCTAGCAAAGTAGGAGGACTGCAACCATTATATGATGGCCGCTCCCTTATCTTATCTCTAGCCGCACTCTGATTGGCCAGGGTACCCACTTACAGTGGGTCCGCCTGGTGACGTGTTTCAAAAGTTTAAAACGTCATATATTAAGTAAAATAAGTTTTTTTAAAAAGCTTGTAATAGTTTAATAACTAAGTTTTATATAATTCACAGGCCAAAGTAAATAAGTTAAAGACCTCGCTTTAGTATAATATTAAAAATTAGAATATCACGTTGTATAAGTTGTAAGAATTACCGGCTATTAGAGGCTAAAACCCGAACTAACTCGTTTTTAGAAGATATATTACTAATGTAGAGAATAAAATGATAAGTACATAGTTTAAATTTATAACGACGATTTAACGTCGAAATTAAAAGGACAGTCTTTATCGGTATAAGGCGGCATATTAGATAAATCGAGCGATTATCATTAACATTAACATTAAAGTTGTAATTATTTAAATAGAAGAGTTATTTAGCCTTAAATTAGTTTAAAAAATAGTTAATTAACGATTATTATAAAACTAGTAATATATTTATTATAAGTATATAATAAATATATAATAAGCTGATTATAAGCTATACTTAAAGCGTTAATTAACATGAAAAGCTTAAGAACATTATTTGAATATTCTGATCGAAAATAAATTAAACAATTACAAACGGCTTCTTGAAAATATTATTAAAAAGGTTTAAAACCTTTCATAATATTTTTAAACCATAGATATTATTATCTTTTAGAAAAAATTAAGTAAACAGTTTATACGTGTTTTAAAGTAACACAAACTTATATATCGAACCTGTGGACGCTTAGTCTGTAAAGCAGAACCTTTAACCTTTTGGTGTAAAAATGGCTCGCATAGCTTCGCCGCTCCGCCGCTCCGCCGGTCTGCCGGGTCAGGACGTTAATCTCCAGTGCAACTAGTGACGTATTGGGCAGGAAATGACCTTGTTACGAAAAGGGGAAACTGGATAGCTCGTTAGACTTGAAGTTTATTCATCCAAAGCATCCTTCTACGCGTACTTGGTGGCACATTTCGAGAATCAAGAAATTCAGTCTCTCTTATTTAGGTACTTTCAAACCAGACTCCATCCCAGAACTCAGACAGCGAGCTGTTTCAAACGGCCCTCTGACGAGCAGCTAGCAAACCTCCACCGCCTCGAGTGCCACATAGGGACAGCTTTGGTCACAATCCATGTCCCTGTACCATTCAAATGAGGAAAAACTCCCTGCCACATCCCCCCTTCAAATTCAGCCTCGTTCATGTTAAGATAAAATACAGGAAGAACATTGAGGACCAAGCTCATGGTGATCTGTTTTCTCGCAGCTGCGTTGGCGATTTCGAGAATGTCAATTGGATTATCATGAGTGCTGTATTTGGCAAGTGCGGCGATCAGAGGTGGCTCCGCCCTGAGATGCGAGTGAAGGGGTTCTTTGAACGAGTCCATGATGGCGAGGAGCTCCGTGGCCGAGAAGCCAACACCCTCTGTCCGCAAATAGCTCTTGAATCGTTCCATGCCATCGTGAAACGAGGCTGAAGTATTCGAGATTCGATGGTCAATGAGGTACACTACAGAGGGAATGGCGAAATCACATACCATGTTCGTGCACGGCGCTGTCCATGAGTCCTGTCAAGCCGGCGGCCTTGTTGACGTTTGGGAAAAAATGGTCCTCCTCGTAGCGATGATGCGCTTCAACGCAGTCGTGCCATGCGATGCAATATCCGACGAAGTCAGACTTGTCCCCGGGTAGTAGGCGCGGGGCTTGCTGGTAAATGCTGTTGAACCCTCGGATGAACGCGTTATGGCTAAGAGCCATTTTAGACGCTTCAACGGTAAAGGGGTCTGTCTACAAGTCTTTGTTAGGGCACAAGCACCACGATAGCGGGGGATTCGCCGTTTACCTTGCTTGTCTCGTAACGCGGTGTGTGTATCACAGCCAAGGGTACGTCGGTGTACAAGGGATGGGAGCCCATTGTGATTGTGATAAGTAGATGCTAGAAAGTCATGGCAAAAACGTATAGTCGGATCGTGTCTGGGTTGCTTGAGAAAGCCTTATTGATTCCTATCAAATCAGCTAGCAATGAACTCCATTCAATACTCTCGGCTTACTTTGACTTGTATTGCCGAGTCCTGAGTACTGCTATGATTTGAGTGCTTTTCTTGCATCAGGCACACGAACCTGGCAATGTGCCCAGGAAAGAAGAGCCGGTGAGGAAAGAGGCTCTGCTGAGGACGTGGGGTTTTGAAAGTATCCCAAGAATGCGGCGGCGCGCACTCGCCCCCACTCCACCGCCTGAAGTTTCCCGAGGAAGCCGAAGGAAACGTAAGGTTGGTTACACAGCATGAATGGGGAGTTGTTCCGCATCTAACCAGCGTTATGAGTCGTAACCGGCGTCTCCAAAATGGTGTACAGTGTGGGTGAAGTCATGCATGTCTCATTCAAACTAGGCGTCCGTCGCCTTCCAATTAGTTGGTTCATTTATAGCAGCCTGCCGTAATGCTACGTGCGGCGGGATAGCTACCTAGCCACCACGCTCATTGGCTGCCCCGCTGCCAGTTACAGCTGCAAGTGCTTCAGGTTAAAATCAGTCAATGCTACGTGTATGGGGTTACATTTATCAACCTTTCGTGACGGATTGAGTTGCCCATTGTTACCCAGCCTATGCCGCCTGTGTGGCAACACCGCTCATCACATCTTTCCCAGTGAAGTCGACTCGTCTTTGGCCCAGACCCGCGCATGCAGTATGCCCAACCTGCAGCAGTGCCACCCATGCAAGTATCATGTTCAGCCCGTTGGAACCCCATAGCCTGCGCATATGAAGCTGTTGCTTGCATGTTGTGTTCGAATCGTGCGGTTACATGACATATGAAAAACTCAGCCTCGAGACTGTATTGGTTCTCTTGGTGTCTTCAGGTGATTGCAACCTCGTCATGCGTTGTAGAAGATTCGGCCGAGTGCTACACAGAGAACTCAGGCGCTTTCAAAACCTGTTGTAGAGTGGCTAAGGACACAACATCGTACTGCGCAAGATCCTGTGGGTGTCGTCCCTTCACTGCCTCTCATTCCAAAAGGCTGCATGGTACATTGGTACAGGGGCCTCGTGTTTGGGACGATGGAACGTCCTCCGCTCATAGACCATGTCATTCACACTCTGCCCATCTCCACAGCCGCCATGCAATACTAATAAGTAGAAGAGAACTTCTAAGCCATGCTAACTGTGTAATGGGTGAATCGGATACAACCTTGGCGTTCAAGTTCGCCCCATCAAAAATCCAACTTCTCGCGTGAGTACCACAGCCACTGCTCTGGTGAAAATTGGAAGGTGATGAAGAGTCTCGGATCTTTATTCCGATCATAGATGGTTATAATGATCAGTCGCATATATTCCCCAATGCAAACGTGAAATCATTGAGCAATATCGCACTTGAAGTAGACTTTCAGCTGTGCCCTTGTTCAAACCAGTAGTTGGCTTATGTATACAACTACGTCGCATAGCGTTCCTTGAATGGAGAGCTTGTCAGAAAGCTGTTATACGCTTCCTCGTGCATGATCCATCACCAAAGATCATCACTGGAGGCATCAAGAAACCGTAAATCTCGTTCTAATGGTGTCCTGGGAAATCTTCTTCCCCAGAAACACTCCCCCAGTGGTTGCCAAGCCTCGTTTCCGAGCCATATCCCCCGTACTGCTCGAGGGGAACGAACGATCCGTTCTCCACGTCATGTCTTCTGTTATCATGTAACGCACTCTCCCTCTGGCGTGGCCAAACAGGTTTCGTGGCATTATTTGAACCTTTCAGTGAAGATTTACCCGACAAAGATTTGAGTCTTGAGTACAACTTGGGGAGCCCTGTGGCGCTGAGGGCCTTCGGGCATACCGGCAAGCAGAAGACCACAAACCCACAGGTAATCTCCACCGCGAGCAAGAGGCCAACAAGCGAGTAGTCCCAGGTTATGTCCTTAGATGTCGACTTCACAATCGTGAAAACAGTGCGATAACCCGCAGTCGCAACGGCACTGTGTCTCCCTTGTCAGTGACACAACACCGCATGTCTAATGAGATGAGAAAAGGTCCACTTACATGACACCGAGGCTGAAGATAGCGGATACTCCGATTCTCTTCTTGGAAGACATGTTCAGGTTCCAGATGACCTTCTGTGGAAGGAACAAGATGCCAAGGTCGACCAGGAAGTTAATGATGGCCGACGATATGTCGAGCGGCCTGTCGTCGGTGCACTTCCCTGGTAACAGCCTATTCCAGTATTTCTCCCGGGGGAAGCAGGTAAGATTCAGCACTATGATTGCTGCCGAGTAGAAAGCAATGTTGATCCACAGGAGAGAGTAGCCGATCCAGAAGAAGTAGTTCCTGGTCCCCGTGGGGACGAAGATGTGGAGCCACTCGAGCAAGATCGCCGCCTTGATCAACATCAGGGTGACAGCGTATAGACTTATCGAGTTCAGGTACAGCTGAGATACCCAGATTAGTCGGCGTGGACAGGCTATTGCGTAGAGCCTTTGCTTACGTAGACGATAGGGGAGAGGTCCCGCAACCGAATATCCCACTGATGAACGAAGTATCCAAGTTTCACCTCGGCATCCACGATAGCGACGAACGCGACGAACAGGATCTGGTAGTTCACTCAGCATAAGTTCTTCCACAGGACTCAGGAGAGCGCATCGTACGTATGTTGGAATAATCACGTCTATCCTTCCAAAATATCGTCAGCACTAAGGCATTAACACAACTTACACCAGGGTTCACCACTCACAATCACTGAGACGCGGCTTCTTCACCACAAACCATGTACCGTACATGCGGATTAGAAACAAGATCGAGCTGATTGCCAGGCATATACCCAGAACGATGCGGGCCTCAGTGTTGTGCAGCACGGGGTTGTCGAAATTGGAAGTAATGCCAGCAGGCGGAGCCAGCGCAGGTCCATCAAGAATAGCTTCTAGGTTGGCTGGGAGAGCATTTGAATCTGACATAGTTGTTGAGCGGCGTAGGCGTCGCCAAGGTTCAACGAGGAGGTGTTCGAGTCGGTAAAAGCTGGGAAGAAGGGTTGTTTGTAGTGGTCTGACGATTGCAATGGGTCGGGGTATCCTGCTTATGATCAATGAAATCAAACACGACCTCACTGGTGTAGGAAAATCAAGAGCTATCATTGCTATGAGGCTGGGAGAACAATGCAGCGATCCTTGGTGGACGAGAAGCTTGCCAAGCCAGCATAAGGGGCATGGTCGGCTGAATAGGTCCCCGACGTGCATCGGGCCCTTGACTTGTGACCCGGAAAGGCTCAAGCGCCCCCAAATGGTACTTCTCAAGGAGATACACTGCAACATGTCCAATGGTAGCTCGCAGGGAGAGAGACTCCAACATGTAAAGCCACAACGCTACGGTGTGCAGTCGGCAAGCTCGCCCGTGAATCATACATGTAACATATCGAAGTAGTATTTTGGAGGTCGAACCGATAAGATTGGGCCGATACGTTCATGATATACGCTTGCCAACTGGTGATGCGACATAGACAATGGTGATCGTTCTTTAAATAGAGACAAGGCTCAGGGCCCAAATCAATTACATTACATCCACGAAGCCACGGATTCGCGTGGATGTAAGGATTTACACCAAATCCACGAAATAGTGGTCCACTGAAGCCCCAAATGGATGTAATTGATGGTGGATGCACATATTTTTGGTGGTAAAGCTGAATTCCTCATCTGGGATGGCCCTGACACCCCCATATTCGTGCTAAAGCCGTAATATTTGTCCCTTTGCCCGAAAGGGTGTAATAGCCTCTCGTTCAACTGCTAACAGTATTCTTCGTCGTCTGCTTCACGTGTCCTTTCGCTAACTGCTATCCACGCAATTGCCCACTTTGCGAGCTCGTCAGAGGACATCCTTTCGACGTAATCAATTTCATCCTTCTCGTCGGGTGACAGCAATACGGGGTCTAACTCGTGTATAACACCAGCTCGTAGCCACAAACGCAGTACCTGGCAGAGACTGATGATCATAGCATCTAGGGCGCCGCGAAGGCTAGTCGTCATCCGCCCTGCTACCGAAAAAACCCTCTCACATTCGGCAGACATCGGTTGAACTGTGAGGATGTCAAGCGCCATTTGTGAGAGACGAGGGTATTGGTGACGTCGTTCGTGCCAGTAGGCTAAAGGATCGAATATTGCGTTATTCACAGTCTCGTGAGACTGCCAGATCTCGTATTCGTCTCCCAGAGTGGGTGAAATCGGGGCCGAGCTTGCTTGTTGATGGATGAATTCCTCGAGAGGGTTCAGATCGATTTTACGGCGCTTTTGGGCAGGCTCGTCGTCATTAAGGGTGTTCTGTATCTCAAGATCACGGTATTCGGTATCCCACAGCTCTTGGACCAAATCTTTTGCCTTCTGAATCCATTCGGGCCGATCATTTCATTTCTGTTCGAACCAATGCCATCGGAATCGGGGGTGAAGGGCTATAGCCGCGTAATAGAGGGGGGTCTCGTCGAGCTTCTGATAATATTCGTCTAGCTTCATCCAACCAAGGTTGATGTTAGCTACGAAGTGTTCACTATCAGGAAGCTTGTTAGCAGTAATTTTATAACCCTCAAGCTTGCTGAGAAAAAATTCAAATCCAAAGATAACATCCCAGATGTTACCATACGAATCGGTCCATCCTTTCCGCTTGCGTTGCATGCCATCCCCTTCGAGTAATTTCACGGTGTGTTCATAGTCAGTAAGGATAGCGGCAGTGTGCTCAAGAACGGTCCAATCGTGATCATTTAGATGATTCTCTTCTTTGAGGATTCGGGGCCGCCTTGTCATGGCCCTGCCACTAACGAGGCCAGTCCTCTTGGATCTGTGTTGGTCTTCCCATTCCTGATTAAATTGGGCTATCATTCGAGGGAGATACGGGCGAAGCTTGATGAGACGGCGGATCATATATAACTGTGAAAGCCATCTAGTGTCGTTATCGAGGATGACACACAGTGCGCTGGTGTAAGGAACTGTGAAATCGAGGACATCTTGCCGTTGGACGTCAAGAAGGATGTAATGCAAGCGGTCAGATCGCCAGATATCAACGACGAGGTTGTGAGCCTTGCCAACAGGGCCTAATCAGTGATACAATGCGTGTTCAGCAACCGAAAGAGATTCGACCTTGCTGATCTCTGTTTCGAATGCTTCAACATCAGTACCAAACAATAAGGATTTGGCAGAGAGATTCAACTGATGCCCGAAGCACCGGCCACGCCGTTTCTTGCCCTCGAAGCCTAGGGCTAGCCCTATCTCGGTTGATGCCGTATCCATATTGGCAGCGTTATCGAGAATAAGAAAGCCGATCTTATGGTCAATACCAAACATCTTCAAGACTTCGACGATTTGCGTGGCAATATTTTGACCTGTGTGACGAATGGAGACCTCGGAGATGCTGAGAACTAGCTTGCAAGGCTTGTTGTATTCATCTCTGAAAAAGACGACTATGCCATACAAAGCGCGATGATTACCTGACCGCCAGCCATCAAAGGATACGTGTATCTTGCCAGGTGAAGCCCTCAACGCCTCGATGATAGCTCCCTTGTGCCGTTGGAATTCGCGTATGATTTTTTTGCGTAGCCCGGTCGAGGAGATGTGCCCGCTTTGGTCTGTGATACATGGGTTGAGGTATTCGTGTGCAAGGCGTAATTTGGGATGATTCACAGTAGCAAAAGGAAGGTTCTCTTCGACGATCCATTCCATAAGGAGGCGGTGAAAGGTATCTCGATTGAAGTTCTTCAGCATGCTATTGGTTATTGCTTGGTCTCGAGGGTTCTCTTGGTTGACGGAGAGATATCGGTGAAGCCGTTGTTGGCTCGTATCGTTGATTGTTTCGGCTCGTAATTGTGCCTTGGATCTGGTCTTTTCACCCCCAGGGGCAGAGATCGATTCGACTAGATACAGGTGCTGTATGGCGTTCTGAAGGCCTGCAGATATGAAAGAATCGGGTACGGGATTGCGGCGAGTGATACAGTATCGGCACACCTATTTGAAGGTCCTACCCTTCTGGATGTCATATCCGTGATCCCAGGCCCAGGAGTTGAGACCTCGCTTCCACTGAGCCCACGTGTAGCCACGAAAACACGCAAAAAGGAAGGCTTCGTCGCCCTGAGAGATGCCGTGGCGGAGGGATTCTTGTCGAGATGATTGGGGTGCTGGCGAGGGGGTTGCGGACAAAGGGACGTCGTTGGGAGGCTCGGAGACACCGTGTATCGAGGATTCGGGTGTACCGGCCATGGTGAAGCGTGCTGAAAGTACTGCTTGCAATTCGAGGCGAAAAAATTGAATGAACAGGTGAGTTCGAGTGGTTGGGTCGTATTCGAGTGAATCTGAATGATTTGCCTGCTTTGGAGTGGTTTGCGTGGTCTGAATGTTGTTTGTGCCATTTGGTGGCTGCATTCAGAATTTGTATGCTAGCTAGCTAGGTGATTGAAATCATATGTCAATGTTTCTACCAGTGATATAATGCCCAACTCTTGATTAAATGCGCATCATCTTGGTATAGTGGTATGGTAGCGCAAAGTTTGCCTTGCGGAAAAGGCTACGTTCAGATCCTATAAGAAGCTCGGGATTTTTTTTTTTGTAAAAAACGGGGTTCTTAGATTTTTGGACCAATCAGAGCCCATATTTCATCCACTGTCATACACTCGTCCATTACGTCAATTACACTAAGCCTTGAATGTAATGGATGACCCCTTCAGCTCCAGTGGATGTACGCCAAAGTGCTCCACTAGCGTGTACACCAGTGGACTAGCGTGTAATTGATTTGACCCTTGGTCAAGGCTACAGCCGGTCACCAAGGACGACTTCTCACTCTGGCAGGCTGGGAGCACGCGAAAGATGTCGGCTAAGGTAGGCTGCCAGTGTAGTACTTGAGTGAAAAGGTGCAGGTACAGCCCCGCAAATACGTTACACTGCATTGTGGGATTTGCAGCGTGGTTGGTCTCCAACCGCGTCTTTAACCTTGCATTGAGCCCCCATTCACACCCTCTTCTTCCTTTCTATACCACCTTGCTCAGCCCATAGGTGGAAGCCCCTTGACGCAGGATGATAACCAGATGAGCCTTGCACACTGGTACGTCAGTACATGCAGCCTGACAAGGCTCTAGCACACCTGCAAATCATCCATGTCAATGACCAAGACGACGCTGGCAATTAAAGGAGGGGTAGCTAGGATGTCTGGACGAACTGCCATAGCAGAAGTCGAATCAAGGCGCATCCGGGTCAATCAAAGATAGTACTGGCCCACTACATGGTCGGGGTCTGTACTGGATCTGCTGCTTTTTGGGGTCGGGATAACTAGTAGCAGTGATCCTTACTTATGTACCTGTACGAACCACTAAGGCTGTAAGGTACATGGAGGCAGATGACTAGTAAAAAGGATGGTGACGGCTGGTATCAGTTAGATACGCATCAGCATGGCGATCAGTTTATGCGAAAGCTCTGGTAGGCACATAGAATACTTGAACGCGGGTCCATTCTTTGGGTGACGAACTGGAAAGCAACCATGGTAAGCTTCTCCCCGACAGCGTATATCTCTTACAAGGTCTTCCTTGGCACCTCTTTGATATCAGGAATTCCTTTTCAGGCAGCCCGTTGGTTACAGGCTCGACTGCATCACTGCCAGCCATACGATGACCGCAATTCATTGCTAATTTGAACCACATCGTTCGCCGAGTGTCAAACAGCGTGTAGGGGCTTTCAGATGGGTGAAAACGTGTATTCTGAAGTAATTCGTATCTGTTGTTGAAGAGGGAGAAAATCCTCCAGTGTGCTGTAGCACTCCAAATGGCCCTATCGGCCCTAATGGTGCACTGCCACCTCCCTGAATGCCATGGTGGTTTGCGCGCCATTCAACACCGAGAGGGGAAACTTACAGCTTATTTGAGTGATTATAGCGGAACAATGGGGTTGTAGTAGCTAAAGCGGTCATTCGGGTCATACTCTGTCTTGAGTCCGCGTAGCCTTTCGAGACGCCAGGCGTTGTAGCCATATACGGACCCTAGTGGCTCGTCACCTCGAGCGTAGTTCACATATGTAGCCACAGGGAGATCGGCTTGACCAGCATTCCAAAGATCTCGAGTCTCCAGAGCCCACTCGCGAGCAGCTGGGTCCAAAGTCTCGTTCGAAGCATAAGCAACGTTGATGTAGCTGCGGCCGTCCGTTAGCAGAAAGAGGGGGATTCCGAAAGTCATTGACGCGAAAGGCACATGTCAAGAGACCCACCTCAGTAGAGAATACTCGCGCCAGGGGTACGCAGAAGTTGCCGGGTCAACTGCTCCCACACCCTCGTGGGCATAGTCCTCCATTACAACAGTCGAGTTGAACCATTGTGCGTTCTCATTGATCTTCCGCGAAAAGAGGTCGTAGATCTGCCGCTGGGCTGTAGAATTCCAGGTTTGCAAGTATGAAGTGGCATGATTATGAACGAACCCCGGGGTGCAGAGTCCGGATGAAGCTCCTGTCAAGGTCACTTCAGCAATTTCTGGATAGGGCACACTCCCATGCTGAACATCGATAGCTTCAATAGCATCGAAAGGTACCAGGTATTGCTGTGCGTCTGCTTCCGAACCGATATAGACGAACGACCACCAAAGGACAGGCTGCAAATACTTGATGAGTTGATGTCATTGCATGGAGTCAGGCAGGACGAAGGAATACTTGCGATGCACTTACCACCGTATTGCTTATGGAAGTGTTCACCAGGTAGGCGCCATAATTCACTGCCATCTCCTTCGGTTGCGTTCCTCCTTGCCGAAACATATTCAACGTCTCAAATACCGTTTCAATCTTGGTCTGATTCCAGATGTAGATCTTGTAGAACCAAGTATCGGGTCCCCGGTCGTAGACCTTGATCTCGAAGCTTGTCACGATGCCAAAATTATGACCCGCGCCCTTCATCGCCCAAAACAAATCCGGGTTAGTATCGTCTGCAACGGTGACGGCGGTGCTGTTGGCTAGGACCATATTCAAATTGATAATGTTATCAGCGACCAGGCCATAATAGCCTTGCCAGCGACCGTGACCGCCCCCAAGGGCTAGGCCAAGCATTCCGACGCAAGAAGCGCTCCCAGTGGCTGTTGTCACACATGTCTGAGCACGCCGGTCGGAAACTTGGACTGGTGGACCTTACTGGTGATATAACCTTCGTTCCAGAGTGTCGACCAGACTGCCTCGTCGTATGCTCCGCCTTGCAACGTTGCGCTACTTTCTGCGTTGAGAGTCACGTTCCTGAGCAGGGACAAATCAATTTCGATGCCAGAGAACGTTCCGATGGACAGTGTAAGCGCGTGTCTCCGGTTGGTCGCCATGAACGCTATGCTATTATCATTGGCGTACTGAACCTAGTATAATGTCAGCGTTCTTCTTCCAAGAAGGCGCAAGATAGGACCCACGATCGTAGGCACGTCACTTTCCTGCCCGGGTTGCACCACCAGCTGGACATCTGGCCGCACCAGGGCTTGGAACCGTTCAGTTGCATTGGTCCAGCGAGCGTCATCGGGGCCGAAAATGTTAGAAGTGCTGGAGAGCTGTGGCCCTAACTCGGACGCAATTTGTTCCACAGGCAGATCTTTGCGTGAAATGTTACAGACACCATTGAGGCAAGCTGCTGACGATGTACCCAACACCAAGTACGGCAAGAACACAAGACAGCATGATGCGAGCATTGTAAGTTGGTCCATGTTGAGCAACATCTTTGCTTGATAAGTTGATGCCACGAACAGTCACAGCTTCAAGAACATCTATCGAAATGGATGGCTGGGCTTTTGTGTTGATCCCATTCCAAACCGCTCTCTTCAGAGTAGCATTGTCGCTTAATCGACCGTCTCGGGGGTCTAGTACGCACATGAGCTACTATTGGTGTAGGCGCCCAGATCAGTCGGCGGCCGGACCGGGTCACCACGTCGTATAATTGGGTACCAGGCGCTTAAGATGCCTCCTGCATGAGCCGCCTCATCCTAGTCCATGCGGTGCCTATGGTGTACCTTGACGTATGTTCCAAGGTTGAAGGTTCTTGACTCAACTTCTGCATAGCCACCAACTGCGCCAGCAGCCTGGCGATCCTGGCCCCTTCATGATTGCTTACAGTGTGAGATGCCAGCTGGGGTGCCAACATTACCTGGAATTACTAGGTATACACCACGTATATTGCCGCCGCAGCTCAGCGCCACTTCTGACCAGTGTCCCATACAGTCATCCGCCTTTGGCACACCGAGACTGCCCGTAATGGTTGAAATTGCCTTACGGTATAGGCGCGGTCATAACCACTTCCATGGGCATTGCTCACGTCAGATGTACCAACCCTACATTTTAAGAAACGGTGCTACTGGAATTCCACCTCCACTCCAGCTTATACCGACTGGATTGACCACCGAAACAAGGCAGACTTGGCCCCCATTTGATTTCTATTCACAGACACGGCGATCAACGAATGCTTCTCCAACACGGAACGACCCCACTCGCCCACATCAAGTGCGGTAAAGACTGAAGAAGGCCTCCGTGGGAACCCCAGGTACCTGGAAGTGTATGGGGCTAAAATGGGGGCCAAACATGTTGTAATTATAGCTACCACGTCCAGGTGGATCAAGGACTGGCAGTCTCTGCGGTTGGAGATGTACAACGTCCCCGTCCCATGGGGAATTCTCGAAAGCCCTAGGCATATTGAGCAAGAGAGTCGCATACCTAGGCGAATAAGATATAAGTCTCCCACTTTTTCCAGTATTTGCATCGTGACCGTGACTTCGCTCTGCATATTTTACATTCACGACACTGAGCAAGATGCTATACATTCACATTCTGTCCCTTCCCTGCGTCCTTCGTTGCAGTAGAGCTGCTGCCTCTTGGACACAGGAGGACGGAGCACCGAACCTGAGGGCTATCCTCACCAACACCAGCATAAAGTGGTCCTCCAACACTAAGATTTCGTTTCCTGGTGATGGAGACTTCATAAACGCGACGACTAGATGGACGGTCTTCCGTCCCCCGACATACCAAGCTGCTGTATCACCGGCAACAGAGCCAGACGTGAGCACCGCTGTAAGTTGATGTCCGACAGGCAAAAAAACCGAACCAAGTCTGACCGATCCTTCGCAGATTCGAGTGGCAAGTGAGAATAGCATCCCCTTCCTAGGCACAGGAGGTCGCCATGGGTATGGGACCACTCTGGGAAACCTTCAGGGTGGCCTTGCTCTTGATCTGAGCAAATTGAACTCCGTGTCGGTTGACAAAGACGCGGGAACATTAACCGTCGGCCCTGGTGTCCATTTCGGCGACGTGCTTGACCCAGTATTCAATGCCGGGTACATGCTACGTAAGTAGCCGAATTAGCGTGCTGGAAATGGCATACTGACGTAAATTAGCGACCGGTAGTTGTTCATGTGTTGGCATACTGGGAGCAACCGTTGGCGCAGGCATTGGTCGTCTCTCAGGTCTCTATGGACTACTGCTGGACCAGCTGATATCTGCCCGTGTCGTAACGGCCGTTGGCCAGATGGTGACAGTCTCGAACGACACCAACCCAGACTTATTCTGGGGCATACGCGGGGCCGGCGCGAACCTCGGTCTCCTGACTTCGGCGACCTTTCAGCTTTCGCCTCTCGTGAACAACGGAGATTTTTCCAGCTACGACATGATCTTCCCGGCCGCGAAGAACGGATCTTACTTCGACGTTCTGGCGTCATTCAACGATGGGTCTAGCGCATTCCCAGCGAAGTTATCCGCAGCATCTGCTATTTCATATAATAGCACAACCGGGGAGGTGAGTTGGACGACTCCAGAGCCGATGCAAAACCTGACTATATGCGAAGCCACAGATACTAGCCAATTGGGCATACGTGGGAAGCCAAGACGAGGCGGATCTGATCATCAAACCAGTCCTAGATCTCGACCCATCTTACATCGATCGCAGAGTGATCTCCTGGCCCAGGTTCACCGCAGAAGCTCAGTTCGGGTTGGATGCCGCTCTATGTGAAGTCAACAAGACAAACGACATATATGGTATAAACACGAAGAACCTTGATACGGCCACCTTCACATCAATATTCAAGCAGGTTGGGGACTACTATGCACAGTGGCCGGATGGACAAGGCACGACAATAACACTCGAAGCCTTCCCAAACCAGGCGAGCCTGGCTGTTCCAGAGGATGCAACAGCGTATCCATGGAGGGATGCCCAATATAACATGTACGTTTACTCCATGCTCATGCACCACGGAGTCTATTGACATCGTGTGCTTCATCGTGGGAACTGACTAACATATTTGACATTTAGCCTATTGCAGTTTACATGGGAAGCATCGGGGAACACGGTGGAAGAGCCATCAACGAGGCTCGCACAAAGCATTCGTGAGCAGATTGCGTCTAGCTCAGGTTATGGCGGTTTGACTGTCTATGTGAACTATGCACATGGAGACGAGCAGATCGAGGAGATCTACGGAAGAGATAAGCTGTCTCGCTTGGTGGAGTTGAAAAGGGCATGGGATAGTAATAACGCCTTCAGTTTTAACAACCCTTTACCTACGTAATGTACATGGAAATACCCCTCCTAGGTACGGAGGTTGACTTAACCTAATATTGTTGATTCCTACTTATTGTCTACAGACCTACTATATTTCCGATGTACTGCACTAGATTCCGCGCCAGCTGTCGGCAGCTATCAGTGACAAGCCAGCCAGCCGGCCAGGTCTCCTGTTACGTGATCAGGAGCACCGTCCAGGTCTCAGGGCACCATGAAGCTCTCTGCTAACGTCGCTCCAGGTCAGGTTCAACGCCACCGTGGTGTCTGCATTCACTCCGATCATGGTCTTGTTGGGTCAACGCAGTGTGGCTATCTGGTCATGCTGTCCGCAGAGGTTCACAGGCGCCAGCCAGGTCCTCGGCCGACTCTCTCTGGAGAGCGCAGGCCTAGCGATCTGTTCGTACGGCCATCCGTCGCGTCAGTGCCATATCACCTGGCGAGAGTCGGCGCTGGCATAAGGGGGTTGACGAACGCCTGTTCCATGCCGTATCATTGGTGTTCCGTCTCTCGATATGCCGCCGTGATGCCGTGGCCGCCATGCCATCGTGAACCGTACTTCCGTAGAGAACCTCTCCTGAATGCTGTAATTGCGTAACCATCACACCCACCGCTCACTCGCTCGCCGCGGGTGCTGCCTCGTGCTGCTTCTTCCAAAATCATCACGATGATTCCGTTCTGAGTCTTCCCTCGAGACTTTGGTGTTGAGTGCCTCGTCCGCTGATAATGCTATAGCCGTGATGCCATAAGCATGTATCGGGACCTGGGGAGCCCCGTGATGCCGTGATGGCAGTTACTCACCAGGCACTCGCTATCGCTATAATCACCTGTAACGGGAAGCCTCAGTGAGTGAACATCACATCCCCATCGTCAAAGCGAAGACTTTCTCTTCCCGATCGAGAGACCGGGCCAGAACCGTATCATATCACCGCCCCTCAACCATACCAGCTCATCGTGTCTCCCCTTCTCGGCCACCCGACCGCGGCACGGCACGGGGATGCAACTGCAGCGGCAGATAGTGGATAGCCGGCGGCCTTCGGCTACCGTAGCGCGGCCGGGCTTCTCGCGGTGCTCTTTCAAGGCCCACACCAGCCGCGAGGACACTCTTCTGGACTATCGAATGAAGAAGCCACCGCGCCCGACGCCTGCGAACGTATGATTACGCCTGCCACTCGGCCAACACGCACGCCTTCATCAGCAACCTGCCGGATAGACGTGTACGCGGCCGACGTCGAGAATTGTGGTGTGGCGCTCAGCAAGTCACAGATCCGTGTCGCACTGCCGCCGCAATGTCAAGACGTCTTGTACCGGTATTATAAGACCAGCTCGGCATGTCGATGTCTTCAGCAAAGGAGAGCCAAGAAAGGCCGGGGCCCGGGGAGCTAGGGTCCAAACCTGATTAGATTGATAAAAATTTGCTCTCACTAGACCCGACCCGACGACTCGGTACGCTATTGGTGTCTTGACTCTTCCGATACCGGAGTTCGTCGTGATGGTTCGATGATCTGATCTGATAAGCTGCTCATCAGATCATCACACCCCACTCGCCGTTATCTGATCCGTACCATTGGACGACAAGCCCGAAGGATTGAAGTCCTAGACTTCTAGACCAGGTTCACGCGTTGGACAAATAGTCTGTCGTCTGTCTGTTCAGGAATCAGCGCGTCCAGCTGCTCATTCGTCGTCTCCAGATCATCTCCAAAGGTTTGTTCTCATCGCCATCATCATCGAATATCATGGGTTTCATCCCAACCATCCGGATGCGCAAAGACGCCGTCGGAGCTCCGGAAGTCGGCCAGTACGACGACAAGCACCCGCATGAGCCCGAGCCGGGCGTCACAACCGATAGCGATCCCGAGACGCGGCTGAGTCTGGAAGCGCGTAATGAGCAGGAAGTCCAGGCGCATCCGGATCAGGTGACCCAGAATGCGGATATCGGCGTACAGAAAGCAGAAGCTGCTGCCATCGTCTGGGGCAAGAAGACCGTATGGGCCACGTTGGCATGGTAAGTTCAGCTCGCTCTAGTGCTCTGAGACTGGTTACCGCCAGCCAGCACCTTGATGGATGAAGAAACTAAACAAGATCGCAGGATCTGGCTATGCTTCTTCATGCTCGCCTTCCAGCAATCCATCCAGACTACCGCCACCGTAACCGCCTACGCATCATTCTCCACCGCACCCGCCATCACCACGGCCTCCATCCTGGCCAACATAATCGGCGGTGTGCTCAAGCTGCCCATCGCCAAGACGCTCAACCTCTGGGGCCGCGCCGAGGGCTTCGTGGTGCTGTTCGGCGTCTACCTCCTCGGCATCATCATCCTCGCCGCCTGCAACGGCCCGAGTTCCTACGCCGCAGGCTACGTCCTCTACTGGATCGGCTACGACCAGATCTATCTCATCATGGACATCTTCGTGGCCGACATCTCGGGGCTGCGGAATCGCGCGCTGGCTTTTGCGTTCGTCGGCACGCCGTTCATCTGCACCGCCTTCACCGGTCCGCTGGCCGCGCAGAGCTTCCTCGCTACGAGTGGCTGGCGCTGGGCGATCGGAGCGTTTGCTATCGTGCAGCCCGTCGTGTTTCTGCCGTTGGCGGTTGTGTTCAAGTGGCACACGCACAAGGCGAAGAAGATGGGTGTTTTCCAGCAGGAGGCTGCTAGTGGGAGGACTACGGTGCAGTCTATTATTCACTACATCCATGAGTTTGACGGTAAGCTCACATCCACCTCCACCCCTCCCAATACACACACACACACAAACAAGTAAAGCTAACACCCGCCCCAGTAATCGGCGCATTCCTCCTAATAGCCGCCTTCGTCCTCTTCCTCCTCCCCTTCAGCCTGCAAACCTACGGCCTCGCCCCCTACTCCTCGGCGACCTTCATCGCCATGGTCGTCATCGGCTTCCTCCTCTTCTTCGTTTTCGCGGCGTGGGAAGCCTTCTTCGCGCGCGCGCAGTTCATCCGCTGGGAGCTTTTACGTCAACGCACCGTGCTCGGCGCCTGCCTCATGGCCGCCGTGCTGTACTTTTCCTTCTACAGCTGGGATTTGAATTATTATTCGTTTGTGAAAGTGGTGTATGCCCTGCCCGTTAGTTTGGCCGGGTACATGCTGCAGGTTTATAATGTCGGAAGTACCTTCTGGGGCGTGGTGTTCGGGGTCTATGTCCGCTACACGAAGCGCTTCAAGCACGCGTGCCTGTTCTTTGGATTGCCGCTCATGTTCCTGGGCGCGGGGTTGATGATCTATTTCCGCGGCGACGATAAGGGGATTGGGTATCTGGTCATGTGCCAGATCTTCATCGCGTTCGGGGGCGGCACCATCGTCATCGGCCAGGACATGGCCGTGATGGCCAGCTCGGACCGCAGCGGCGTGGCCATGATGCTCTCGCTCATCAGTCTGTCCAGCAGTATCGGCGGCGCGATCGGGGACGCGGTCACGGGCGCGATCTACGCGGGGACCTTCCCGCAGGCGCTGGAGAGGGCACTACCTGCAGATGCTGGAGTTACGGCGGACCAGCTTTACCTGGGCGGGTATTTGACGCAGGAGATGTATGTTCCAGGCACGGCCGTGAGGGCGGCGGTTGATGCCGCTTGGGGGGAGTATGAGAAGTATGCTGCTATTTCGGCGACGGCGAGCTTGCTGCTGGGGATCCCGGCGATTGCGATTTGGAAGAATTATTATGTTGGGAAGCAGCAGAATAAGGGGACTGTGATATAAAGGTTACTTAATATTACTTTAGTGGGTGCGATGGTATGTATGGTTATATGGCGGAAAGGCCGTTACGGAGTGGTGTACGCACATGTAGGCTTTTATGACACGTTAGACTAGGTCCATCAAACGAATGAATGAACCGCGCTGCTTTCACTGCACTTCTTGTGAGTCTGCATCTCCTCTGATATATGCAAGGGACAGGGACAGGGCGGCTTGTATCGCCAAGTCAAGGCACTAACTAGTCTGCAAGTCGTACCCGACATGCTACTATTCGACGAGACTAACCGGCCCCATGGCATCGACATGGCCAACCAGGTGCTGGTGCTGGTGCGGCGGCTATCGAGGCGCGTGTGCGCGCGCCTGTGCTTCGTGCTTGCTCGGGATATGTTCCTGGCCCGCGTTGGGGTTGCTTCCTGTAGATGGTAGGGTTCCGTCTCCGTCAGCCAAATTATGCGTGTGGACTGGCTTGTAAAGTACTGTATGCGGTTGCGTGGTGCGGTATAATCGAATCGACGCGGTCGGTCGGTTGGTCGGCCAGTCGCTCACGCACCTTTGGGTGCACCCCTTTCCGTTAGGCGGCAGCCATCAGTCGACAGTCGGCTACAAGCACGCAGATCTCAAGTTTCACCTCGGGCAAAGATCTCGTACATACAGACCACTTTTATGTTTGTTATGGACAGTAGGGTCGGATCAGATCGGATCAGGAGGGTTGGGTCCCGGCATCACAGCCGAGGGTAGGAAAGAGGCCAAGCTTTCTGCACCTGTCTGCCGCTGTAACAGTGGCCTAGCCAGGTTAGGACTTCGCGAGCTCAGGTGCAGAAGCTGAAAGAGCTGCTGATTCTGACCAGTGACTCGTGAGATGAAGCCTTTTGAAACCGATACTGTCCAGCGAGCAAGTCTTCGGGGAACCTGTTGGCTGGACCGGTTGGTGCTCTAGCTTAGGTAGTTCTTCGACCACGAGATGTAGTTGTTGGATTTAGAGCGCCGTAGCAGTAGCAGTAGCAGCAGCAGCAGCAGCAGCAGCAGAAGATGAAAATGAGTAGCTACATATTGGTAAGCGGCGCATGAAGTCCAAAAAGGAAGAGTTAGAGATGGACTTGTGTGGGCATTCAGGTACCGCAAAAACTCACTTGCGGGCTGCACGAATTACGATGCTTTCAGCGTTTGGTCTGCAAGACTAGGTGTTCGCGTTTCGACGAAGTCATTCGCGTCGGACTAACTTAGGAGCTTCGGCATCTTGGCGAGGTACTCGTTTGTTGGTATGATATTTCTTGATTCGCAGCTTGTCATGACCCATCCGCTCACCTATCTACTTGGTCAAGCTTGAAGAACCATACAAGTGTAAGTCTCGTTATAAGCCTTGATTTCGGGTTCGGTTTCGGTCCCTGCAAGAGTAGATGCGGCATCCGGCACTTATGGTATGGCCGCCGACGGCGTCCCGAACTTGGAGTTACATTCTAAGACGTCGGCCGAATGAGCCGGGCCGGTGTTCACTCGAGATGGACGATCCCGGACTGCCCGGACCCTAGTCAGGTCAAGCTTCAAGACTCCGCGGTGTATCGTAGACGGCCGTAATCCTGGCTGGTAGGCAAGAACTTCCCATGGGAGTTGTTATTCCTCCTGGCTGATCCCTCTTATCCCTTCTATCCTTCTTATCCCTCCAGCGTGTGGAATGCAGATGTTCATAACGGCAAGACGCGTGGACGAATTGCCAGTCTAGCAGTGAGCTAACATCCACTGCCTCTCACCCCCGGAGACAACCTCTCCTCGTTCCTGCACCTATGCCGCAATCCCCAAGTGCGGGTCCCGTGCCGCGGCGTGGCGACCGGCCCCCCGGGCCGGGGAAGTATTAATGACGTCCGAGCCTTGTCCATGTCACATCGGTCCCATTGCGACTGGCTTCGTCAACGGCGCAGCTACAATTGTGCCTCCTGTGCCTCCTTGATGACGTCCTCAGAATATTCGAAACCGAAAGCGGGCGGCACAGGGCGGATCGTTTGCTGGTGGCAGCCTGGTGGGACTCATCCTTCTCACAGCAATACCCACCTTTTTGATATAGCGTATACTATTTCGGGCTTCTGATCTACAATGCCAGGAAGCCAGGATGACGACGGAGTGCTGGCGTGCGGCGGATGAAGTCGAAGGATCTAGTTTCGATCCTGGACTTCCTAACCTGGTGCGAGGTGGTCCGTGGAAGACGCGACATATAGAGCAGCTGTGGCAAACCACTGTTTGCTCACTTCACAGTCCAGTCGCAACACTATTATATCAAAGTAAACGCCCTTCATACAATCCCCATCTACGCAAGCCGTCAACAATCCTCGAAGTCGAAACAGCCATCAATCACCATGCAGCTATCCATCCTCGCCATCGTCCTAGGCCTCAGCTCCATGACCGTAGCCGACGACATCACCGACGTAGGTCTCGTCTCCCTCATGTCTCCCGCATCTCACCTCACCTCACCTCCTCTTCCTCCCTTCCATCCCTCTCTCGATTTCTCGCCTTGCGCGCGCGTCGTCGTCGCTGACCGGAGATTTCGCATCATAGGCCTCATGCAACGTCAACACAAACGTCTGCTACAAGAATGGCGACAACGCCCAGATGGCCATCTGCGTCGGTAGTCCTGTATGGATCCCCCTACTTTTCTCTAGGTGTCTTCTGGCTGACTGATCTTGCCTTTTCTTTTTCGGTTTAGTGCACGGGTAACTCACGGCAGTGCACGATCACGAGTGTTGCGCCCGTCGTCGGCGTCCCGGAGGGGGGGTCGGCGACTTGCACGTGAATGGGGATGGGATTGGGATTGGAAGCGTCGTTTGCGCTTATGAGGGCGCGACTGGGAAGCTCACAAGCTATGGCTGTAAAGCTCACGAGCTCAGCTGTGGATTGAGGGGCGGGTGGTGGTTTCTTAGAAGGGTATTGGAGTGAATGAGAGGAGAACATCTCTGCTGGGGCTAGAGCCGAGCGAGGTGAGATCGCTCCCCGATGGTCACAGGCGCTCCCCGATGGTCACAGGGACGCGGAGGTACATCCGCGATTATGGTCCCCTTAAAGGGGGGCTATCGACAGATATACGAGGCCTACTGCTCCTATACGTCAAGTATTATTCGATAGACGTTTAATGTCGACGGTTATCTTCTTCCAGGTCTTACTCTCTTCCTTGGCCACTATAGGACATCCTCTCCTAATGATATCCAGGAGCGATCCACCATGTGAAATGGGCGAGAGATCCGTCGGAACATCCGCAATCCTAGTACCGGGACGAGAACCGTCCCTAGTTGCCCCTGGCATAGCTCGCCATCTCGCTGCTTTCGATATGACAATATGTGAAGAACCAGCTCACGATCTCCCAACTCCCGCCGCCTGCCTTCTGCGCAGCTTCTCGGCCAATACCAATCCATGAAACAAGAACTTCTCAACCGTCGTGTGTTGATTCGACTGTGTCCTCTTCAAAAAGTCGTCGTATGCTCTGTACAGAGTGAATGTGGCATAGTGTACTTCATCTCCACCCACTGTTTTCTGATCCTGCCGATCAAAGCTGATCTCGCAGATGGCGATGTCGCTGTCGTTGTCGTTTTCGTGTCTGGTACAGCAAAGCCTCGAGTATTTGGGGAAATGTTGCGGGTCGTCGTCCATGTAGCGCCAGGTCCAGCCGTGTAGGTAATGAGTCACCTCCCACACACGAGCATGACCATTATCCACGACCTCGAACGGCGCCCAACCTGCCATGCTCATGTAGCCGCACTTGCCGGGCGACCAGCCCTTGACTCTGCGAATGAGGCCGGTGTTGCGCTCGTTGGCATCTGCGCAGCGGTACCAGCGTCGTAGTGATTCGATGAGGCTCCATTTTCGATGCAAATTGCCGTACTGTATCGCGTAAGGGTCGAGGTCTTGAAGAGGCTTCTCGCCGACAAGTTCTGGCCTATAAAGAGCCTCGTAGGTCTGCAGATGGCAGGCGCCAAGATCACCTCCTCCCTTGTCGCCGCCGCCGGGTGGCGACAATAGAAAGCAGCGTAGCGGCCGGTCTGGGTGTACGTCCGGGCTCTCGGTCGGGTTTCCCGCAAGACCTTGGGACCCCCATAGCGCTGGGCCGGTGGTAGCTATGCCGTTGGTAGTATCCAACAATGGATCCCAGTCGTTGTCAATCCACGGTGCCGGTGAATCGGCCGTGATGCGGTAGACCCTCAAAACGTTGCAGCCATTAGCCCTTTGTGTTGTTGTGATGCCGAATTGGGCGATGATCTCTGGCTGGTCGCCTGCTGAATCACTGCTGTACTTGCCTTCAGACTCTGGCTTCATAGTTCGGTCGTCGGAGAGCGCCATCTGGGAAGCTGGGAAGTGCCAAAAAGTGAGAGGATTCATCAAGGCATGTCTCGAGGGAAGTCTGGAGTGTAGACAGACGGCACCGCCTCATCCTCCTCGCTTGTGTCAGCATTCAGTAGCACTGCCTCCATGTCTCAGGCTCAGCTGCGTTCGACATTATCCGGGCAATCCTTCTCAGTAACTGGATTGAACCGTGGTGACCAAGGTAAGCAATCTGAATCCGATTCAATCAGGCCAGCCAGAATCCAGGTCAGCCACACCGGCACAGCCACACCACCCGCCACAGCGGCAGCGGCTTCATTACCTAAGCACCGGGTAACATCGGCCTTGGATTTCGCCCACCTGCCTCAACATTGAAGTCACATCTCGACTCGACCTGTGACTACCCAAGGTCGTCTCCAAGCAGAATGAACCAACAGGATAGCAGGGTGTCAGCCGCATCACCTGCAAGGACCTCTTTCTTGCGTCGTGGCAGGACCCGAATTTGCGATGCGACACTGTTCGAGTCGCCCTTCCTCCGTCCGACCCAGTCCGACCACCCTTTCGCTACAGCCAGGCCTGATTCGAATGGACCCGACTTCGACACCCACGAGCGACTCGATACTGTCCACGACGTCTCCAATATCTCCGTCGACCGCTCCTACGTATCTGCCCATACGATGAGTCCGTGACATTCCACCTCGATCGAGTGCGAGAGCTGTTCGAGCAACTCCACCACACAGCCGACCAAGTCCCCGGCTGGCTCGACCACCTCGGAGGCCCTGTTGAGTGTTGGAACTATGATATGCGAGGAAGCTCCGTTGGGCATGTCAGAGCCTGAACTGTTTCTCGACGCGCAGCTTTTTTGTTTGGATATAGACTTGAGGTTTCGATCGCCAAAGTTTCGTCCTCAGGGTGGCATACGGGCATACAATCGGACGGAGAAGCAAGACGCCAAGAAGGTCATGGACTATTTGATGAGCGGTGAGCGACATAGCCCTCACCATCGACGTCGAATACGACCACAACATCCACTACGCTCGGCCGGCGGTTCGCGAGTCTGGACATGATTTCCATCGTGCCGTTGTGTCTCTATTGACGGCAAGACAGATCGAGGCCGGGTCATGGCCCCCTAACGATTCTCCAGATTCCCGGGCTCCGAGCCAACTGGCGAACCTCACAGCAATTTTCAGTGGATACCAATATCATACCTCGTGGGCTGGCAATTCCTCGGCTCCATGTCCACTCCTTGTAGGACTTCCGGGCCTTGTGCTCTCTTGCTCCTTCTAGGGATGTGTTTCGGGACTCCTTGGGAGGGGGCTGTGGGTGTTGGTTCAGCACAGGTGTGCTGGCCCTCGGGCCAGAATCAAGTGCCTCTGGCTCTGGGGCTGGGTAATGCCCGTCATCCCTCTGACGGCCGAGGCTGTCTTGGGAAGGCGGGAGAGAGTATGTATACCCACACGATTGGAGTACTCGAACGCGCGTAGTTCAAGATCGCCCCTTGCCCAGCGAGGTATGAAGACATTCCTCACTTCCAAGACACCCAGGAACTGGATCGCAGGAAGAGAACGTGCTGGTGTCTTGAAGAAGCGGTACTCGGGCGGCCGGGACGTTGATGGCCAAATTCGCCAGCACTTGGCTCTCGCCTTCCGCCGTCTCCTTGAGTGCCGGTGCTTCTGGTCAAGTACCTGGTACACCATCCGCTGCCAGACGTGCCCGAGGTACTGCCCGTCCAGGGTCTGGGCAAGTCGACTCCGGCGACTAAGAAGGCTGCTACTGCCGAGGAAAATGGACCACAGCTGTGAGCATATTTCTGTCGTGGTCGTGGGGGGTGGTATTTCGCCCAGCCGTCTGGCTTGCTGGCGGGGCGGCTCGGTGCTATCCTTGGAGAGCAATGTCGACGACATGGAGTCGTAGATGCGTATCGTGCGCTCTTCCCTGGCATGATCATAGCGAAGACCCAATGAGAGTCACCAAGATTCGTTGTCTGCAATAGGGTGTGAGACCGGGGAGTCGTCTCCTGAGCGAACGGGGTTTTGGCCAGCGGGGTGAGACTGTCAATGGCCTTGTATCCGTCCGGCTGCGCGTCGACCAGTGACTTGAAGATCCCGAACATAGCCTGGCCTCGTAACCACTGGGTACGGCTGGAGAAACAAGCGAAAGCGTCTAGCGATGAGGCTGTCTGAAGCTTGAGCAGATATTGGAGGTTGGCGATGCCGTTAGGGTCATCATGTGGCACCACAGCAGTGTCGACGCCGTGGTCGCTGTCGGTGATGATGACGAGCCGACTTACTGGGAGTCACAGCCGCGGCTGCTGCGGTTATATGCTGACAATTTCCATGCTTAGAAGTAGAGGGAGATCTTGGGTCCGCCGGCGCTGGGCTCCATCTCGTGTGCGACTTAGTTGACCGAACTAAGCTGCTGAACACTTGCCACTTCGTCGACGAGGTGTCTTGGTCCTCGTCGCCCGAGCCTGGATGCTGGAATGGTGCCTAGCGCTTGTGCGAAGACGCCGATGGTGTAGTAGGGAGAAGGGTAGGACGCGGCCACATCTGCATGCGCAAGTCATGTCCCATTGCCGGAGTGATTCTTAACGTCGTAACCCCTTACCACTATCGCCGACCAGACCAGGCCATAGCCACCTCCGCGACCACGAGGCCCTTGGGCAGGGCGGCCTCCACGCGTCAAGCGCCGCCGTCTTCGACCACATCTATAGCTCCATTGAGCTGCGCAGCCAGTACCACCCGACCGAGATCATCCGGCGGGCTACCTCTCACAACTGCACCAGGACAGCGGCCATTGGGAGCCTTTGTGTGCCGGGGCGGCGTCAGCTTTGTGGCCGACTTTTAGAGCAGGGGCATGCGTCTGCTTGGGCTTCTACTTGGCCTCTCATTGGCCTTGGACGTTTGCATGGTCTCGGTCTCGTCCTTACTTGACCCCTTGAGTCTAATTGGATGGTCGTGGAGCGCGGCCAAGCATGGGTTGGTGGTAGATGCAGACCAAGCCCGACAAATTTTACCGGCCGACTCCCTCCATGCAGGACCTACAGCCTCACGAAAAAGGAGCTGAATACGCCTCTCAACCAAGTTTTGTGGTGATGGCCTCGAACGAAACGAGTTTACTTTTACCATTGGAACTATCCAAGTCAACGCATGCCCCTCAAAAACCAGACACGTCCGGCCACGCACTTCGCTGAAACGGGTCTGAAGGTCCACTACGCGCAGCCGTACTCGCGGGCCTGGCACGCGCGGAACACGAAGAGATCGCCGCGCGGAGGAAAGGGTCCCACGGCTTGGTCACCGAAGGCATGCATGTCCGGAGCATGTTCATGACCAGTCAAGCCAGCCCGATCGACAGGCACCCCCGCTCAGTATTGGTTCGATATCTGAGCAGCAAGTGTCCGGTACACCAAAGACCCCAGAGCGAGTGGTGAAAGTGCCAAACCGCAGTATGCCCCCAAAGGCGGACCTGTTGGCACAAGGTGCTTACTGGGGGTCCTGTGTTCACGGAAAGATTCAAGGACACATCAGTGCCAGTCCAGTCCCCGGGTCCAAAGTATCCAACTGGTCAGGGTGCACGTTTGTCCCCTTACCGTTTGCCGGAGCCAAGCTAAATTGCCGCGATGAAACTGTGGTCAATAAGATGGCAGGTGGTCGAAAGGGCAAGATGAAGCAGCCCGCTTCCTTAGTCTTCCCAGGCGGGAAACGCAAGGTGCATTTCAGGCAGGCAGTGGCGCACCGGGCAAAATACAAGCGCGAGGAAGCTGGCAGTATTGGTGCGCGCGTGACGGACATTTGTACCGCGTCAAGACTGTCACAGTTCGGCTGCTGGTGACTGTAAAAATGACTTGTTGATGTACGTGAAGAAGGAAAGGAAACTATGAAGCTAGCTAGGAGACAGGAGCAGGTATATATAGGGGTTGACCCGTGGGGCTGTGGGGTGATATCTAGTGCCGTGACAAAGACGGATAGGAAGTGCGCCGGCGCGCGCGACGACGTGGACGAGATGGCCGAAGTGGCGCATGCTAAGTAGAAGGTTAAGATACGGCGGGGGAAGAAAGGGAAGGGACAGGAGATGGAAAGGGAGCGAACTCAGTTCCCACGTCAGCCATGTCCGCAAAGCCCGACAATGTTCGTGCGGCCATCGCCGCAGCCTCAAGCAGGCCCGAGCCGTTTGATCTGGGCGAACAAGAAGAAGGAAAGGATGATGACGAACGCGATGATCAGCAGGATGGTACCGTATGCGAACATGAGAAGGGGGTGGACGGCCTTGGGGCTGCGGCACCTGGTTCAGAGCTAGAGGCTCTTATTTATCTTATGTATCTTATGTACCTTATGTACCTTATGTACCTTATGTACCTTATGTACCTTATGTACCTTATGTACCTTATTTACCTTATTTACCTTATTTACCTTATTTACCTTATTTACCTTATTTACTTTATTTACTTTATTTACTTTATTTACTTTATTTACTTTATTTACTTTATTTACTTTTTAAGGGTTTTTAAAAAAAAATGAAAAATTGTATGCTCTTTTTAAGTAAATATGTCAGATGTTGGATCCCAGATATGGTGCCCTTAGGTGCAGTACCCACTAGGGGGCTGTCAAGGGAACAGTGGATCCACCCTGGTATGGTGCAGTATGGTATTTAGCTGTAGATTAGCCCTGCCAAGCATACTTGAGAATGACAACAATACTTGCAGCGGCCGCTCACACCCCTAAGGCTTGTTACCCTTTTAAAATCTCACAAAATATTAATAAGTCTAATAAATCCAGTTTAGTTAAATTCATAATAAGATTTATGTAAATATATAAATATTACCTTTTACTGCTTTTTAAATATATTAATTTGTCGCTCTATATATACAATGTTATAAGACAAGGTTAATATAACTAAAAACTTAGCTATAATAAAGCGTTCTTTTATTTAACTGCGTACTTTTATTCTTAATTTATTTATAATATTATAAAAAATCTCATCCTCTTATTAGCTAAGAGATAACTTAATAGTTATGAAAATTTCAAAGACAAATAGTTAGCAACCTAATAACACCCTTGACTAAGTTATAATATTTCAATCAAAAAAACTTAAGTTTAAATTTTAACTGCGTAATTATATTATATTTTTATCTATCTTTAAAATCTCTTAATGTTTAATAAATAGCCTTTCTAACCCCATATTAGTTATATAAATTATAAAAATGGTTTTAATAATATATTTGTTGAGTGTAAAATAAATAGTAAGAAAGTATTATGCTTATTTATACATTTATTAAATATTATATATTGACACGCTTTAATAAGTTACGTTAACACTAACATTTCTATTATTTAAATAAAGGAATTATTATTATTATGTATAAGTATAAGCTGTTAATTTAACTTAATTTATAACATTATGATTAATACATTTTTATTAATAGAATTTTTTAGCTTATTAATACTTTTTAAATTTTTCAATATATTAATTAAAAAAAATACCTTGTACTGCTTTTTTCGTATTAACTGGCTTTTTTTTTTGCCTAATAACGTGTATATATCATTGAGCTTTTTTTTATTTTTTTTATAAAAGTTATATTCTATTGGATATGATATTAAATCACATAACTTATTGTTAAACATTTATTTAAGTTATAATTCTTTCAAGTATTAAAATATAACACTAGTTATTTTAAATCCAGATTTAAAATTTAAAACAAAATTTATTAAAAAATATACATAGGGGTTTAAATATTTCAAAAAGCTAATAACAATTTGTAACCTTTATTATACAAGACTATTTATATTGATTCTTATTATAAGAATTAATAATATATTAAATTGATTCTATTTGATAAATAATTTTTAAAAGAAATAAAATTTATTTTAATATTTATTATAATAATAATTACATTCTTTTTTTTTAATATGAAACTCGTTAATAAATATAACGTAGGTCACAAGCGAGCGGGACACATAAGCAAGCGTGACACTTTTATCAACCTCCCAACTGCCATGTCAAATAACTTAATCACAACGCATTCAATTCAATTTAATCAATCGGATTCTTCTTCCTCAGAGGTTTCTATCTCTATTGTATAAGTTTGCGCATTATGGCCAGTGTTGCCGCAAACGCCACACTGTCGCTCACGCGCTGCTGTCCTCCTTGGATGACAACTACCTTCACCCATTTTCTGTTTTGCCAGCTCACTACTATCCTTTGCAGTCTGAAGACCTACTGCATTTTTAACAGAAAGTATTCCTTCTTTTATTAAATATTTATTTTTTGTTCTCTGGCGTTTATTTAATAAGTGATTGGCCTTCTTTAGCTCGCAGACCCAGGAATTAACCAAAGCGACATTATATATAAGACCATATATAGCCTTTGAGAACGAGCTCAACGCATCAATTATTGATGTAGGTGAGCTTCCTTGGTGATTTCTGACTGGGTTTTGGATATAAATCGATTGGTTTATTGCTTTATTAATGGTGATAGGCGTCCTTGAAGTCCAAATAGAGGGTGGCAGATTGGGGTCTGGCGACGGTGTTTGTATCTTGGATACCATGTTTTGCCACTGCCGCCTCAACTTGGCGAAACCACGCGCAATACGCGTCTGGATCTTCGTGCAAGACCTTCTGGTAGTATATCCTCTAATGAAAACGCGTCAAGAGGCCTGGTGTACGTTTGATAAAGTTCGCCGTCCAGTTCTTCCCGACGCGTCCAGTCCCACATGCCGCCAACAATTGATTCGCCATATCTTCAACATAAGTGTACCGGGGCGGAAAATGTCACGGCGAGCGTACTGAGGAGCTGGGACATGGCCGGCAGCAAGCAGCTATTACTCTATTGACGAGAATATCAAGACTAGAGAGGAAAGGAAGAGAGAGAGAGAGATAGGTACAGTGGGAGGTTGCCCCTTTAAGGGGATCCTCTGGTCAGATCTTTCCCCTATTAGGAGGTATCCACTTGTCATGTGGGAAGGTCTGTGCAGGCCGCCACAGCCGTCACAGAAATGCTCATGTATCCAGGTCGAGTGTGAAGGAGCAAATGACATTCTCTTCAGAAACTATAAGTTTCATAGAATTGGACATGTTACCGCGCCGTGATGGTCAGCTGGCGATTCTTTGAGCCAGTGTAGAGATTAGTAGATAGAAAATTTTAGCAAGTTTTAAACAGAAATATGAAGGTCTCGTTTTTTAGCTTGGACAGCTAGCTGCATGTCTGATTCATTATAACACGGTGCCATTATTGTGGATGGAGGAATCCTGGTTGGAAGTTGAAAGTTTGAGAGGTTTATAAAAGTGTGTCACTCGCTTGTGTGTCTTGCTTGCTTGTGACCTATGTTTATTTTAAAAGAAATATAAATACAGGTTTTAAAATGAACGTTTTATTACGTCATTATCACTTTTAAATTTTCATTTGTTTATTTATTATTAATTAGTTATTTAAATATCGTAAAGTAATCAAAATATATAGTATAATGATTATTAAAAGATTATTCTATTTTATCTAGGTAATGATTAAGATTTATGCTTGACTTATAAAGTAATATTTAAATATATTTATATATATATTTGTTGGAACTGGCTTGAACAATCAATGACAATACTCGAGTATTGGTTCAAGGTCATGATGTTGCTGATGGTTGGATTGGGAAGTCTAGCTGGACCTGCGGGTCTGGCTAAGTGACCTCACAATCCAGTATCTAATCTCTTATCTAATCATATATGTGGGTTCTGTATGGATGGTTTGACTGTGGAATCACATGAATCTAATAATATTACTATTTATAACTTAAAAAACAATTTCAAAATATTAATAGTAAAATAGTTTTATTTTAACCTTGTAAATAACTCTTGTAAAACATTCTATTTAACTTAATAACGGTAAAACGTATAAATCAAATGTTTAAATTAATCTTAAAACTTTTTATTAAATTAATCGCTTTTTATATATTTTATATATAAACTCGATAATTATAACTTAGTTAAGCGCTTATCATTATAACTACAATAATCCCTTATCATAAGAAAATTAAACTGTCGGACGTAGTGTCTCAGACTGTGTGGCGCAGGCTGTGGCGCAGGTGATCCGTGTGTGGCTGGGACGGTCATTGGGAGACCGTTGCCCCACCGCTCAGCTGTTACGCTAGCGGGACACGTACGTACTGTATTTCAGCTGTATTCGTGTCCGCACTAGGTAGACACTTAATCTTAGAGAAATCACGAGCGAATGGATACGTATATTTTGCACACTGACTTTACACAAAAAGCTATATAACGATTTTAAAAGGCAATGTAAAACCTCGTGTTATACTTTTAATCGTTTAAAATTATAATAAACCTTTTAAATAACGTAAAAATTATTATTATTATTTAAATAATTTATTATAAAGAATTTAGTTATTTAATGCTAGCTTTTATTTTAACAGAATGTAGTAGCGATGTAAAGCGGGGCAACGATTTCGCTTATAAACGCCAGTCATTAGTCTATAAAAATACAAGCACCGCCTCGCTCCCCCTAACACTGACAATACCATCATCACCCACGACTTCCTTCCGTACCTGCCCAATGGCGCTGCCATTAGCGAACGATTGACCCGCCCACGTCACGTCCGCTGCGTCCTTGGCGTCGACATACGGGGCCGTCAGCCTTTTGACGTATGCCTGCGTTGCAGTTGCATCTCCACCGTAGTGCGGTTGCGGTCCGTGATGTTTAGGGTTTAAAGCTCCTCCCATGATGTGCGCCGAGATATCTATGCTGACGGTGTAGTCAGTCGTCAAATTAGCATAATAAGGCCGCAAATTCACGACAGCCAATTTGCTCAACACACCATCTCCACCCCCCTCATAGAGCGCATAAGCAGCAAAGTAATCCGCATCAACCCCCTCCGGCGCCCCAACCTCAACAATCCTAGTCCCATCCGTAGCAAACACCTCAGCAAGGAACAACAGCCCGGCAAAGCTCGGCAGGACCCTCGCCGCACCCCTCAACTCGCTTGTCTCAGGGTAAACCATATCGTAAGTCGAAAACCCGGGTGTGCCGTTTGCGCCGGGCGTGTTGACCTGGTCGCCACTCTGGAACGCCAGCGTGGCGCCTTGGTGCAGGTGGCAAGAGCTCGCGTTGCGCACGGCGTAGATGAGCTCGCTGTCGATGACCCATAGTGCCTGCGCGAACGTGTCGCTGACGTTGGGGGCGCCGGAGCAGGATATGCTGTTGAATTCGCCGATCGTCCACGAGCTGCCGGCGTCCAGGGCGGCAAGGGCCGAGGGCAGGATGGAGGTGTCGGCGTACGAAGCTAGATAGGTGTGGTTGAGGATGTTGGCGATCGTGGCGAGGGCGGCGCGCGCGGGGTCGCACGTCGAGAAGGGGTACGAGTGGATGCTGTACTCGGCTACTTGGTCCATGGAGTCGATGCCGAAGGGGATGATGTCTGCTGGTTTGACTTTGAGACCTGTGATGTCTGTTGTGGCTGAGGATGCCCACCATCGCTCGCTACCGTAACCAAGCTGTGCTGCATCAGACGACGCGCCTACGGTAGAGTTCACAGCAGCGTCGATCGCAGCGGTCCAATTCTTCCACTGGGCTACGTACGCCGCGGTGCTATCGTTCCATCTCGAGCTGGGGTAGTTGGTAGGCTCGTTCCCGAGCTCGAAGTACTCGACCAGCTCCCTCTGATAGATCACCGATGCCACTGCTAACCCTAAAGCAATATCGAGACTGTCGTTGCCAAAGTTCAGCGTCGAGACGAACTTGGTTCCGTTGGGGAAGTTGGACCAGCTCTCGTAGTACGCCGGGCCGACGGTGGTCCTGTAGACGCCACCGGTGGTGCTGACGTCGCGCACGGAGTCGCCCGGCGAGGCGGACGCGTTGAAGATCATGCTGTCCATGGTGATGCCGCCGGGGCGGATGATGGGGGCGCCGCCATGCTGGTGGATGAGATCTAGTAGGCGGAACGTGAGGGCGTTTGGCGAGCTGGCGTTGCCGAAGAAATCGACCCAGAAGGCTGGTTCGAACGAGAAGGATGAGAAGGAGGGGCTGTGGGCGATGGACGCGCCGGCAGCGGATGTGCGTATGCTGAGTTGGACAGCACTCGGATGATCTGGTTGGGGGTGTGCGGTAACGGGACTCGTCGCCAGGAGCGCAGCGAAGCTCATAGGCAGAGTGGAATATAACCTCATCGTCGCTAGGATTTGCTTCGAGGAGCACGGAGAGGAATGCTAGGATGGAGGGATTGGGAGTACTTGACCTGGTGGCGGAGACTGCTGTGGAGTTTCGAGCAGGTGTATAAGAAATGGTTTGCCGATCTCTCGGTCACATCTCTGCCGGCCGGTATACTGTCGGGGACTAGACCGTGGTGAGGGTTCTTTACGAGACGGAGAAATTGTGGTGCTCGAGGTGCATCCCCGCACGCCCGATGCGGAGTACAGTACCCGACATGGGGGCGACAACATTGTGGTGACGCTTCAGCTGATGCAAGATCATCTGAAGGCAAGATACCTAGGTGGCAACAACTGCCTCATACGACGAGGCTGGAATAGCTTTACATGCTGCCGAATGGTGACCGTTTGCCTCGATTTTCTCGATCGAGTTCCCTTCTATCCTCGCCATCCCCGCGAGGATTGCGTCCTTGTTGATGCCAGCCGGTACCTCATCGCCTGTAAAAAGCTTTGAAGGTATCGTTGAGTAAGCCAGGTTTACCTTCCACCTTGTCGGCGCTGTCTGTGGGCTTTCCAGACCAGGTATCACTGGTCTTTCGTTACCGCCAGAGAAGAAGAGCACAGCAGAGCCGTACAAGCTTTCGAACTTTTCGAGGGATAATCGCGACGCATCGAAGCTGACTATTGATTCGTCGTGCAGCGTAGCCAATTCTAAGTTCTTGAAGGCAGTACCGTTGGCGATGCCCTTGCGCTTCTTGCCAATAGAGCTGAGATACAACACAAAGTCATACTCGGCTGGTCCTCAATAAGGGCACCGCGCTAGGACCAAGGGGTAGTCGCTCAACGGCGAGGCGAACAAGCTTGCAGGCTCCAGCTCCAGCCGCCTCGCATCAATCTCAGCGACGGCAGCTTTGGCCAGCGCCGTCATTCGCCCAGCAATGACCTTCTGTGGCCGTCCATCAGTTCAAGTAGTGCCTTCTGGGTCCAAGTTCGAGGCCGCAAAGAGTACGGTGCCGCCGAGGCTAGGGACCAGCTTCCTCCAGGCCTGGAATCTGGTCCGGACAGCCGAAACCTGCTGCTTGAGTTCGCCGTTCCCACTGAGACCAACTATTAGTGGGTGGCTCAGGCCGGCAGTCCCAACGCGACAGCCAGTGAAGCGTGCGCAAAAAGCCGGTCTGAACTGACAAAGGCGTCTGCCACGGTCATGGCTGTACGAACGGGCGCACCGCCATAAGGTCGACAACTTCATCGGCAGCGTGGTTGGCGAGCAGATAAGACGCGAACCATTTCTCCAGTAGCCGTATCGACCCACTGAGAGCCGGTTAGAGACTGCATAGGCGGGCGATAGCTTGCGTGTGTGCCGGTGCCCTTATATATGATATACTCCCGCTTGTATGCCGCCAGGCCAAGCGCAGCTGCCTTTCTTGACTCTTGCTAAGGGCGCGATAGACTTATCCTCGAGTTGGCGCTCCAGCAATGTCTGCTCGCGGTCGTGACGGATGCGCATACGGAAAGCTGCACCTGTGTCGTCTACGATGTCCGAGTACGCTTGGTTCAGGATATCTTGGTCTTGGTTCTCAAGGACTGGGCGTGCAGTAATTCCGTCACTTGACTCCTGTAGCTGCTCGCTCAACTTCAGAAGGAAGGCAATCTTCGTAGGCTGGATAGCTACAAGATGGCAAGGCTAGCAGGCGGAGGCTTCGATTTCGGCGGTGACATTTGCAGGCATAGGTCCAGCCCGCGTATGTCCACTTCAAGCTGCTTGTAAGCTTCCACGGAGTCTCAGCACTTCCACGATCAAGCAGTTCAGTGCGCATAGTTCTTACGTGGGCAGGCTGGCTTGCATAGTTTGACGGCATCCCAGCCGGATAAGATAGTATACAGCTGTCAGTGGCAGTCGATGTTCCACGCCCCTTGATTTCAGTGACCGCACCACGTCTGCTAGGCGCGCTGGATCGTCTACCGGTAAGTGGGATAAGCAATTGTGCAAAGAGGTCGCTATACATGACGGAATGTATGATTTGACGCCCCTCGTACGCCTCGTAAAGATATTGCCGTGCGTAACCTGGGGTCGGGCGCAGAGCAGCTGGGATTTTGGGAGGAAGAGGAGGTTCAACAGGGCACTCCCAGGGCTTGATCTTTGCCGGGGCCGCTTGCTTCCAATTTGAATTGAGCGGTGGCAAGACCAGGGCGCTACCGGTCGGCGACATCACACGCGTCAGCTTCTCGTGCTTCCGACGGTATCTCTGAGATGAGGGTGATGGGACGATACAGAGGTTGAATGTTTTGTGAAGGAGAAGATGCAGATGAAGATGATCGGAGTTTACCAGACTTCGATGTTCTAACTTCTTGACCAGCGTCAGCCACACATCCCATGACTGGTGGCTGGTGGCTGGTGGATCTGTGGCTGGTGTGGCTGGTGTACCTGAACAGTGAATGGACGTGCCTCCTGAGTCCGAGCGACCGAAGTTCTCCCGAGGTCCTGGTCAAGTCCTCCCTTCTCCGGCTGTTGTCGTCGCAACGCAGTGCCGCCAATACACATCCAAGTCAGGTCACGCCCCTCAGCCATGAGGTCTTGGAACATTTCGGTGACATGAAGCAGCCTCTTGAAGTCTTGAAGTCTCGAAGCCGGAAAACATGAGCGCAAGGGCACAGCAGCTCCAGCAACTGCATACTGTCAGCAATCACCACATCCAGCAATGGATTGAGTCGGTCACGGACGTCGCCCTTCCCAGCAGCGACCTTCTCAACGACGACGTTATCGACGACGACACGCTGTACGACGACCCTCTATACGACGATCCTGTCTTCTTTCCAAGCAACGAGCCGCCTGCCAAGCGCCCGCGTCGCGACAGGTCCGACAACGATACCTTCACCCACCCGTTCAATGCGATCCTGCCCAGCACACCTCCCATCACGACCATGTCCGACTCAAGCCGGAAGAGGGGCGCGAGCGAGATGGATGAGGTTCCGGATTCAACCACCCCAAAATCCAACAGACCTCTGGCAACGGTGTCGATGCGACCAGTGGCCCCCAAGAAACGCACCCGCTCGGCCAGTCCCACAAAGCCAAAGTGTAGAGGGAACCTCGAGATGTTTGAGAAGCCGGTATACGTCAAGGAACTCGAGAGCAACTTCAAATTGCTGCCCCAAGACGTCAAGAGCTTGTACTCGGGCCTCCAAAAGGTTCGTCACAAGGAGGATGTCATTCCGCACGAGGTGCGCGATCAGGTCATGGCCCTGGTAGGAGAGGATGAAGCGCGCCCCTACTACTTCCGCAACCGCCCAACACCCGGGGCACAGGCTCTGCACGATGCGTTGTGTGACATTAAGCTGGAAGCCAAGGCGGCAGCAGAGGACGAATACCACGAGACCGGCTGGAACCATTCTGTACACACGCCAGTCCTGCGGACAGTCTTCAAGTCAACAAAGCAGAGCCATCTCGATCCGCAGCAGGAGGAACAACCACCAGAAGCAACGGTAACGCCAACGCCAGCGCCGCCAGATGTTGCAAGTTCTCGTTTCGTGAGCGCCATGTCAGCCACCATCTGGAGCGAATACATGCCGACCAAATCCTCGAAACTCCCGTCGCTGTTTGCGCTCCAGGCACAGGCACAGACACAGGCACAGGCACAGTCCCCGTTACAGCTTGCGGCTATGGGTATTCTTCCAAGCTCCGGCTCTCCTTCCCTCGGTTACTCTGCGTACAAGGGCGCCAGTACCGATGGAGGCACCACTCAAGAGAACGACACCGCCGGGCCCGGTCGTAGCGACGGTAAGAAGGTCGACTACGTACTTGTCCTGGACGCTGGTCAAGGTTCCCCCCTCCAGAAGGTCATGTCTTTCTTCCTCTTCAACGAGGGCATCGAGCGAGACAACCTACCACACGTCAACCAGACGCTGTACCGGCCCTTGCAGTGGAGTCCCATCGCATGCTCCATCGAGACAAAAGTTGAGTTCCAAGCGAAGGACCCAATGTTGCAACTCGGTACCTGGGCAGCCGCTGGGCACAAGCGGCTCCGATCTCTGCGCCACCATCTGTTTGGAAAGGTCCCGTCCGTGTTCAATGCCGAGCGACAATCGGAACGCTTCCCCTCCTCGCTGCTGATCGAGGTTGTGAACCATGACTGGCGATTGTATTTCGCCTGCGACTCGGGAGCGTCGATCGACTTGTACGGCCCTCTTGGCATTGGCTCAACTAGGTATCTGACCGAGGCGTACGTACTGGTCGCTGCCCTCGAGGCTATCCAGCGGTGGATCGAGACGACTTTTCATGAGGGCATGGAAGCTTGGCTCATGTGCAAGGATTTGGTTGACAAGACATAATCGATATACCTGGAGGGCGTCCGAAATAGACACCTAATACGCTTGATTCGTGTTGAGACCAAGTGGCTGAGCCTCAAACTCAACAGCACCACCGACTCCCCGTCCCCAACCGCAGCATCGACCAGCATCGAGCTGCGTGGACTCAAGACCTCCAGCGTGAGTAGTCGCATTGGCTTCATACAACACCCCGACTAAGCGATTGCTAAGCATAGATGAGTGGAGGCACCCGTTGCAGACTCGATCGTGGATCCTGACAGCTCCTGACTTATGTTGCACCAAGGAGCTCTGGGCATTTCCCCCTAGGGGGTACTGCATGACCGGTCCGGCATTCCGCGCCCTCCCACACACATCTGGACTTGACCTGCTGGCTCATCGACCATCCGCTTGAGAAGGCCGTCTCACAGCGAACTAACAGAGCGTCAGCCGTCAGAAGCTTAAAGTCACTGGCCTGGGGTACCTTGCCTAGATGGCCCAATATATTGCTTCGACCACGGAGACTGAATTACAGCTCGCGACACAGTGGCTGGATTCAATGCAATGGCTCCGGGGCTCGAGCAGCGGAGCAACTTCCGCTGCAGAACGTGGAATAAGCCGTGTCCAATTCGCCTTCGCGACCCCTTTCCCGCCAACGGTGTACTCCTGGCCGAAGCCGATGGGAAGGCTCAAGTCATCGACATTGCTATTGGCGTCAGTATGCTTTCTTGCGGCGCTTGGTGGCGGGTGTGTCAACCTGCTCATCTCGGGCAACCGGCAATACGACTGGCTGCACGATTGGCTGCACGATTGGCTGGAGAACTGGCTGAACTGGCTGTGCTACCAGGCCGGCCTGGTTTGCCTGATTGTTGGCACGAATAAAGTTGAACAATCGGGTGCCGGCAGTAATGCAGTTGAGAAACTAAGCTCTCGAGACCGACTGTGTCGTTCAAGGTGCCGTTGACTGTGGCCCATACTGTCTCGGCAATGCCGCGTTCTGGTTGCATGTTGTTGATATTGGCCTCACGCTGTTGAGCTGTTTCGGGGGCAGACTATAGCAGCACGACCGGCGGAGCCCTGATGCACGACACCCGCTGCCGCTGCACCCGAGCGAAGAGCGAAATGTCCGGAGCATCCCGTATCTACTCGTCAAGCTCCAGTCGCCTTTGACCCAGTTTTCCGATTGGAGCTTTGACGAGTAGCTGGCAATACATATTCCATATTTAGGATAAATCTAGCCGACTAACTTGTGGTCTTAATGTTATCTAGTCTAGCAAGGCTTTATATTCTCGATGTACTTGTTTCTCTTGTGCTTGAAACTGAGGTATGGCTATGAGCTGAAGAGGTTAGTGTCGATAAGAGTGTGAGCTACAGTGGTGACAGTGGGTTGACAACGCTCTCAGTAGCAATATGACATACTAGAAACGAAAACGAATACGAACCAAGATGGTTCGCAGCGAACGACTTGGCTTCAACCCCTTCGCGGTGCTCGGAATAGACCGCAACGCCGACGTCATAGCAGTGAAGAAGGCTTACCATGCCGTACACCATGTCTAAACCACCATCCCGACAAGGCTACGGACGGCGTTGCGGCGCATGAGGCCTTCGTCGAAATGACGTTACAGGCATCCTATGAGTATGTCGCCGAAGCGCTTACGCAGCAACCGCGTTTTAGGTCCGCAGCTTCAGCTTGGACGAGAAGAAGTGGGCAGGACTATGGGTATGGGTATGGCCGCGACGATGGGGAGAGCTACGCAGGCACGGGATTTGGAAAGGAGGGATACGCCCCCTCGAGCTCTTCCTCCAAATCTGGATCCGACTTCGACTCGACCGCACCACCCAGCGCAACAGACAGCGACGACAAGTTTATAAAGCAAAAGGAAGCCGTCGCCGACATCACCGATCTTCATCAGCGCCTCCGCGAGACGCTCAAGCAGTTCGTCTCGCCCCGCCTTTTGGACACGAGGACTTGACGACGGCCGCCTTAAGTGGCGGCGGGCGTTTTCCATGCGTCCCATGGCATGGCAATCATATCATACGCCAATTGACGCCGTGTAACCATACCTAAGATCATGTGGGGGTCCTTCGGGGTGACGACTGATCCTGAATATGCATGGAATGATAACACCCATGTTGCTTGCTGCGTTGCTACGGGTTGGTTTGGTGGCTCCGTCCGAATCCTGCCTACCGTCGCATTTATACCAATTCAAGATGACCCTGGCGATTTCGTAATGTGACAGGCCACATAATACATCTGAAAATCTCAAAGCTCTTTTGCGTGGCCTTTGATATCCGAGTTATTTCACACATGAGAGCGTCACAATGTACATGTTCCCTTAACCGAAGCGATAAACACGAATGAAGGCCGATCCGATGGTGATGAAAAGGAATAGACAAACGTTCGGCCCTCGTTGCAAGGTAACGTGGGGGAAAAGATGCATGTGTAAGGCGGTAGTGTTGTGTTGTAAGCAACGGCCTTCGCGCAAATGTGCGTTGCGCGCTCGCAGTGCCGTCTACTCCTCGGGACGCAACAGAGCCTCAGACACAACGTCCCGGGCACACATGGTAACGTTACCTACCACGAGTCCTACTTTAACGCAGGGACACGGTATTCGCGGTGTAGGCGTCATTTCCCATCGGAAATGCCTGACGGCGGCGATCTGCGATTTATCCGGTGAACACAACGGCACATCCAATGCAAGTAAGACATGCGCGTGATATACGTCTCAATTAGCTGCTCTCCATGCGAGCGTGTGCGACTGGCTCGGAGTCAATACACATGATGCCATCGACGAACCGGGTTGCCTGGCGCAAGGGCACGTTTTGCCCACCCCCCACCCCCCTTCTCCTCGCGCCCGGTTTTGTGACATCTTCCTATGTACCTACAGCCACCTGCAACAGCCGACATTGAATGGAAAATCCTGTCAAGCATTATTAACCAACTAGCAATGAAGGGGCGGTGCACTCGTACACTGCTTTCTCGGTTTTCTCGTTTCGGGCCTTTTCGCCAACTGCCCGCCTCGCTAGGGGGTTACATGCAGAACGCATCACCTCTTTTCAGCGCGTTTCTTTCTTATGCTATTACTTACACTCGACCCTAACAAACTATTCCAAGGATTTCAGACGCACTGATGTGAGGCTCCTTCCAACACTACACAGGCGGCAGCTTCTCCAGCCACTTCCCAGCTTCAGTCGCAGCTTGCTCCGCCTCAGTCTTCCAGCCCGTCAAGTTCCCAGCAAAGAAGATGTCATGGTTCGCCAGCCTCTCAACCTTAAGTGTCGCATCGGTGCCCTTGACAGACTTCATTTCCTCCACGACCCGAGTGATTTCATCGCAGAAGATCTCGTTGCCGCCGCAAAAAACCCACATTGGGCAAGGGCTTTTAAAGGGATCACCGAGCGGGTTGAGGTAACTGGCGGCAGCAGGCTTGTCGGTAACGAACCTTCTCGCACCCCAAGACACGAAAAGCGGATCAAGGTAGTCGTTGGCATAGTTCCGGTTGCCGCTGACGGTCTCGGGCTTACTGGCAGCCACCATGTCGACTGCGGGAGACCAGAGCAAGACAGCTCTCGGTGGCGGGAGGGCGGTCTCATGGTGATGTTCTGCAAGATATCGCAGCATGCAGATCATGATGTGGCCGCCGGCCGAGTCCCCCGACAAGACAATCCTGGACGCCGGGACTGCGAGGTCGTTCAGTAAGTAGTGATAAGCAGTGATTGCGTCCTGAAGTGCCGCAGGAAACCGTCCGCCGGGGTTTGATGCCAGTCTGTACAGGCTGAAAAGCGCATGCGAGACGGGGCTGACCTTGTCAGTTAGCAGTCTGGCCGCGAAGGCTCCGTCGCTTCGGACATCTCCCATGGCGTATCCGCCTGGGTGGAAATGAAGGATGACAAGCTTGCCATCATCCTCCGTCGCCGCCCCCCTTGAAGGCTACCGGGAAACAGACCCCGCCGGTGGGAGATGGCACGATCCTGGATCTGACGTGAGTACCCCAGCGTATAAGGAGTCCGGCCCAGTAGGTATAGCAACGAATTGATACCCATAGGTGTGACAATCAGGCCTGCAGCTGCGCTGGTCAGGGCTGATGGGATGAAATATCTAGATTCAACGATATCTAAGGAAGAAGAGGCAAGGTCGGAAGAGAAAAGGGAAGCTAGAGGTATATATGTACATAAATATGTGGAGGTATTATATAATACCGTAACAATAGGAGCCAGGCCGGAGATCCAGTGGTGCAATCGCCTCGACGCACGCCGTGTGGTACAGAAAAGCGCTCATGGCATGGTTCACAACTAATTGCAGGACCGACCATTCGCGGTGTGGTCGGTTGGATTTTGGCAGGAAGTACAGTAAGAGGAAAGGGAACTTGACAAGATCGATCATGACTGCCCCTGCAGCCCAGGCATACCTGCCGGGATTCGTTCTAATAAACGCTAACTTGGGATGTCATAGAGCGGATGGGTAGGTAGTTATAAGAAGGAGGTGGTGATAGACAGACAGACAGAAATTAGGTTGTGCGGAGTGATGCTGACGAGTTGGGATCCTCCTTGTGTGACGATTGCCTTCATCTCCGCGCCCAAAGCACAATGTGCCGGGGCAACCACCGCAGAAGGGGGTAATGTAGGTATCTGAGGGCTGAATACCAAACATGAAGGCACGCTTGCTGCGCCACCATTCGGGGCACAGTTGGAGTATGTAGTTACTACTTCATAGTTATGTACCTACATATGTATGCATAGATTAATGAGCGACCACGAAGGGTGCATTATCCTGCAGTCATGGTAACATAGAGACACTGGATGAATGCGCGACTTTGCTAAATGTAACATGGGGGCTTAATGTAAGCGACGCCAATGATCAGGGCCTGATAAACTCGAAATAGCCAACCAGGTATATTGAAGTTACGGACTCTGCCATTGCTTTGGTACATATACCCCCACCAGGGCCCTATGTCCGCGAGAATCACATCATCTACATTATCTGCCAGGCACGAACTTGGTCCCTAGAGGCTCAGCCAATCGTCAACGATACAACCACCCAAGCCATGAGCTGCAGTGTCTAAATATAAGATAGTTGCAGCCAGTACCAGGATGTGAAAAAATTACTATAGCATTGGTACTATACTAGGGTACTAGCCTACTCTACTAGGGATACTAAGGCAAGAAAGATCCACTTTTCACTAATTTAAAATTTTATAATTAAAAATTAAAAAATCGTATCTATAGTAAGATTAAACTGTTATAATACGATAAATATTTAATAAGACATTAATTATTTAACTTATAAAAAACTTGGATTTTTATATTTTATACGTCGTATAATATTTTTATACTGTGTATTCTAATTTTATACAAAGTATAAATATATATTATTTATATATATAAAAAAGTTCTACAAAACTAGTTTTTAGATGTAGAATTTTTAAATTTATTTAAATATATTCAACTTAATTACGCTTAAATATACGTTATTACATTTTTCTTTCAATTTTAAATCAAACAATATAATTCGTATAATAATACTAGAGTATCTTATATTACTACATTAGGTTAGTAAAGTATTGGGCAAATACTCTACTCAATAGAGTATTTTTCTCTCCCTGGTGTGAGGGCAGTGTGAAGGCACACACCAGCGCAACCTACTGCGCCCCACATCACACCCTGGCCAGGGGTTCATCTAGATAGCTCTGTCTCCTACCTGTATCTAGCTCTCTTTCCTTCCTTTCTTTATCTTCGATATTTTCGTCTATAGAGTCTGTTACCCCCTTGTCGTCTGCTTTGTCTCGTCTTAGGTGCCACTCGCCGTGACACCTGGCCAGTACTTCCCCGCAGTTCAAATTGAGCAGGCTGGGGGTGTGACTGTTTGGACATTGTACCTGGTGGTGGATGTCTAGGAACTGGAAGGCTCGCGAGGAGCCAACATTGAGCCACGCAGATCATCTGACAGCCAGTCTCGCCAGGAATACATCAACACATCCCACATGTGTAGCAGAACCCTAAATAGCCTTGTCTCAAACAAGGTGCGCCACATGATTATTGAACCATATAGGCTGTTCGAGATGGTGCCTGTCCGCTATATATCCCCGGATAAGTTGAAGTCCGTCTCGTCCTCTTCGGCCCATCGGCAGATTCTTTACCAATAGTCGGCTCGCTCAGTCCCCTTCAACCTCTATCTCGGTTGAGCTTCTTCGAATTTCTACGAATTGCCGCAGGGTCTAAGCTCCATCCACCCTTCGCATCTGCCTTCCCACGATGCCAACCATGCATTTGAACTCAACGAACATACCACTGGAGATTGTAGCCTTCTACCCCCCGAGCTCTGCGAACAGATTCCCCACTACGACGAAAGCTTACAGGCTTCTTTGCATGCTGCGGACGCCATATGTCTGGCTGCAGCGTATGTTGCGGTGGCCCTGAGCCTTCACGCAAGACATCCGAAGGCGCAGGTGCTAGGATAGGATGACTAGATGATCTCCTGTGCACTGGTAAGCAACACACACCGAGGGCAACGCCAAGGGGTCTTATCTTTCTGACAGGTGCACTTTCTCACTACCGTCGTCGTGGCTCTTTGTGTCTTCGTCACTGTCTACGGCATGGGCCGTCACCAAGTCGTTACGCTGCTCGAACATCCTGAACATGCAGTGCCCTTAACAACTAGGTTCCGGTGTCTACCTGTCAAGGTGCCCTCTGGGCTCACCTTTAATCCAACAAGAAGGCACCTCGACAGGTAAACAACGGAACCTAGTTATTCCGTCTTGATCCAGTCCCCTCTAGCACAAAACGGCCATGGTCGCAAAGACATTCTAGACAAAGAGAATATATAAAAACACTTTATTTTTATAATTAGCTTGAATGTAACAATTAAAGGTCTTATTGCTGATCCTTTTAACAAACCTTATCTATCTTGCATATTTAAATGCTTATTTTTTCAACCTTTTAAAACCTTAAAAAAGTAGACTTTTTAATATTACTATCGGAAACAAGAAAATGGCTTAAATAAAACTATGAGTTTTAATTAAGAGCGAATACCTTAAGTCTCTTAACTTCTTTGTTTTAAAAAAGGACATTATATAATTATTAAAAAAAACGATTTTTGCACAAAAAACTACGAGAAAAAACGAACGACTTTGAAATCAAACCAAATTATTAAAATTAATCCCGATCTAAATAATGGAAATAAAAACAATAAAATCATTCAATATAATCAAAATAATAACGTGTCAATGCTATTAAATTTAACGATAATAGGGAAATAAACTTGTAAACTTGATAATACTTTCTACGGCCGAATTTAAAATTATTATAAAACTACCTGTTATATTTTAAAGTAATTGATTTAAAAGTAGTATATTAATCTCCAAACTTAGCGTAAAACAGTTAATATAAATAAATGAAAAAATCTAAGAGAATATTATGAAATAACATTTTACCCTTTTAAAAATCTTAAAAAGTTAACAAGAGAGATTGTTTTTTTTTAAATCGCTTTTATAAAAGCTTACTAAAAAGAAATTCTTAAAACGCTTAATGCAAACTTATAAGCTAAAAACTTGCTAAAGGCAATGTTTAAAGCATTTCTTATATAGTTAAGTATTTATACGGTTATAAAAAACAAATAAATCTAGCACGGGATTTTTAAACACTAAAATCTTATTAACGATTGTACGAAGGCTATTTCACGGACTAGTAATAAAGTTAAACGAACTTTTAAAAGTACATTTGGTTTTACTTATAACGGCAAAGGCTTTGGTAAAAAGAATTAAAAATTAAAAAGCAAAAAGCTTGAAAAAAGAAAACCAAATTAAACGCCAATAAAAAAACAAAAGAAATAAAAATAAGGATTATTCAGAATATTTATCGTATAAAATAAAACACGCATTAACAAATTATTTTTATATATTCAAAGAAAAAGCATAAAACAGATTGTGAATTAAAGAATATCTTGTTAAAAAAGTAACCTAAGCCTTAAATAATTCAAACTATAAGCCTATATTTGCTCTTTACGTAAGTAAAAAAAAATAAAAAAAAAAATTAAAAAAACTTTTTTTTTAAAATAATAATAAAAACTTATCAACTTAAAAGAAAAAAGTTTGAAGAGATTTAAAAATAACTTTATTACAAAATGATAAGGAAGATGCTAATAGCATTTATATCGGTTAAATTAAATAATTTTTTACTAACATATTTATTTATTTTAAACAATAAAAGCATTATTACGATTATAAATCAAGCATAACGTTGACTTAGTTTAAAAAATACCCTATTAAGATATAGCGTATAGTTAAAAAATCGCTTTTTACCTACTTAAGCGTACGGTAATATACAAATATGCATTTGAAGCACGATTAATAGCTTTTTAAATATAGCTTATTACCTTTTCCTTTTTACTACTCTTATATTTCCGTATAAACCCCCAAAAATTTATTTAGAATAATAATAACAACTTAAATGGCTAGATTAAAGACATATACGGCTAATATATTTTTAATTACTAGGCGAACGACTTAAATGTTATTTTTTATACCGTATAACTAAGTAAAGAGTATTTATATAATTTATAGTTTTACAAACTTTTCTTTTTAAAAAAGTCGTCGTTATAATATTAACCATTAAAAGATCGTAGCTTAAAGGCTTTAAAATGGTTAATACCCGCATGTTAAAAAGTAGTTATTTAAAAACTAGCGAAAATAAAATGCAAGTTATATAAATATTTCAAGCTAAACAGCATATATAAAAAGCACTACGATTTAACAATAAAGGTTTTTTTAAAAATTAGCCTTTAACTTTAATAATTATAAAAGTTTGCTACTAAACGAGTTATTTTATAAAAACATGCTTTTAAAAATCAAACTACGTAAATAATTTTCTATATAGTATTAACGTACTTCTCATAACTAAAACACTAGAACGATATTAAAGTTGAAATAATTGAAATAAATCATAAAACATATATGAACACGCTGAATATAAAGGAATAGCTAAAACCTCACGCGATTAAAATAAAGCCATCGGTTCTTAATATACAAGCTTAAAACGGAAATACCAAACGCGTAAAAGTATATTAAAAACAACACGCAAGCAATGCAAATCGGTGCTGAATTACCGACCTTTTTATAGTTAAAAAAATAAAGCAGTTACATATTTTCATAATTAAACACTAAAAAGAGTAAATAAAACCCCCTTTTAAATATGTTTTTAAAGCAATTACAAGGAAAATAAGCCAACTACTAGCTTTAAACAAGCGTTTTAACTAAACACATTTCTAAGTTTATAACTACAAAACTTAGGTAATAATAACCGATATAAGACTAAATCGCTGAAAATCAAACAAATTTAGTTTTAAAGTATAAATCAAATATTTACTTTATACAATTACCTTATTTAAATAAATTAATAAATATAAAAGTGACACACATCACAAGAAAGGCCCACCGTAAGTGGGGGCGCTGGCGAATCAGGTGGCGGCTAGATAGATAAGATAAGGAGGGGCTGCTACCATATATGGTAGCAGCCCTCACCTAGCTAGCTAGATAACCAACCCACATACAACAACATATTTGACCCCCATACCTGCTTGCATCAAAAAGATATCGCTTTTAATAAGAACGAAGTATTTAATAAGAATAAAAAAAGGGTCTAAAACAACTTAAAAACAGAAACTGTTAAAAAATACAAGCTATAATTAATAAGTACGCTTTATTTAAGTTTAACGAATATGTTTAAAATAACGATGAAAATCCTGATAAACTATACATGAACTAACCCCTCTTTTTACCAAAAGTAAAAAACAAAAGTGCAAAAAGCCCAATAATCCCAACAAAGATACAAGTTTAAAAAACGAATTTTTTAAATTTATTAAAATTAAACACACGTATACTACGGTAAAGTTTACCCTATTACTTTTATTACCGTTTAATTTCCCATCCGCCTTACGCTGTCATGGTATTTAAAAAGAAAATAAAGATTGTGAGAATTTTTTCTAAAACCTTTAAAAAAGATTTACGGCTTAAAAAGTAATATTTTTTGCAAGCCTGAAAGCTTTGCTTGTAAAACGATCGGTATAGAACACCTTAAATTAGAGAAGCATTAAGAGAGCTTTATAAAAAAGATTCAAACTATATAAGCGACTTTTTAAAAAGCGCTACGGCAGCGTAATAAATTAGTAACTTATTTACTAAAATACTTGTTCAGAATAACCAAAAAAGATCATTTAAAAAGTTATAACGACATAAAGTTATAAATTAAAATCCAAAAAAGACTTATTAATACAACATTATTCAATTTTAAACTGCATAGAAGTATATGTTTACAAGTTTAATAAGTACAAAAGGTTTATTAAGTGCAAAGCACGTTTTATAATGAAAAGAAATTACTAAAAAGGGTGCATTTAAACCAAACGTATATAGCTACTATTTTTAAAAGATCGTTTAAAACCTTAATAGCCTTAGCAGTTAAACTTAACATCGAAATAATCCAGTACGACGTTATTAACGCCTTTATATATACCTGTCAGATTCAAGGGATCTCTAAAGGTATATGCCCTTTGGAGTGCTGGCTAGTCAGGTAGCTAGTCAAAGAGGCTGCCATGACTAGCAACCTGAATCGTACATTGACTCGGGAAAAGGTGAGCCGGAAGATCGTCTCTTGCATCTCTAGAGCTGTACAAATAGGTGTAGATACCACTCAATTGGGATAGCTGAGAAATGATAACAACGATTGCAGCTACCGCTCAAGACCATAGGCTTGTCAACCCTTTGGAATCTGACAATACCCTTATTAATAAAAAGATGTTTATATAAATTCTACACGGCTATTATAATAAATCTTGTTTTTTTAATTAAACAAGGCGCTTTATAAGCTAAACGTTTCTTTACTGCTATAGTAAAAGAAATGTTTAAAATTTTCACCTAGCTTAAGATTCAATCCGTTTTCATATAAGCTACACTATTATATAAAGAAGAAAAATATAATATTGTTTTACGTAAACGACGTAATCGTTACGTATAAAAAACACGCATAAGACAATATTTAAAACTGTTAGAACAGGCTTGACCGATCAATCATAATACTCGAGTATGGGTCAAAGTCATGATGTTGCTGATGGGTTGGATTGTGAGGTCTAGCTGGACCTGCAGGTCTGGCTAAGTGACCTCACAATCCAGTATCTAATCTCTTATCTAATCATATATGTGGGTTCTTTATAGATGGTTTGACTGTGGAATCACATAGATCCAACTTATAACTTATAAAAATTAAACTTCGAGTTTTACTAAAATACCGGATTAACTTTAATAAAGTAAAACCTAGAGTGATTAATATGGCCTTATTAACTACGCGACTTATTAGCCTCGATGCCCGCGGCTAGCCTTGGGGCTTTATAAAAGCTTTAAAAATAGTTGATAAGGTATATTAAGTCTGCGGGTAGTTTAAAGCCTTTATAAAAGGCTTTTACTTAGCCACACTTTTTAAGTAAGTTTATATAAAAGGCTTTTACTTTAAAATTTAATAAAGCTTTTAAACAATTAATTATAATACTTTATTTAAATATCTTTAATGTCGTTACTTATAAAAGCAAAAATTCTATATTTACTAAATATCTTACAAATATACGTCTATAATAATAATAATAATAAAAAACAAAAGCTTTTACCAAAATAACAATTCTTTTGCGATATTAATATCTCTTTTACGGTAGCTTTTTAAGTTATAATACATATATATATATATATATTATGAAGATAATATCTTATTTGTAATAATAGCTTTTTCCTAATAATATCTTTTTAATGATTATATTTCTCTTATATAATAATATTTTACGTAATATTAAAATTACTTTTATAATAGTATTTCTTATTATAATAATATTTATATAAAATTCGCTTTTAATATATATTATATTTAAAATATAGTTACTTATTCAATTAAAACAGAATCTTTTAAAACTTATAATCATTTATTTATTTAGATTTTAAAAAGTTACTTAAATCTATCAAATAATTTATTCGTTATAAATAAAGTATTTTAAGAATTTTAATTCTTTAAACCTAATATTGTTTTAAATTTATTTATATGCATTATGGATTTTTAATAGCTTTAATAAACCCGTGTTTAACTGTAAATTTCCACGATCGCCTTTAATTACGTTACCTCTTTACGTATTGTATGTAACATTTTTTAAATTTTATTAACTTATTTAACTTTATATTTAAATATTATTATAAATCGATTGTAAAGTCGATCCTATGAAAAGAAAATATTTACATAACTTTTTAACCTTATTTTTAAATACTAAAGCTTATAAACTACCCGATAATTAGATATACCTTGCTATTAGCATTTAACGGGGCCTGCGAGGATCTGTAAATACCAGGTAGAGGCATATGCAGGGGTACTAGCACCAGTAATGAGTAATGGATGTCTGACTCCACTTCTAGCCGTTGTCTGGCCGTCCCTCGTTCTTCGACTTACTTGCTTCAGTCTATTGAAGCTCCTGTCCTTTCGCTTTGATTCTTACTATCTACATCTTCGCATCTCACCTGCACTGTCTAGGTACTACATGCATCTTGAGCCGCAGTCTGAATGAACATTTTCTCCTGGCTCGACAACATTGGTGACGCGGCACCGCAACAGCCGCCGAAGCCCCGGAAACGTAACCTGCAACAACACCAGCAAGTGCCCACGCCGAGCCAGTCGACCGCCGACACGATCCTCGACGCCATGTCATCGTCACCTACCAAGAGACTCCGGACTGAGGACGATGGCGGCGAGAACCCCAAGGACCAGGAGGACCAGGAGGATAAGCTGGGCCGAGACGAAGAGCGTACACCACGGCGGTGGGGCTCTGGGCGGTATTCCGACAACCTTAGCAAGCGATCCTCAGCGACATCCCCTTCCAAGCGATCGTCCCGACTCTCACCCTCCAAGCGCTTGGCCGCACTCGAGGTTGCCACGCATGAGCCCGTCGTCGTCACGCAGATCAGGGCCACTGATCCCCGCATGCCGACTGAGCTCATAGCCATGGTGAAAGCTCTCAGCGGCTTCCAAACGCGGCTGCCCTTCGTGCCCGGCTATCTGGCCGCCGAAATCGAGACCCGCGCGAGGATTGACGCCGAATTCTCCGACTTCCACCCTTCCATGTTCCAGCTGGCCGACGATCCCTTCGTTCCGCATCTGTCTCTGGACCGGATCATGGAAGTGTACGAAGCGGCCACCGAGTGCTGCAACGAAGGACACGCCGAGGCGACGTGGAATACCCTCATTCACTGGCCGGTTTTCGAACTGGCCCTGGGCGTCATTAGGGGCGAAACACTGGAACGGACCTCGATGCCGGCAGATGGGGCCCAGCGCCGAGACCACCCGGTCCGCGTTCGCGCTATGCCCTGCACGACGGCGAGACTGAAGGACCATCAACAGGGCGCGAAGATGGTGGATTTCTCTCTCTTCATCGAGCCGCAGGGGCTGGATGCCGACAAGATCAACGAGCTACGGCAGAGACTGCTCTACATCAACCACACCGACTACCACCCGCTGCGACGCCGGCCGATCATGCTCAGTGCCGAGTCTAAGAGACCTGGTGAGGGGTACCAAGAGGCGCAGGTACAGCTGGGCGTCTGGCAGGCCGCGCAGTGGACTCTCCTCGAGAACCTACTGTCGTCGCAATCTGCGACGACAAGACTGGGCCTGATTCCCTTTCTTCCAGCCTTAATCATCCAGGGGCACGAGTGGTCGTTCGCTGCGACCACAAGGTCGGGCAGGCAGACGGTATATGCATCTTGCCCCTTCGCAATGCGACACGAGCTAACTATTGTCAGGTGCTGTGGGCGAAGAAGGTGATAGGGGGGACAGATACTATTGTCGGCATGTTCCAGATAATCCACGCCTTGCGGCATATAGCTGCGTGGGGACGGGACACATATTGGCCTTGGTACAGACGCGCCATCTTGCAGATGGGGGAGGAAGATTTAATAGTAGCAGAAGCGATTCATACCCCTTGATCTTCACTTGACATGACCGAGATGATGTCATTGACTGGGCTGGTATGAACGGATTAGCGAGACTTCGAGGAAAACCAGTTTATATAAGCTCTTCCAAAATGAAGTTAAGAACAAAAACGAGACAAGAAACTATAAAATATGTTATAAAGCTATAAGATATGATATATATAATATATATATTTAACATGAATCTAAAATACTTTTATAAAGTCACTTAATAAAATAATTTATATATAACATTATATTATATTTATCATTTATCATTTTAAAACGTATAAGTAAAATTAAATATTCAAATTAAATAATAAAAGATTAAAAAGTATTATAAGAAACGGCAAGGCCGCTTCCGGAAATGGTGGCTCGAACATGCCATTTTGGGCACCTGCCCTGTCGGGCAATCCTCGAGCGTGCAACCTCTCGCTGCTTTTCACGCACCCAGAAATGGGATCAATCCCTCATATACCTCCCAAGTCCACTTGTACCTCTTCTTCCCTTTGCTCAGTTCAGACCACGCTATGCCTGACTCTGTCACAGCCCAGTCTATATTCTAAATAGCCTTCGTTCATCAGTGGTATCAGTAGCCTCCGGTATATTTACATCCTGTAATTAGCATATGGCTTTATTATCAATTGTGTTATTACAGTATTGCTTGTGATATATCCTTGGCCTTTGAACTTGCGTGCTGTGGCTGCCTTATAAGTCATCAAATAGGCCAAATAGTCAGCTCGTCACACTCGACTTGGGCACTTCCATGAACGCCCATAGAAAAAGTCACCAGATCTGTATAGTAGCACCTCACGTCATGTCCTGGCCAGGCTATAAACCTGCCCAGTGAAAAACGGCACAAAGATTTGTACCATCACCTCATTACGGCCTTCTCTAAGCTACAGGGGGCATGAATTTCTAATTTACCAGCTTGTGATGCTAGAAGCGAGAAACGGCAGCAGATTTTCCTCATCAGGCAACTAACAGTGCAGGTCATAATTTGACCCAACATCCAGTCGGACAAGGCTGAAGGGTCAGCGGCTCCGCCAATACCTGCAGCATGTCACAGCAACGATTGAGCTTTGTAGAAGGCAATAGTCATCTCAGACGGGGTATCCATCTATTAGAAAAAGTTTCTGGTCTAAAATCTCAACATCAGTAAGGGGTTCTTCCGTGCAAGCAATATGACTTGATAACGGATGCTCACAAGAGTTACGATGCCAACAAGACTGTCTCTTCACAAAATTCTATATCCATTATGGCTTCTTGACTCCATCAAGCTGATGCTAATCACCGAGGGCTCATAAATGCAAAGTGGCGTGCGCCTGGTTAAGGAGTCGCGCACTAAAATGCCGCCTATGGTGCTACCTGACTGGCAGTATCTGTATCCTTGTTGTATAACCCTTGAAGATATAATGGCTAAGCCATCGAGCAGATGGATGCTCCTCGACTGGTACCTGCTAATTTAACGCATTACTGCCTACAATCCTGCAACCCTTGTGGTGGTAGGCAGTTGGAAGCAACCCCTGCATTGAAAAACTTTTCTGGTCTTCGCGAAGCTATGGTACATGCTCAAAAGCTGCGGAAGATACAAAAAATCAATGTAACAGAGTTGGCACCATCTTCAACGCCTGCTTTCAGCCTTGACGACACTCTGAAATATCACAAGGCTTATAAGGCATTGCTTGCCCGTTACGACGACCTCTTCAGGAAGTTTTTATCTTGGCCTCGCTACAATCTCCTTATGCATGTTCTTGGCTAGTGACAAGCTGGACTAAAGGTCAGGATCACCCACAATCAAGGTAGAGCATATTAGGCTATATAAGCATGAGTAAACGCCTCGTCTACCATAAACAGGGTATCTTGTTCCTGTACCCCATATCCTCATGCTAAGCACCTCTTGGAGGAATTGCTGGTGACCCCGTTTCAACCTTGCCAGATGCGACTCTCCGGCTAGCCAGCCCCTAACAGGCCTCCCGATTAGCCCAGGTCAACATTTCTGACACGTCGTATACTCCTTCACAGCCATCTGCAGAAAGGGTCTTACTGCCGGAGAACTCGTGAAGCTGATTTTGACCCATTCTTGACGATCTTGGTGAAATGAAATCAGGTGTGGCTACAGACCATCGTATGATATTTCCCTGGTATTGTCATTTTGAGATGGTCAGGGGTTGAAAGGAGGCAGAGACGTGGCAGATGGTCATATACCGCTTTCTTAAGAGCTATAACCTATTCTGGACTTCAAACACGTTAGACTTATCTCGGTAACCCCTAGTACATGATGATAATCAGGCATTGCTACTAATATGGATTGAGAGCTGGGTTTTATGGCAGGGTGTAAAGTATATAAGTCGTCTTTCCTCAATCATTTGGGAGGAAAGTGTTCTGACTCAGTTTTGCTTTATCTTGTCTGAATATCTACTCTGAAGTTCAAGGAGTAGCAGCCACCAAAGCCAAAGCCAAAGCAAATAACTGCTGCTCCTACATAAAAAAAAACCCTCGGCAACCTATGAGCTTCCTCTAGATGCCTTCAATCCACAGCAATCTTGTCCTTTAAGTCGACAATGAGGCACTCAACTGCTATCAGACCCAGAGTGTCCAGCGATCCTTTGGGAGAGGTTTCACTATTCAAACCCCAATATAACAGGACACTGGAGCTTTCAGTCGCGGGAAACCATCCAATAATGACCCGGCAAGCATTTTAAGCCAGCCCAGCGCATTCCTTGAAAATGCCGGTGGTACAGACTTGGACAACAGTACTATCAGCCTTTGCCAAGCCGCTGCTTCTACAAAACAACCATCAGCCTGCCATAACATGGTTAACACTATGTATATGTGTAAGTAATATACTTATTACGAGAAAGCTTAGACTGATCTTGTCACCTCCGTAACAGGTATTAAAGACTATAACCAGAATTATAGCAGCCTGGAGAATGCTAATGCTGATGAGTTTACCTGGTCCTAAGCCACACCTGTGTCGAGCCTGAACTGTATAAACGATGACAAAGATGTCGAAGCCCGTTTTCTAGTGGCCAAACTATCTGTAAATATACTGGTCACCTCTTTCTCCAGAGGTCTGTCTCTTCAATTGTGCCAAAAACCCTTGGCTACCGACCCTGGCAGTGGTGCTCTGATGTCGAACCGCGATGCTTCTAAGCCCGTTCTGAACGACATTTCCCGGACCCACCGCACAAGGTCTCATAATAACCATCCAGAATCTGATGGGGATAGGTCCTCTGATAACCATGTCTTGAGCCCTGGTTAGACAAAGAAATACATTGAAGGAACCAAAATTCACCCTTGGGCTGAGTCATTTGTGGATCTACTGACGGCCCCCTCCTTTATTACAAAAAGGGTAACACCGCCAAGAAGCTTGCGCTTGCTGCCTTCTTGAATGCGAGTAAACAGGCTGTGTAGATCGATCCCTCATCATGTCTCAAGCCAAACCAAGCAGATATTTAATACTTGAAAGCGGCTTGCAGAAAGTCCACCCACAAACCTTCCAATGGAGAAGCGACAGGCCAGTTAACAATCCCTCAGTGACCGAACCAAACAGAGAACGCCTATCTCGGAGAGCGTAACAGACACTAAGCGAGTTGGTCACGCAAAGTTCAAAGCCGAAATCAACACTACGAGAACCTTCATGCGAGCACTCGAAGTAGTGGCAGGCCTGGTCACGAAGTACTTGACTTGAAAAACTTGCCTCTCCTATTATTGCAGCCCTAGAACCACTTGCAGCAAGTTGCGACACTTGTGGCTTTTTTGCTGGGCATATCTTTGAGTTATATAACTCGGTTAAAGCTCTTTATAAAAAGGAGAATAGTGTGACCATAATGCAGCTGTTTCTTGGTTTCATTTACAGTCATGCCACTCAGAGACTTGCCGCCCAAGACGGGCAGGCTGAAGATCATAACTGCTGCCATAACGGGGTGGCTCACAGCCCCTCTGTTATTCCTTTTATGACGCCAATACCTCTAAACAGCATGCAAAACAGACGCATCAAAAGCGTCAAGAGCAATAGCGGTGCAGGAAGCCAGGCAGGTAAACTGGGTGGACAAAAGTCTCCGCCTGACCCACCACAATCTCCTTCAGATCAAAACAACGCGTCAATCACTCTTCGACTTCACCACTCTCTCAACACCGCAATTGATAATGGATTTACGATCTTTTAGAGACGAATTAAGCGGTAATTGCGTCGCTAACGGCAAATTCACTTCAGAAGCTCGCTCGGCAATCGTGGTGGCGCGAATTGACGGCAGAACGCGTAGGGATGTTGCAACCACGTTTAAAACAAAGCGCCTGAAAACCATCTCCGATATTACCACCAACTTTGAGGCCACTTCTACACCGAAATCTGCCCCAAGGAGCGGTCGCCCACCCGTTTTGAATACTTGCGAACGCGCTCATGTGATCGAAAAGGTGAGAGAGCTCCCCAGGGCGATATGGCAGAAGATTCGAAACGAAGCCTGCGTTTCGTGCTCTCCCAAGACTATCAAGAGGATATGTCACGCACACAGCCTCCAGAAGTGGTGCGCAGCGAAGCAAATCAAGCTCACAGATAAGGACGCTTAGAAGAGGCTCGCTTTTGCCAATTATTATAGCACACCAGAGCGCCTAAAAGAGTTGTTGTGAGCTATATTTTCAGACAAATATACGGTCCAAAACTCATCTAATAATCCAGGCGATTGGGCCATCTGATTCTCTTCAGAGCGGTACCGTCATGATCTCGTGAACGAGACGGATCACGGCAAATCTCGTATTTCGATAATAGTGTGGTCTATGATCTGGCTACGCGGCGGAGAAGAAGGACTAGGCAAGTTGGTCTTCTGCCCACTCGATCCGGATGCTCCGCGCGGAGGAGTATCCGCAGAGTCATACAAATGGGTCCTTGAGGAAGGCCTGCTTCCGTTTCACAAGGCTGGAGATCCTTTTGTTCAAGATAACGCGAAAATTCACCTCACTGGCGGTGCTTCGGAGTGGATAGAGGAGCACAGCATCCACTGTATCGACTGGCCTCCTCACAGCCCCGATATGAACCCAATTGAGCACGTTTGGCAACTTTTGAAGAAGAACATACGTGAAATCGAGCCTGAATTTTTTGGATTAAAGGATAATATCCCCTATTATCGCTACGCACACGAGTTAATTGAGCAGGCGTGGTCAGAGATCGATCCGGAGCAGGTTCGGGCCTTGATGGAGTCACTGGAGGACCGAATAGCTGCAGTGAGGCGCGCCAGTGGTTGGTATACACACTATTGACTTAGTTATTAAATACAATTTATTTGAGAATTCTATCACCAGAATTGGATGCGTTATGGTTCAATTGAGTTGGAGGGTATAGTAGATGGAAGGGGTAAAATTGGGGATCGGGCGGAGACTTTTGTCCACGCATTGTAGCTACGACTCTATCCCGGACCAAAATGCCGGTTCAGGAGAAAAGAACGACACAGTGGTCAAGAGAAATCGATAGATAGAACTCGAAGAACTTCAACTGCGGGGGTGGGTGGCAAAAGAAAAGAGATGGTTATGGATTGCAAAGAAGTTGTACTGAAGCGAAAGGGCCGTCTCATAGCATTAAGCCATTATGTCAAAGAAAGGCTGAGAGGTATGACAGGGTGAATATTATCTTATCAGAGGCTTATTTATAAGGCATTTTGTTATCTTTATTATCTTTACTCGTAGTTTAAAGGGCGCTTTTGTTTGATAGATGTTGACGTTGTGCAGTGTGTATTCCTTGTTATACACGTTTAATTGGCGTGACTTTATTGGGACAGACAAGTCAGTAGATTGGTATCATGGGTCACGTGGCAGGCCGTGTCAGAATAAGATCGGCAGAAAGGATACGTATGTCGTCATGCCTGGCAGAATAAGATGGGCAGGAAAGGTACGTACCTACGGCTAGGTGTGGCAGAATCGGTACGTGCCTTGGTGGGGTTTGGCAGAAAAGGTACGTATCTGTCAGCGCAGATTCCACGACATCGGCAGAATATCACTAATCTGTGCTCGGCGTGGCAGGCGCAAGCTGTACAGCTATTACCTCATTGTGCGAGGCGGAGGGGAGGCGCTATTCCTTTGGCTTCACTACCTGCCTTCGACCCCTCCGCTACCATTTAATCATAATCATATTTCTTACATAACCGTTATGCTTCTAGTCAGCAGGTAGGTTTTCAGATCAGCCGGTCTTGTCAACATGTTTTTGTTTTGGTCACAAGCTCCTTTGCTCCTTTCTTCCCTTGATGTTATAACTATTAACTGGATGTGCGCATAGAGACTTGGCTCCAAATATCCTTCTCTATCAAACCCGTTCCACGCGACGCGTTACCTACGGACCTGCCCTCTGACACCCTTGATACTACCGCTGTCTACATTACATCCACAACTCCGCCACTGTTCAATATGGACACTGCTAGCTATCAAACGGCAAAAGTTAAGGTCGCCACTTTGGCTTGCTGTTTGAGCTGTGGCAAGAAGTACGACCCAGCACGAAGCCCTCGATAGCATCATTTCCCATACACCAACAACGATGGGACCGTCAGTCCATACGACAGTACCCGCCACGACCATATTGTCATACGCAAGACCCTGCAGAACATTTGATCGACCGCAGTTGCCTTCCGTGATGGGCTTGCGGATGACGTCCCTCAGCTGCTGGCCAGACTGCTGATGGCATTCGAAGCCCAGGAAGTTGGGATGGATGAGGCAGAATGGGTCTTGCAAGAGACGACCCGTTACCCTGGCTGTAACCGGGATCACCTGGTGGATCATGGACAACGCCAGCGGCGATCCTGTGGCAAATGTCGAAACCGATCGTCTTCTCTAGGCTTTGCTGCCATTCTTGGCTGCCTCGCGCCGTGCTAGTATCGCCCGACGAGGTTAGGACACCTGCTACATAGCGTGCGCCTAGATGGGGGATCGTAGTGGTGAAGTGAGCGCCCTGCTGGAAGAGCCATGCCTAATAATGTTTACAGGAGAACTTCACAGTAAGCAAGCAATTTACACGACGAGTTGTGTATTTCACCTGATATAGGCGCATGGTCTAACGGCGATTGATGTCAAGTCCCTCGCTACTGCACTCTAGGGCAGGAAGTCACCCTAACCGTGCCATAACGATACTGGGACGACGAGGCGCCGTATATTCCGCCTGAATCTGGCGAGAGAGGGTTGCTTGTCCAGTTAGAGTCGTTACTGCAGCGGGATACAGTGGGATGTGGGAACGGTTCTTTCCGTAGTTCTGTCAGTTCTTTGTGCGGCACTCTCCGCCAAACCTCGTAACAAACCATAAGGTGAACCCGGGGTATCGACGTTCAGGATTGGCATGCAGCCACGATATCGTTTGTCAAACAACCTTGCAAGGTATGCTGCAGTGAATGATCGGCCCGGCGAACACTGCAGCAACATGTCTTAGCACCTTCTTCTTCAGAGCAGGAACGCTCTCCCACCGGCAACAGGTTCGACCGGTCAGCTCGTTGCATGACGAAGCCCAACCACTCAAGGCTCCGAAGTTCCATTTGGATAGGGCCTAAGGAACATGCAATGCGGCATTTGTTGGTCGTCAGTAACACCTCATTCACCACGCCGAGACTCCGAGAATAAGCATGACGATATCTTTCGACATGACTGTGAGTGCCCCGAGCCCCATGCTGCAACGCCTTCGCAGCAGATAGTTGACCAGTATCTGGTGCCTCCTCTCCGGGGTTCCAATGGGCCAAAAAACTCGGCCTACCAAGATGAGATGCCTGTCACATGCATTATGATCATCGCTCAACGCCACTCGAGAGTAGAGGGTTGGTGTGACAATCAGGCCTGCAGCTGCGCTGGCCAGGGCTGATGGGATGAAATATCTAGATTCAACGATATCTAAGGAAGAAGAGGCAATGTCGGAAGAGAAAGGGGAAGCTAGGGATATATATGTACATAAATATGTGGAGGTATTATGTAATACCGTAACAGCTGGTACATCGACGTGACCGGTGAGTCGACTTACACGTCCGGCGTTCTGATAATGCACATGCGACGATGTCAGGTCCAATGAAAGGAGAACCCGAGGATGCGGATGCGGCACGGGGATGCGGACACTCAGCCTGCCCGCCCCGGATGAGTGAGGTTTCCTCCATTTCTCTTCGGTACAGCCAATTGGAGTTCATCCACCCCGCATATCCTGTTACCTGTAGCTGCAGTGTAACGACACTGCATCACATCTCGTCGGCCTTGCCGAATTCGAAGCGTCTTATGTGTGGGTAGCCAGCCACCTTGCTACCTAGGCGGTTCCAGTGCGCAGGTTCCGTCTCCCATCGGAACAAGGGAACCTGCAGGTTGCACCCCGCTGGGCTGTGGTGCTGCCACTTTTACGTGGTGGTCAATCACCCCAATATGCAACAGAATGTGATCTAAGCTGCCAACATGCAGGTTCTCCCCTCGGTGGAGATAGTCTCTGGCGGCTAGAACGGGTGATAGCGACAAGGAGCATCACGAGAGGGCGAGAGATGGCACCACTTGCAGGAGTTGGCACAACAGAAGATCAGAATAGGAAGGTGCAGACAGACCGGCTGGGAGCCAGGCGAGCCATCTCCACTGCTTCTGCATTGAAGCCGTTTCCAAAGGCCGAGTGAGGTCTTGGTTCAGAGGGGTAAGGAGGGTGGAGTGGATGGACCATGAGGTGGGTTGCCTGATCCTTGTCTTCGAAGAGCTCCTTGGTTAGATGAACCAACTGCTTGTACATGGTTATTTGGGTACTCAAGATGGTGGCATAGACAGTGCGTTGGACTGTGTCCTGAAGTCAAACCACCTAGTACGGACAGGGTTTGGACTCCCTGTTTTCTCCTCACCTTTCTTTGGCTTTGATACTCTCCCTTGGGACTTTGAAGTACATTCTGGTTGTTCACCATGCCAATCAACCTTCAAGTCCGGTGGGGGAGAATCCTACTTCTTATCAACCTATGTCTCTTCAGTTTCGCGGTGCTTCTGAATATGTGGGCTCTTCGCGGGTGGAACTCCTTTGGCAACAAAGAATTGCTTCAAGCCAGCAATAGCCACCACCGAGACCCCCTGGGCTATTGTAAAGTAGCCCCTTCGTGATGCCTATCTTTCACGGACTGACTATATAAGACCCTCTTCTAGACGTAGCAACCTACGGTCCCATGAGATTCGATGCAGAGTTAAGGGGAAAGTCGATCTTCAAGGGCCCCCCTAGCGAACTACTTGACAATGCTTGGAGCAAACTGGTTAATCGTGAGTGCATGCTAGTCTAACACCGATGAAGCCACAAGATGGTACTCTCTTAATTGATGCTGTTAACATATTCAACAGAGCCTATGATTTTAGTGGACAACGAGGCACTACAATCTTTTGATCCTACTTCCAAACCTTCGAAGGGTGTCGACGGACATTATTATGCTACAGTTGAAGTGTATCATCAGCTTCATTGCTTAGACATAATCCGCAAGTTTATCTGGAGGAACCACTATCAACATGTAGACACGTTTATGGATCCTCCGCAGATGGTATGGGAACACGTCGGTGAGTCATTCCCACCATTTTAGGCCACGTATAAGCTTTCTAAGTATGCACAGATCATTGCATAGATCTGCTTCGTCAGGTGCTCATGTGCAATGGCGATATTGGGCTCATCTTCTACACCGATGTTGGCAAGGAACAGCCTATCGCACGAGTGTCCACAACGCACATGTGTCGAAACTTTTCACAGATTACAGAGTGGGTAAACGGTCACGATTCCGAGTTGGGTGTTTTTGCGGAGGTTTGATCTATTGGACTCTCGGACGGTTGCAAATGATAGCTTACGCTAGCATAACCTTCCTGTCGCAAGGTGTACACGTGACCAGGCACGGGGGTTTGTCCCTGCGCAGCTCCCCAGCTCCATTTCAGATATATCCTAGAATGAAAAACCCTTTTCTATGCTCCCGATTAGCTGTACGCGATACTTTCGGATATAACCTGGTTGGAAGACACTCAGAAAGTCTTTGTACATAACCTCGGAGCCTCTGGATCTTCAACCTTCACATGTGGTTCTTCATCTGAACATAATATGGAACTCATATATGCCTAGGGGTCACCGCCATCACAACGCAAGACAGGAATCAATTGTAATACTCATCATGAGCCTTGAGCTAGCAATCAGACATTCAACTATGACTAAATATTGTTGTAGGGGTTTGTTATGAATGGTACCTAGAGAGGATCCTATTTACAGATGACAGTTCCGCTAAATGAACGAATGCGGTGGGCAGTCTGGTAGATACAGCCATATGTGAGTTACATTTGACCAAACCTTCTTACGGAGAATATGTGTATGTGCCCCAGCCTAAAGGATCATCAGTAACCACTTTCATCTTATCAAAAGCCTCATCTATCCGTCTATTCCAAGCCCATTGCTGAATTTTTGAGAAGCGTCTGCAGGTATGAACGACTTCCGCAACAACCTTCATGCTGCTGTCAAGTGATGTCCGGGCGAACGTGGTTGGAGTTACATCGCTAGCGCACTACCAGCGTCGCTCATGTCAGTTTCGCGGCCAGGTCTAGAGTGGCTGCCAGAAACTCACCATCAAACTTTGGCGAAGCATATCAATACAATGGTCCAGATGCTCAATGCCCATTGCATCGTCCGTGTTCGACATGTCAGTGCCACGGTATATAGCCTTGCGGATCATATTCTTCCGCGCAGGTCAGCGCAATACTTCACACACGTGAGTAAGGACTTACCAAACAATGAAGCTGATGGAACACGGCTAGCTGGACCACATACCCACCTTCTTTGTCGGGCATAGGAAGAGTCTTATTGTCCATAGGCCTCGCTTCATCTGTGCTGATTCTGGTGATGCCAACTGAAGATGGTGAGTGAGAAACCGACAATAAAGAACGAATAATAAGGCGAATTACAATCGTAGAGGCCGCTCCATAGTCGATCATTCGCTTCCGACGGCTCTCCCTGGAACGGGGAGCGTTCAATGCCAAATGCACTTGAGAAGACCACCCTCTCATTTTCGATGGCGGGTAATGCAGGTGCTTTTAATATCATCGTCAGTGAGCCATGCACAAATAACATAAGTAGCAGCAACTGACAGTATGTAAGGATGTGGTCTCGTGGAGTGTTTCGGAACAACACGGTCCACGTAGCAAAGCCGTTCAGTAGCAACGAGAGAAGAAGTACAATCGTCCTCATCCGAACGCGCCTGAGACCGAACATGAGCTTTCTGCTTTTGTTTGTGGCATCCTCTGCGGGAGGGTGATCATCCTGGCTCAATGATGTAGAACTGTTCGAACCGACATTCCTGAGACGGATACATTGATTGGGGTTGGTGTTCATCATCATTGTAGCTGCTCGCCACCAATTTGGGCAAAGACGAAGCACGAGGGACCAGGATTGTGAATGGTGTATGACTGAAGCCCCCTCGAGAAAAGAGACACACAAGGAGAGAGGTCAGCTGAGGTGCACGGTCGGGGTTCGAGAGTCATATTGGGCCTGGGCCACACAGTGCTACACAGTGCCACTGCTGGTGTATTTGGTTACTACGACGTTCGAACTGGGTACATGTGCAAGATAGGAAGAAGCTGCAGGTTGCACATGTGAGCCCCCAGTTGTATCACATCACATGCATGTGGCCACTGGCCAGGCCTTACAGGTACGTAGCATCCCCGAACCGACCAACAATGGCACCACCGGGCAGTGACCAACATCTTCGATGCCCGGGTAACCTTTGGGCGGAATCGGCCCGCCTGGCTTTCCCGAGGATATATGTGTGAGCTTTGCCATCTGCAGATATCTTTGGCCTGTAGAGGTGCTACAACACGACTGCATTGATTCCACTTCTTCATCTGACTCCAAATTCTCCCACCATGAAGGCAGCAATTCATCTCACAGCTCTCATTGCTGGTGCGGCATCCATGGCCATCCCCCCCTCGCCGGAAATCAAGGTGAGCTTCGAATGCTCCATGTGCATAGTTTGGATAGACTGAGTACAGAATTACCAAGGGACGCTACACGCATGATACCAAGCGCGGTCATTACCCAACTGTAGACGAAACCAGCCCCCAGGGCCGATCGGTAATTTCGTACTTGAACGACAAGGAAGATATCCCTGAAGGGCCGACGGTCGACAAGACCAGCACCCGAGGCCAGTGGGTGACGTCGTACTCGAACGAAAAGGAAGATGTCCCTGAAGGGCAGGCGCTTGATCAGTCTGGCACCAGTACGGGAGCGACCGAGCATAAAGGAGCAACACCTTCACCTGCAGCTTCATTTGGCAGCAAGGAATGGGTCCTGCCTGACCATTGGGTATGTACTATGTCTGCATCACACGGCATAGCTGCTGACAACATCGTAGCTTCCCAACGGTCCAGGGTATCTGGATATGGATGAGCTTGAGAAAGGCTATCATGCTCATCTGATGGTAATGGATGACTCAAGCTCTTGGCTTTATTCGAGCCTCAGCCTCTTCAAGCGCATCTTCAAGCCTGACAGCGCTTGAGTAACATGGGCGAGGGCCGAATACGCATTAGTTAGCGGGTTCAAGATAGATACTAGGATACGGTCCTAGCTCTGGTGGATTGATGTAGGCGAGCTGCGTAAATAGAAATCAACATCCAAGTTTCATTTCCCCAGGTGCCAAGGCCAGTTCAGGCTTCTTCTTGCCACTCACACGTGTAACATGAGTACCTACCTACCTAGGTACATATTCATGGCGGGGTTATCAAAAGTGGCTTGCAGCCGTTGTCGGGCCGCTGACCGCTCCCGGGAGACAGGGGATAGGTGCCTACCATATTTACATGCATATATACTATACACCATGGATGCCTCGTGTTTGCACAGATGTTTCCTCTTCCCTTCACCCTTCAGGTCATCCTAACACCAGTACCATTATGACTCACAACCACGCCAACTATCAACGTCGACTCGACTTTGTCCATGGCTTGTTGCGTGAGCAATTCGACCTTGAGGTTAGCGTACTTTGCTGATTGTTCCCATGGTGCTGGCCGCTGATACAAACGTACACTACCCAGGTGAATGCGGAGGTCATTCCCATTCAATACGATCCTGAATGCCCATTCAAGTACAACAACTTCGTCTATCGCGTCATACTGCCAGTGCCCGTCACGTCTGCCCATTCATTTAGACACGAAGCTCGGAGGCACGGCTGTGATCCAATTCCTCATGGCACCAAGGAACTCATCATCCGTCTCACGAACGTTGACGCCGAGGGCATGAGCCCCGCCACCCGGGTCGAAAATGAAGTCGCCATGATCAGCCTCGCTGCCGCTGCCCTCAGTGGCTTCCGCCCATCGGTTGTCCCATCTGTATACGCTTGGGGAAGTGCAGCTACCACGGCGGCGCAGGGTTGGATTATCCAACAGCTAATGCCTGGCGAAGCCGTCGACGAAGCGTTTACATCCATGCATCTCGCGGGCAAAAAATCAATCTTATCACAGATGGCCTCGCTGCTCAAGGCTTTGCAAGACTACCAGCTACCCGAGACTATCACCGGCTTCGGAGGTGTCACGTTCGACGAGGATGGCCGAATTGTCAGTACAGCCATGACCAGCGTTGGCGCCGGACCATGGCCGTCATACGAATCCTCCTTCAGAGGTCGTTTGCAAGTGGCACTCCAAAGGGCAGATGAGAACCCTTACATTGAAGGGTGGCATGCCAATGGCATCAGAGAGCGCCTAGACGCGTTTGTTGCCCATGGCGTCCCAAGCCAGTTCGAGTCATTCAAAACGGCAAATGACAAAGCTATTATACATGCCGACTTCAGCAAGTCTCCCTCTCGTTTCTTCTCTCCACTTGTTACTCGACTAACTTTATGTTTGTCGCGCAGCCACCAACAATCTTCTGTTCGATTCCTCGACCCAGCGCATCACTGCACTGCTTGACTACGACTTCACTTGTATCATGCACCCTTCTTACGAGTTCCTCCGTTCCTTCGACGGTGCGGGCGGGCAGTTTCGAGGCTGGTCCGCTGACGAGGCGGGGGAGCAGGCGGTCCTGCGAAATGCTAAGCTACATGGGTTCCCCTCGCCCCTCCCGCAACCGACCAACGACGGAGTCGATTGGGAATTGGCCAAGGCTTGGGAGGATGAGTTGGAGAGGCTGCATGTGAACAGGCCGGCGACGATGGAAGGCATCGACAAGGCGGCGGACGTCGACACCGTTCTCCGTACTGTCTTGCCGTGGCGGGTCAGCAATTCCGACATTCTCCGGATGCAGTCTAAAGAAGTCATAATGAAATGCAAGGAGAAGAACGAGACGCAGTTGGTCCAGCTGCTTGAGCGCTTGGGGTTCTAGTCTAGTTGCGTCTGGTTGAGATTGCACGAGCGTGGGATCAATTGTCCGCTGCCCGCGCGAGGCTGACAGTTTTCAGCGGGTGTTGGTAGGTTCATGGGCCACGAGAACAAAGAATCATACCAACAATGATGCGGGATGTTTCAAGTAGTGTATCAAGTTGACTATCCAAAGTCGCGGTTGGCTTCAGGACAAAGGACTGGGCCAAGATACTCGATTCACCTGCCAACATTGTATCAGCCTTGTTGCCATGACTCGCAACTTACGTCACGACCGAGGACTAGCCGGCGCTATTGTGCTTGGTCGAAGCAGGGCCATCGCTTTCTCCATTCTTCGATGATGTGTTCCTGATGGTATCGGCCTCATTGAAGGCCCAAAACGTCCCACCCGGACCGTCTCCATGTGATCATGTGGCAGGACAACTATGATCAGGCAAGTCATCAGGCAGAGTTGCTTCCGTACAATACCGCAGCTGCGGAGTCTACGCTTCTTCCCTTCCTCCCGCACGCGCACCATCTTATTGGTTCCCTTCATCAGCCATCAATGATCTCAGCTCAATCTTCACACGCACGGCGCCTGAAATAGAGTATTTCCACGGTGCTTGAACGCAATAACAAGCAGCAATGACTGGCAACGCCCCCATCTTATACATACTTGACTTCAACGTCGGCAACGAGACAGACGATCCAGAGGACCCATTCGCCGCTGGCCGTGTAGCAGTCGGATCATCCAAGGGCGGCCAGCTCAAGACTCTCATCGACCATGAGCGCATGCCAGATGGCATAGACGTCCTACTGGAAGATGGCGGCCATATCTATCATCTGGACCCAGATGGGCCACCCTGACAAGAACGATGGCATGGTCCAGTCTTCTGATCTCAGCGGAAGGAATGTCAAGGACTTGTTTAACGATGGCGAGATACATACGCCGAAACAAGTCATCGTTGACCGCACCAACCACAGGCTGTATGTGTGCGATCGGGAAGGCCTTCGTGTACATTGCTGTAACCTGGATGGGAGCGGGAAGGCCTTCGCGTACATTGCTGTAACCTGGATGGGAGCGGGAAGGAGGTTCTGGTCAAACACGGTGACTGGCGGAAGATGCAGGATGTAGGCGACAAGACGCTGCATTATGTCGGGATTGCTATCGATACAAAGCATGGGAAGTTCTTTTGGACGCAGAAAGGGCCGACCAAAGGTTCGCCTCCCATGGCTGATCGGACGTGAGATGTTTCTAACTGACTAATATGTCAGGCTTCCAAGGCCGCGTCTTCCGCGCTAACATAGAGATGCCGGCGGGTAAGACTACAGAGACCCGCGACGACATCGAGCTGCTCTTCGACAATCTATCCGAGCCCATTGATCTTGAGATCGACAGCGATACACAGTCGCTTTACTGGACAGACCGAGGCGACCCTAAGCATTATTCCCAAATCGACTCTACTCGAGTCGATTTGCGCACGGGCCCGCACAAGCCAAGGGCTGATCGGTGCACACGTGACAGGGGGGGTAGAGTCGATTTGGTTCCCATGCGAAAATACAGTCGGCGTTGACGGGTATATTAAGAAGACGAGACGGCGAATCTGGCTATGTTGTCTGCATGTCGCTGCAACCGTTGGAAGGGGGCTTTCTTTGCCAGTTAGGGTTAAGGGAAAGTTTGGGGTTAGGGTGGGAAGCGGGCGGGATGCCAAGCTAGCGGGTCCCGGGCTAGACAAAGGGTTAAACGGCAGGTAAATAATAGACACGACTCGTTATTTGTTTTCTTTCTCTTTATCTCTTCTTCTCTTATATATAGGACGACTCCATTATGACTCTGTTTATCTATATCTCACAATGAAAGATTGTTATTTGTTTAGAGTGTCACTATACATGTGTAGCGACCCAGGTCAAGACATATCTGAAAGCTGCAGGCCACGCGTCACGAACGACGCAAGAGCGGCGTAGAATTGCGCAAGAAGTCCAGCAGATCCCCGGCATCTTCTCCAGCCAGGCGGAACTACAAGCCGGCTTCGAGTTCTCGCCACCTGAGTGGGTTGCTAACCCTAGGCGTTATTCCCAAATCGACTCTACTAGAGTCGATTTACGCACGGATCTGCACACGGCGCGCGTGGGCGCGTGCACGGTGACCAGGGGGATAGAGTCGATATGTGTCAGATGCAAGCGAGTTCAGATTATTCAGGTTGTCAAGTGTGTTCTGTTTTTGTGCTTGTTCTTCTCTGCTTCTTCAGCGTACAGAGATTGATCATCTGTCTTCTTGGTGGGTCAGATGCCCTGTGCGTCTCTGCCCCACTGGAGATCTTCCGGTATCTATTTCCGGCTCCCATTCAACAACTTTGAATGGTTTAGGGTGGTGTCCAATCTGTAGGCAGGTCTGGAAAAGGGCTCTGATATGTTCACCAATGACTGGCCAGCAAGCTTTCAGAATCCGTACTGTGAGGGTATCTACTCCCGGGGAGTTGCTCTTGGTTCCTAAAGTGCACCCTTCAGCCTCTTCCAGTCCGACGTGGTATTCAAGGGGGATGTGTGGCTTGGGTTGTATGATCTGAGCGGACCAGGGGTCGATGATATCATTGTCTGAGGTACTTCGTTCAAGCGTGGCTGAGCGTAATGCATTTGCCTTGCTCTCTTGTGACTCGAATATTTGGTCTCCTATGATGATTGGAGGGGAACGCAATCCTGCTGATAACTTGTGCCAAGAGACGATTCTGTATAGGTCCTTTGGCTCAGTTGCTGAATTGATTAGAGTCTGCCAGTACTCTCTCCTAGCTTTCCGAACCACGCCGCGAAATTCCTGTCGGGCTGAATTTTGTCCTTCTTGGCTTATAGTCTGTTTGGAAAGGGCCCTGTATGTCTGAACAGCTGCTTTGCAGTCATCATTCCACCAAGCAGTAGGCCTAGATTGACGGGGCCTCTTGCCCACTGTCCTGATACAGCCTTGGATCATGTTGATCAGGCTTTGTGTAAAGGTGTCCACCTGGCCAGGGGATACACCCAGCCGGGGGAGTTCATGAATCCTGGTTTGGACATTGTTTGTTTGTTTGTTTGTTTGTTTTGTATTTAACGTGGGGGGTAGCTCCTCAGTAGTGCAAACCACGCCTCCCAGAGCCTCTGCATCGCAGGGTTGTGGAGGTCTCAAGATAATAAGTACAGTCAGTCCCGCTTACGGGCCCATCCCCGTTGTTGTGGCGGTATGACCTTGGGGTCATCCATCTGGTCCTTCAAGGAAGGTTATCTATCAGGGGCAGATTGTTGAAAAGAACTTGCTCTTCTCCACGAATTTTGCCCATTCTGTGCTCCTCTCTCCCAAGTATTGTAAACAGGCTGTCCTAGGCGAGTACCTAGGCAATAACCGATTTTTCCCCAGCCTCCTACAAAAGAAAATGTGTTGTGGTGTTTTCTTTTCACCATAGCTGCAGTGGTTGTTCGAGTCTGTATGCCCAAAGCGTTCGTGGTATCTGGCAAAGTCGCCATGTCCAGATCTGGCCGCTAGAAGTCTGTGTAGAGTGCTCCTCTTAAAAGATATAAGGCCTCTTTCAGTTACTGCATGTGAGTATACTTCTTGATACCTAGGTTCTGATTGGTCTTTCCACCATTGATTGAACTCTTTCTTGCCCTTTCTCTTGAGATCTCTCTTGACCCAAGAGATTGTGGGAAGGTTTGTTGTGTCTGTTTCTAGCATGGCGCCCTCTTTTGCTAGTGTGTCAGCAGCCTTATTACCATCAATATCTCTGTGTCCAGGAATCCACTTGACGGTCACTCCAGGAGTGTGTGCTGTGGCAAGTTCTTGAAACCGTAGAAAAATGTTCTGTGATGTCTCGGGTGGAGTCCCATTAAGCCCATCTACCACTGATGTGTTGTCCAGGCAGACATATAGCTGTTTTCTGTATCCAATTGCCCTGGCTGCTGCAAGACCTTGGAGAGCACCATGGACTTCAGCATCCACTACTTCTGCTTGTAGAAGTCTGCCCCTTCCCCGGTATACTTCTTGTGCAGTGCCGCCTTTCCTGATGGTATAACCCCATCCAGTGCGGGTTGTGCCTTGGTCATCCAATTGTGATCCATCTGAGTAGATGACAAGGTCAGTGTTCGTATTTCTTTCCTGTAACCATTGCTTGAAGAGCTCTGTTTCTTTGTCCTTGTCTTTACGGACTGGGGCCTTTTTCCATGATGGCTTGGTGAGTATTGGTCTCTGGAAGTCAGGGACTAGTTGGAAGCTTCTTTGTAGCCTTGTTGGTTCTTTGCGAGCTTGTATTTGGAGCCTGCCAACAAGAGGGTGTCTCTGGTCTACTCTTCCGAGTCGGAAGCCGTGACGTCTTCTTATTGACTCTGCAAGAATTCCTGCTGGAGGAATCTGTGATTCAAAGTGTAGGATATGTCCAGGGTGTGTTTTCCAGACCGGCAGGATAGCTCTGATTGCCGTTCGTAGTACAGCATCTATTGTTCCAAGAAGCCTTTTAATGCGACATGCTGATGTCCCACCTAAGCTCCCAATTTTTTCCATTCCTGGGTACCAGGCCTCCAGGCCATGTGTAAGAATAGGAATAACACAAGTTTTCACAGCCTTCTTGGTTGACTTTACTGGAAGTCCTTTGACTGTGTTGCATAGTCCTCGAATGTGGTTTGCTACCCTACTAGCTTTCTTGGCCCAGTAGGAAACGTGATCTTTGAAGTTCAGTTTTCTATCCAGGAAGACACCCAGCCATCGCATGGAGTTCTTTGCTGTTCTGTTCATTGTCCCGTGGCGGACCGGAGGATTGTCTGAGTTCTTTTTCCGTGAGAAATGCATGATCTCGGTTTTGTCGGGATCAAATTCAATAGCGTTGTCGTGTCCCCATTGGTTGAGCAGGTAAAATTTTTTAGAAGCCTCTTTGGCTGTTTCTTTGAGGTCCTTTCCAATGCAGAGAGTTGCTAGGTCGTCTGCATATCCAAAGCGTCTTCTTTTCATCCCGAGTCGGGCACAGATTGGCTCTGTATATAGCATATAAAGAATTGGAGAAGCTGGTG